TTTTTATCGCGCAGAAGTCGCGTTCGCTGCTTGGGCGTTTGTGATTTAATTAAAAATACGCGACACTTAATTAAAACGCATGCGTCGCCGAGAGACATAGGCACTTGCAAATATTTAGAGAGCAGTCCAGGCTGCAGTGCATTTTATTAAGAATTTTGACAGCCTTTTGATTAAGAGCCCAGCCGCCAGAGGCACATACTGAGGCACTTGGCAACCGACGCCCACGATCGCCAGCAGGTTATGGGAAATAACTGGCTGGCACTGGTGTTGGCATGGCACTGGATGCTAGTATTGCGGGCCATTCATGCTTCTCACAGATTAAAGCCTGGCTAACAGCAAAAACATGTTTCTATTGGCTGTGACACGTTTTGAAAGTCAATTAAACGCTTGTAAAATGCATTTTATGCCAAGCTAACGCACTTCCAATCTTCCAATAACAATGGCTTGGTGGACAGGTGACTACTGTTGGGCAACAGGGCCTTAACAGTGGGTGGATGCAAGCGAGTGCCACCTGTACCTACCCAGCTAACTAGCTACCCACCACTGACCAGCAGAACCAGTTCCAAAGTGTTAATTACACAGAAATGCTTATCAAAGGAGGGGAATGTCGTCTAATCTAATGCCAATTCGCTGACCGAAAAGGAAAGTTTTCGTCTGCTATAATACTATAATGGTATATGGCTATAAGACGGCGGAAAAAACAAATTTAAATGCGCAAATGCCTTGATAAAAGTTGGCAAGCTCACAAACAATTGCGGCAACTAAATTTAAATTGCCCCAAAAGAATTATAGCCAAGTAAACGGAGGCGAGTCGCGCAAACAAACATCGCTGGGCTGGGATGGATAAAAAGCCAACGTCAGCAAGTCACAAGAATTCGCGGGGACCCGTCCGAGCTAAATAAATCTGCCAATAAAAATAAATCGGATTTTTTGGGGGACGGGAGGACTACGACTGCCAGCGGCCATGGATCAGATAAGAGGAAAATCAAATGCCAGCCGTGGACCAATTCATTAGGACAGACACGGACGGAGATTATGGAAACTGCCGGCCGCCCACTTTTCTCGAAATTTGTTGTGATTTTCGTAATAATAAATACCGGGGAATACAACACGGGCCCGGCCTACGTTCAACAATAAAACTTAACATTATTATATAAAGAAACAAGCTATGAAAATGAAAACAGACGCCCACAGTCTGAAGGCAGCGGAAAACGTGCAGAAAAGCACAAATGCCACAAGTGGAAAGTGTTTCAATATTTAAGGTAGACCTGCAAATGCTCTTGATCACATAATCCCCACAAAGATTAGTTTTTATCAAATATTTGGAGAATGAGAAATAGTTTCATGACAAAATCTTGTTTGACTGCATTCTGAACATGTTATACAATTGTTTTGTTTTTGTGAGAGGATTTAGCATTTAACTTTCTAATTTAGTTGGTTTATAAAGTCCAGAGACCTCCAGATCGGGTTGGTGTCTGGACTAACCACCTCCCCAGACGTCATCGAATCGAAATCTGTTGATGTTGCAGCCACCGCTGGCTTTGTTTGGATTAATTTTGGGGGCTGATTCCATTCCATTGATGAGCTCACACCAGCACCGCACCAGTCAGGTGTTTGTGGCCCGACGTACTCCGGCCAGTAGTAGATAGATTTGTGTATCTTTTCCGATCACATGACTGCGTAAGCAGCTGCCAGTAGCCACTAGAATATTTTTGGAAATACAATAAACGGATATAGATAGAAGAGATATATTTCCACCATTGGCGAGCTCTACTGTGTTGGCATTTGGCGAATGTAGGCGATCAGCGGATGTGGCGTTGAGAAGGGGATGGGAGCTCAAGCTGCTGCCGCGGCTGCCTTGTGGGAGGAGCAGGCCCATCGAGTATGCAGCGCAGATATATTTTTAGACCCGACCAGGCATTTGATGCGATGTTTGCGGCACGATCTCGACAGGGAGGCGGCAGGCGACCCACGCCCACAGCTCACGGCTCTCGCAGATCGCGGATCGCGGATCGGAGATGATAAACGCTTGGGTGGTGGGGCCAGTGGGGAAAAACTGTGGAAACTGGGGAAACTGCACCCATGAGAGAGCGTTGGCAGCGGAAATTGTTAGCTGAATCATGCCATAAAACATTCCCCACATGCACAGCACAGTGCGTCGCAAAACCATAAAGTGATTCCAATTGTTACACCGCTGATCTTGTGTGCGAATGGCTTTACTGCCCACTGTCAGCGGCGTTTGTTAGAACAAAGCCCAGAGTCGAGAGGCTAATTAAACTGGCAGTCCATATAAAGTGATTACGGGTCAATGTTACTCTCCAAATCGTGAATCCAAAAGGCATCACAGCCATGCCAGTCCTGAAAAGGAATTCTATCTAGTTTGGGTCGCCGTAGCATGGAGGACATTACGATGTCAAGACCTGGTGGAGAATCAGCTCTGAAGTAATGTCAATTATGATCGGAATCGGTTGGCCTTCTTTTGAGAATCATTTATGATTGGAAATATTATTTTATGATGGGGCCTCTTGGATGTTTGTATGCCGGCCATGTAGGGCGTCGTCTGCCTTTGACTTCCTTTTCGTGTTTGAAGAGCTTCACATAAAAATGGTTGTTTATGGCAGCAGCCAGCTAACCAACCTGGAGAGGTTGCCTGCTTCTTGGCCTGGCAAGGCAAGCGCGTGCACTTGGCGCCAACTCGGAGCCGTCACAGCCGGAGCCGCCTTGCCCCTCCAGCGGTGGCTAACCGAAAGCGCAAAGAGGCAACAATTTCGAAGCGCGACGTCTTCCTCCTCCGGAGCACCTCGCACTTCCCTCTCTCCCGGCGGATGCCACTTCAGCCTCCGCGGTTCGTTTCATAATTCGGTTGCCTCTACTTTACTTTACTTTTTGTGGAGTTTTTGGTTGGCTTGCGTTTGGCCTTCTGGAAAAAGAATTCATAATTTGTCTGCACCGCAACAGGCTACCGTGATACGTGGCCATCGTTCTCTCAGGTTCTTGCTGCAGAGAGAGAAATGAATACTTGAAAGTGATTTAAAATCATAAGGGTTTGCATTTATTTCTCTCTCTGTGGCTGTGACTAGTGGCGGAGCAACAGGTATTTGCGAATATGTACGAAACTTGGCACTGAGATGCCAGAAGCATTGCTTTCAATGAACGCTGAACAATTGAAAATATCTCTGGCTGCAGTGGCAGTCATCACGTTTTGCATGCCACCAGATACAGATACACTTGGCGCGATAAAAGCAGCGAGGGAAACGCGTGGCGACAGCAGCACAGCACAGCACAGTACAGCAGCTGTCGCTGGCCATTAAATTGTAATTAAATTATTATCTCGCCATGGCGGTGGGCGTGGCCAGTGGCCAGATGCAGGCAACATCCGCCAATTTGTTGGTTTGTTTGGCTTCGGCTTTGCCAAATGGTCGTATCTGTATCTGGCAGAGCTACTGCCACTGCCACTGCAACTGCAACTGAAATCTGCAATCTGTGAGTGGCAAGCAGTTTGTGGTTGGTATGTGTCACTTGTGTTTTTGTTTCTTTGATCAACCTTGACAACACGCGACCCATTGCTCCCAAAAAACAGTCAGCTAGGAATGGAATCCAAAAGTCATACCATTAATGGCTCTTGGCGGCGATCTAGTTTCGTGTGAATGTTGTGCGAAGACTTGATGGATTGCTGGGGATCGTATGAGCGTAAATAAACGAATGGAGAATCTGATAGTTTTGTTTTCTTTTGGCCAGCCAATAAACAACAATGAGAATCGGAAAAGACTCCCAGCGACTCAGCTAAAGAGCCCACAGTATCTGAATCGAATCTTCCAGCTAGCCAACATTGTTCTGGAGCCAGCCACTCCAACACAGAGATCCATGACACACATCCGTTTCGGCAAATCGCATTAAATCAGTCGGGAAATGAATGAACAAACACTTTACGACTTATAAATGGTCGACTGCGTTATAAAAACGTCTAAAAATATGTTAAATACTTCGCACAGTCTGTCTGGGTTCTCTGGGGGTAAACAAATCACCTTTTGCCAGCCACCAGCCAGCAGCCATAAAAAATATGGCGCATTATTCGCATTGTGGCATTAAAAGTGCTTTTATGAATGAACAGCACAGCTACGAGTGCAACAAACTGCAAACAGTGAGTGCAATTAAATGGGAAATCGTATTGAGCAGGTCGGGGGCGATCCATGGGAACTCCCAATACTACCAGCTAGCTATAGCTATTTCCTCCCCCATCCATCCCAACCATCCGTACGCCCACGCACTAAACTGGGCAGTAACTCATGCATCTAACGGGGAAAACGCACTTTTAATGCCCCAATGGCTCAGATGGCTGTGTCGCAGGCGGTAAGCGGCCATAAAACTTGCGGACAACGGCTAGACGCCCACCATAACGGTGGAGCATGTACCACCTACTCCTCCACTCCATCCTCTCCCAGTAGCTCCCAGTGACCAGCAAGCTAACAAGCTACTCAGCTACCCAGCTACCCAACAGCACTTGCCACTTGCAACAAGCCACTCGTAATTAGTTGCAGATTTGCCAGCGACCTGAATCAGTTGCCCGAGTTACCGTTACCGAGTTACCCCTGCGCCCAACTACTCCGCTCCTGGGCTTTCATGCTCAGGCGCATTTTCATGGCACAGTGCGCATACGAGCGGTTTGCTGGCGTTTATAATCGCCTTGTCAGGAAAACAGTTAGCGTTTCAGCCGGTAATGCATCTCGAGGATTAATATTAAGGTTGGACTGGACGTGTGTGTGCATTTTAATAGCCATTCGATTGATTGACTTGGAGGATTACTTGGAGAATATTCTGAAAATAAAATGCAGTCATTAGTGGGTTTGATTTACAAGCGGCTTTAGATGTCAGATTTTAATCTCAAAGCTTTCTGATCATAAAAATAGTCTTAAATTCTTAACTAGTTTTAATCTGAGGAAATAAAGCTCCCCGATGTAAAGACAAAAATACTAATTGGAATTATTTGACTCTACTTCTAGCCCGCTCCCTGACCTGCTACTGCGATGGCAGTTGTCCCGGCAACGTCAGCAATGGAACCTGCGAAACCAGACCCGGCGGCAGCTGCTTCAGTGCCGTCCAAAGCTTCTACGATGAAACCACAAACACCTACGAGGAGGAGCGCACATACGGTTGCATGCCACCCGAAGACAACGGCGGACTTCTAATGGTGAGTTTCCTCCGAAAATTCCTTAAAGGATCTTAACTAAAAGAGAAATATTTACTTTACAGTGCAAAGTGTCCGCCGTACCCCACCTGCATGGCAAGAACATAGTCTGCTGCGACAAGGAGGATATGTGCAACCGCGACCTGCATCCCGTATACACACCGAGGATGACCACGCCGCCGCCAGAGCTGCCGGTGAGCAGCGAATCCGTCCACACACTCGTCCTCTGCGGTTCCATCGTTGTGTGCCTATCGGTGCTGACGTTAATCATGGCCAGCCTGTGCATCACCTACAAGCGGCGCGAGAAACGCAAGCAACCGCGTCTAATCTCCTCCATGTGCAACTCCCAGCTGTCACCGCTCTCCCAGCTCGTGGAGCAGAGCTCCGGTTCCGGATCGGGACTGCCGCTCCTGGTGCAGCGAACCATTGCCAAGCAGATCCAGATGGTGCGACTGGTGGGCAAAGGCCGCTACGGCGAGGTCTGGCTGGCCAAGTGGCGGGACGAGCGAGTGGCCGTCAAGACCTTCTTCACCACCGAGGAGGCCTCCTGGTTCCGCGAGACCGAGATCTACCAGACCGTCCTCATGCGCCACGACAACATACTGGGCTTTATTGCCGCCGACATCAAGGGAAATGGCAGCTGGACGCAGATGTTGTTGATAACTGACTACCATGAGATGGGAAGCCTACACGATTACCTCTCCACGTCGGTGATCAATCCTCAGAAGCTGCAGCTGCTGGCCTACTCCCTGGCCTCCGGCTTGGCCCATCTGCATGAGGAGATCTTTGGAACTCCGGGCAAACCAGCGATTGCCCATCGGGACATCAAGAGCAAGAATATTCTGGTGAAGCGCAACGGCCAGTGCGCCATTGCCGATTTTGGACTGGCGGTGAAGTACAACTCGGAACTGGATGTGATCCATATTGCACAGAATCCTCGTGTCGGAACACGCCGCTACATGGCGCCAGAGGTTCTCAGCCAGCACCTGGATCCCAAGCAGTTCGAGGAGTTCAAGCGGGCGGACATGTACTCCGTGGGTCTGGTGCTGTGGGAGATGGCCCGCCGCTGCTACACACCCATTTCGGGAACCAAGACGACAACCTGCGAAGACTACGCCTTGCCGTACCACGACGTGGTGCCGTCGGATCCCTCGTTCGAGGACATGCACGCTGTGGTGTGCGTAAAGGGCTTCCGGCCGCCGATACCGTCGCGCTGGCAGGAGGACGACGTCCTGGCCACCGTCTCCAAGATCATGGTGGAGTGTTGGCACCCGAATCCCACCGTCCGCCTGACGGCCCTGCGCGTTAAGAAGACGCTGGGGCGACTGGAAACGGACTGCCTGATCGACATGCCCATGAAGATCATCTAAGCATACTATCTGTATCTGTAGCTATAGTCCCGTTCTAGGTTTGACCTATGTTGCATTTAGTTTTCTGTTTTTCTTTCTGTTTTCGCTTCACCTTCTGTGAAGCCAGCCTCCTAGTTTGGTTCGTAATCTTAAGTTAATTAGCTGCCTGTACTTGGGCGGAGCAGAGCCGAGGATCCCGAAGAGGTGCCTATTTTACGATTACTTTAATCGCCGCACTGATTGTAAGCTAGATGTTAGAGTTACGGCTAGCACATAAGACTAGTTAGGGCTAGACACTAAGGCCTCGTTGCAAACATCTTTTGCAAAATCTTTGGTTAGAAAAATGCTTTAACTATTTGAGAAATACTTGAAGAAGAAGTACGTGTGTCTTTTGAATGTACATAAGTTTGCGGACTAAAATCAATCGGAATCGAAATTACCTTATAGTAGGTGTATACTATATACTTTTTGTGCCAGCTTTTGAACGCTTTAACGAATAAGAATTAAGCCCACTTCCTAAGCCCCTTTTTTTCGGACCCCTCCGAGGCCTTAGCCTCAGCACAGCCTGGTTGTGCCGTGCCTTTGTATGTAGGGATTAACTGAATACTTTCTGCCTTTTGTAAAATCCACGGAATTAGTTGCCTTAAGACAGAGTGTAAAGACAGGAGCCCACTGACAGACGGTGATCCATCGAAGGAGACCAAGCCTGAACCCTTTCTTCTATTGATGTTTATGTGTCGGTTCTTTTGTTTTGTGTAAATAGCATAGATGTTTAAAGGCCGCTAACTATACAGATATATAGTATATATATTATATATTATCGTTATAAGCGATTCTGTAAATACTATATATGTATCTTTATCCTTATCCGTAACCATTTAACTTATCTCTTATCGTTCTTATCAAGTAACCTTGTTTAAGCTAGATGTAGACAGTAAACACTACCCTGTAAGAACACATCGAGTAACTATATACACTAAATGGATATTTAAGTCGATCTTTCAGTTTTTTTTTGTTTCATTATTACTGCGCGCAGACCACAAGAACTAAAGTTTGTATTAAAGCGTTTAGTTAATTTATTTAAAAATAATAAAAAATTATTATTAAACCCAAAAGCTTCTTCTGTGTTTGGTATTTTATTTCTTTGGTCAGCCAGATCGATTCCTCTAATCGCCAGTCATCATCTCCATAAATTCTGTATTCGAAAATAAGGATTCGTTTTAGAAAAGAAAAAATAAAGCAATGTAATATAGGGAACCCACCATCAAAGTCCACTGTTCCGGAGCCATCGGTATCGATCTCAGCAATGATGCCGTCCAGGTCGCTGGAGGAGAGCTTGTCGTCCAGGGCGGCGAGGATTTCCTTGAGCGTGGAGGTGGTGATGTAACCGTTGCCCTCGCGATCGTACAGACGGAAGGCCTCTTTCAGCTCCTTCTGAATGGCCTCGGCGTCCTCCTCCTCGAGGAAATGGGCGGCAATGTTGCAGAAGCCATCAAAGTTCACTTTACCAGTATCCTCCGGATCGTTCTCGTCAATCAGATCCTGCAGCTCGCTCTCCTCGAACATCTGGCCCATGCTGTTCAGAATGGTCTTGAGGCGCAGGGTCTCGATGAAGCCCGTCTTTTGTGTGTCGAACATTTGGAATGCCTTGCGCATGATGTCCATCTTCTCGTCATCCTCCTGCAGTTACGAAAATGAACCCACAAAACACATTAAACACTTCACAGACTGCCACCATTGATTGCACAATCCCCCCTCAAAAAAGAAATGGTACACCCGATAGATACCATTTTGTATCTGTATCTGAATCTGGCTGGGCGACAATCTCAAAGGCGGGTAGACGAGTATCCCAATTTCCAATGCGTTCCAACTGCGTTGGCCTGCGGACGAGAACTAAACCGATCGCCTGGCCAAGATCATTATTTATAAACAACAAATTTCGCTTAGTGGAAGCGTCACTCATACGCAGCATACACCTAAGAAAAGGCAAAAGCAATAGTAGAGGTACACAGGCCGAGGCAGAGGCAGAGGCCGAGGCGGTGGAGGAGGAGGTGGTGTACATCTATGTACATCCAAATCTATCCTTCGGTTATTGTTGGTTTGGCTTTCGGCAAAGCACTTTATTAACAGCCATTGGAATGCGAGAACTGCCGGAGGTGGTGGTGGTGGTGGAGGATGCGGAGACTGATTCTGGCCAGACGCTGATCTAAATCAGATCAAAGTGTTACAGGTGCACAACCGATCGGCGGCAGTGGGTGGTGGGTGGTTGGATTGGGTGTTTTGGTATTTGTTTTTTTTTCTCCCCCCGGGATAGCTTGGGTATGGTGTCGGCTGATATCTAAGGTCAGAGCAGAGGCAGTACAGCGACGTCATTTCCATCATCTTTCCACTGCTGGCAGCCGAAAAAACGAGCGCACAGCGCACGCCACAATTATGCAAAGAGCAGCACTCAGATACATGGACACAGATACACTTACAGATACAGATACATTAACAGATAGAGATATATGCTATACTCCCTCGCATCCGCATCCATGTGGGTGTGCGTGCCTGGTGTGTCGGTCACTCAGTCAGTCACTAAAAATCGACTATAAACGTCTTCACAATCAGTCACAAAATCAGCGCGATTTTCTCACGGTAATTGTATTTTTAGTACTTTATAGCAATTTTTGTCCATATGATCATGAGTGGGCCAGATGCCGTCTCTGCTGGTTCTGCCGATTCCACAGGCTCTTGGCCGCTACTGCTTGATGTTAGTGTTGTGGTTAACCGCTGCGAACCGCCCCCATGCCTAACCCCTTCTACACAGGAAGAAAAAAGCGAGAAAGACATCAATCGAATTCGGTTCCTGCCAGATCAATAATTTCCACAACATTGATTAGGAACATGATCCATCACGGGTCCAATAATTACCATCACGGTTTTATTGGCCTAATAATTCAGACTTACTGCCAATATTTGAATAAACTTTTGGAATGCCTTCTATGTTAGATAGTTCTGGTAACCTCGCTGATATAGTACATCCTCCCTTTTAAGGACTCTTCTAAGTAAGAACCCCTCTAAGTACTGTCCTATTTCTCCCTGTGTAACTACCTTCCCCCACTCGGAAGCTCGCAAATTGTTTTCTGCGCAAAAATGTTGATTTGGTTTTATATTTTTGCTTTAAAACAAACAAACAGGCATTCAGGCTGGCAAATGGACATCAAGCAAGATGGACAGGTCAGTCGGGAGAAGCGAAAGGGGTTTGGATAGTTCGTTCGGTCTTTGTGTCTCTGTGTGTAACCTTCCGACGGCATTTTTTGGCAAAGGCAGCCAGTAGCAGTGGCAAGAGCAGCAACTTTGATGGTCATTTGATTTTTATTATTTATGACAAAACGTGAAACACTTTTGGAATGTGCCGCCGGGCCAAAACTGAAGGTGGATGGGTGGGGTAATGGAGGTGGTAGTATGCCTTCATTTTTTTGGGTGGCAAGTATTGGAGGGGGCGACACCAGAGTGCACTCATACTCATCTACCGAAAGTTCGATTGTTTTTGCATAATTCCCAGAATATGCGCTTCCCCTTGTATAAATAGCTCGAGTGGTGGCCAGTGGCCACAGACGTGGCACTAGTTCTAATTCGGATGCTGACAGTTTGGTGGCATGAAATTTAAGGCAAGATTTACGACGTAATTACCACAACAAATTGTATGAGCCAGGAGCGAAGTCGCAACGACTGCGCCGAACAGGCATTCTAAAAATGAAAATTATGAAAATAGTTTTATGCTTCTGATTCGTCTTGGGACGAAGCTACCTTAAACAGAATGTTTGGTTCATATACGAGTTGTAATTTTTTTTATAAACCATTTCTAGGGCCCTCTTTGGGCGCCTTGAATTTCTGATCCCGCATCCAAACCAATTACAAAATTGTTTCGCTTTCCTTTTCCGGCTGAATGAAACGAAATTGATTAAAATAGCTTATGCCACGTAGCGCGTCTCCAGCTGTGGTTAAAACGGTTCTGTGGTCGTATATTCATTCAGGAAAGGAGAAGGAATGGATCTATATTGGTCTTTGCTACTTTTAATGGGTAATTAAGGCCAAAATTAAAGGACTAAACCTTACCGTAGTATAACCCTTTTGACAGGCTTGTCTAGCCTTAGTTTGGTGGCCGCCTTTGACGATACCTTAGAGGCGCCCAGCTGTTTTGAACTTACTGACGACAAGTGTCCCAATAGCAACATATCTTTCTGGATATATACGTAAAGTGCTTCTGATTAGTTAGTAACATATTCTGAAGATTCAGTCTCTCATAGGAAAAGTAATCCCAATGGTACGAAAGGGAATGTAACGAATCTAAGCTTGCTTACTCCCCAAAGGCCGTTAAAAGTTCTGATTCATGGATTTAATGGAAACCGGGATTACACTCCAAATGACCAGCTACGTTCCTTGTTACTAGGCCGCGACTACAATGTGGTATCTGTGGACTACGCCAACCTCGCCAAGGAGCCGTGCTACTATGAGGCGGTTCTCAATGCGCCGAGTGTGGGTCGTTGCCTGGGCAGAATGCTGAGAACCCTTCTCTACCATAAGATTGTTAAGAATGAAGATATTCACCTCATCGGCTTTGGTTTGGGGGCTCATGTGGCCAGCTTTGCCAGCAATTTTTTGAAGGAGCCAGTGTACCACATCACCGCCTTGGATCCCGCCAAGCCATTTTTTTTGGTCTCGGATCTGGCCAAGAAACTGGATCCCAGTGATGCCAAGTTTGTGGATGTCATCCACACGGATGTAATGATGCTGGGACTGTTGGATCCGGTGGGCCATGTCGATTTCTACGTCAATATGGGCCTTAGCCAGCCCAATTGTGGTGCCAAAAACAAGAGTAAGTAATTGTAAATTTATTTTTTTTATAACCTAATGTGTTTTAGTGGATACCCATGCCTGCTACCACAATCGCTCGGCGATATACTATGCCGAGTCATTGAGCTCTCCCACCGGATTCTATGGCTATCACTGCTCCAGTTTCAAGGATTTCGTATCGGGTGCCTGCTCAACCAAAGATGATGTGCAGCTGATGGGATTAGACGTCAGCCCCCAGTAAGTAACTGATCGATTTTCTAATCGACTTTCTAACCAAAACTCCCCTTCAAGAAGTGCCAGGGGACGCTACTTTTTGGATACCAATGACGCCCCTCCATATGCCATGGGCAGGACCAATAAACTGAACCGCCAGGTGATGGGACGTACCTACGTAAACGATGAAATCATGAAGAAAATGTTTGGCATTGGGACTGAATAGATATGTGGCAATCACATTCCCTTCTAAGTAAATGTTTTATAAAAAGGTAGGCATTCAATAAAAACGGAAGGAGGCTCTTGAAAAATGTTTAAAATTTATTACATACTTTCGGGGGCAAAAGTAGACGTTTCTACTAGAAAGATTCCAGGTACCACTTTTCAAAACATATTATCTTTAAAAATATTCAACACTTTCGCTAAAGAATTATATGTATATATTTTGTAGATACATTCTTCTGTTCTGTTTCCCAATTTTTGTTAAAAAATTCATATTTTTAAACTCAATTTAAATGCTTTGTCGAAGCATATTTTTTTTGACGTGTTCAGGTAAGTTTTACCTTTCGCTGGCAATCAACAGGAGAGGACGGAGGCGAAGGGGCGCCGTGTCATCAACTCGTTGGGCCAGATGACAGATGCCAAGAAAAAGTTGCCGCCACTGGCTGACTGAAAACACGGCTACATATGCATATTTATATCGAAAGCAATTTCACGCGCCTTTGCCTTTTCATTCGAAACGCGAAACATAATGGAATTCTCGGTTGCGAGGGGCGGCGGACTAACGAAACTAACGCGGAACTAACAGGGCCCAAAAACAACAAACGCCTTGCATTCCGTCGCCAAGAAGCGACTACAGCCGAGGATGCATTTTGGACACGACTCCAAATCAAAGCAGGCGACGTCGAGTTTGATCGATAAAAGTCAACTGTTTGGAGCGCCCGACGTGGAGCTAATCAGAACTCGTCCGATGAGTAGTACGTAGTCGTCAGTAGACTGTTAAACCGAACGAAAACGGCAAACGGCTGAAACAATCACGGATACGGACAGAGTCAAGGTAAGAAGGAAGCCACTATGGAAGAGCTCCAGGATGCCAGCATCCATCACATGACCGCCAAGGTGATTACGGCCATCAAGAGCACCAAATGCTACGAGCCCTTGTTCAAGGAGCTGCAGCGACTGGTCTGCAATCCCACGGTGGATACCCATGACATGCGCAACACCTTGGAGGACGCCATCAAGGGTGCCGGCCTCGAGACGGAAATCCGTAACATTGTCTACAATCTGGTCCGCAGCCGCCTCACCAAGTCCGAGGAGAAGGCCCAGACCAGCAAACAAAATTCGGTGGGTAGACAATGTCTACAATGTCTACTAGACATAGTAGGTCAAAATAGTTTTATTTTCCAAATTCCGACAAGTGAAGGGAAGTAACTCAATATAACTAGAAGAGTTATATTTGTTGTTTATTTTACTTCCCCTGCCTTTTACAAATTGTAAACCAAAATGAAAATATAATTTTTGTTTTTGTTTTTGATCTATCCAAATGGACGTGTCAAAAAGTTCTTCATCCTTTGTTACTGTTAAAGTTAAATCCTTCGTTACAATTACTTGTAATTTTCTTAAATTTTAAATATTAATTTTTTCCTATCAGAAACCCACCGTTAGCGATCCCCTTGGCTACTTGAAAAGGGCGGGAGTCCTTTGGGATCGCAGAGTGCGAAAGAGCCTTAATGCCATGTGCACCGAACTCAAGGTCCCGCTGCATGGCCAGCCCAGGATCAGTGCCGACCGAGAGGACTTTATGGCCAAGTGGAACGAGTTGAGCAACTACAATATGGGTATGTATATTTCAAGTATTTAGGAGAGTGATAAATGAAAAAGTTCCTTTAGATTTGGCAAACTATAGACCCGTTTACGCACCCAAGGACCTGTTGGAAGTGCTCCTGTCTCTTAAAGGACCAGCTAAGACCACCGAACACACAGAGTATGTGGGTCTGTTTTGGTATATAATAGTTATAATTTCTTATTTTCTGTCCTTCAGCCATATCCCCCAATGGGAATTCTCACACATAGCTCTTCCTGTAAAAAATCTCTTCGAGCTGAGAGCCCATTACGCAGATCTCCTGCGCAGTGACAGTTATTTGGGTGTTCCGGATCTAACTGTCCAGTGCCAACGTATCCTTGAGGCCAGACATGCTCCAATGTGTCAGCAGTTTTTAAAGAAGGGCTGTACTCCAGCTCCCTATCGGGGAGCCTTGTGGGCCTCTGTGCTGGACAGCAAGTTGCACGATTACGTAAGTAGCAGGTCATTCGAATATTCCAAGAGAGGGTAAAAGATTATTACCATCTAGGATATCGAATACTGGCAAAAATTGCGCAATTCCGTGTGGACCACGGATCACATAGTGGACAAGCTGGTGTTCAAGGACATCCAGCTGACTGCTTCCAACGACGACCAGTACTTCGTGTTCGAGGACGTGCTCTACCAAGTGCTGCTCTGCTTTTCCCGGGACACAGACATCGGCGGCTGCGTGGAGTACGAAGCCTTTCCGGTCAAGGGCAAGACCTACGAGGGTCCTCCCTCGGGTGTGGTGCCATTCCACGGCATCTGCATGTTCGCAGCCCCATTCTGCTACTTGTACGACTCCCCAGTAAACCTCTACTATACCTTCCGTGCCTTCTATATCCGCTACTGCCATCGCCTCACCACGATCAACACGCATCCGCAGGGCATAGTCAGTTTGTGCCTTCTCTTCGAGAAGCTACTCCAGACCTACGAACCCCAACTTTGGTCGCATTTTCGTGAGCTCCAAATACAGCCGTAAGTAGGACCAAAGGGCTCAGGATCTTGGATCTTTAATAAACACATTTATTCCTTCCAGCCTGCGTGTCGTCTTCAAGTGGCTGATGCGGGCCTTTTCGGGCCATCTGCCTCCTGACCAGCTGCTGGTGCTTTGGGATTTGGTAAGGACCTGCCCACTATTGCATGAAGTTGCAATTTCAAATTCTTTCTAATTGTATTTTCCAGATCCTTGGCTTTGATAGCCTAGAGATTTTACCGCTCTTCGCAATTATTATCCTTAGCTTCCGGAAGGAAAGCATCATGCAAGTGGCCTCCCTAGACAGCATCGAAGCTATTCTAGCGGATCTCTCCTCCATCAAGGTTCTGCCTTTGGTCCAATTGGCACTAAGTCGGGACTGAAGGAACCTCTAGTATTCGGTGGGTTTCATCGTAGTAACTAAATTAAAGTATTAGAGTGCAATATGAATTAAATTTGTCGCAAATGTAAAATATATTTCTTTATTATTAAAAAAAGATTAATATCAAAATAATCAATGGCAAAAATTAGAAACAGAAACAGAGGGAATCATTTGCGTTCTACGAAATCCAGATGAACGCCGCCCTTCAAGGCAGCCATAAAGTAGGTGTCATCGTACTGATTATCCTTTCGTGTTTTGGGATTAACCTTGATGTCAAAGTTGCGCACAATCTCCACCAAAGCAGCTTTCATTTGGGTGAGAGCGAAGCGCATACCTGAAATAGAAGTAACTTTTAAGCCTCTGAAACAAATTTGAGGCATTATTGATCCTACCTGGACAGATGCGAGGACCATCACCAAAGCCAAAGTAAACACCTTGGTCCTTGTATTTTTTGATTCCTCCGTTTTCCTCTAGGAAGCGCTCAGGCTTGAATGTTTCCGGGTCTTCAAAGTATTGGGGATCGTGATAGAGAGCATTAGTTGGGAGGATGACCACATCACCGGGATTTACTTGGACCCTGACTCCATTCTTGTTGATGAACTCATAGGGCTGGGTTACCAATTTTCGGGACGACAAGCCAGGGGGGAAAATTCTCAAAGCCTCTGAAGAGTATTTGTAAATATTATATTTAAGAAAATATACTTCCATTTATGTTCGGGAATAACTCACCATGAATACAGGCATCCAAGTAGGGCAGTTCACTCAGCTGTTCAAAGGTCAGTTCATCCTTGCCGATTTCCTCTCTCAACAATTGCTGCGTCCGCGGATAGCGTCCCAGGGACAGTAGAGTATGAGCCAACACCTGAGCCGTTGTCTCGAATCCGTCCGTGAGGAAGGTCATCGTGTGCGAGGTCAACTCCATCACATTTAGACCCCGTTTATCCTGCAACTGCAGCATGTAATTGAGGAAGTCCTCCCGCTGCTGGGGATTCTCCCGCCTCAAGTTGATGCACTTCTTCATGAGGTCGTAGAAGAATTCTTCAACGTCTTTGGCAAACAGAGACACTCTGTAGAACCTTTGGATTGGCGGCCAGATGGTGGCCAGGGTCATGTAGAAGAAAAATCCAAAGGAATGCTCGAAGACGCGCTTGATCATACCCACAACGGGCGTGGGTGTGTCAGTAAAGTTCTGTGCAGAGATGCCCAGGACACAGTCGGAGACCACTTCGGTGGTGTAGCACAAGCACAGATCCTTAGCATTCAAGCCATCCGATGAGGCAATTCGTTGCTGTTTCTTGATATAATCCACCAGTTTTATGCACACGCTCTGGGACACTGGGTATGCGGCCTTGATCTGTTAAATAAATTACAAAAATTTATTAGAAGAATGGGGCACCAGCATTTGTTTACTCAATGGCTACGGGCCCTGCATATTAATTGACACTCTCCCAATGAAAACTGACGTATAAGCCTAACAAACATTATTACGTCGCACTTTTGGGAACCAGTTTCTCTCCAAGTCTTACCCGATGAGCCGACAGTCCGGGTGTGACTTCCGCACGCCTCTCCTTCCACGCCTCGCCCCTCAATATGAACGGATTGTTGATCAAGATTGAGTCCCCAGAGTTGTCGGTCTAAAATTGAAAATAAATCACAGCTCTAAGCCAAAGTACTTTTCTATTTCTCACAAATTGGCTCATTTCGTTGTCATGGAAGCTGCGGAAGTCGTTCACAAAAATCTTGCGAATATATTCCGGACTGGTTATGAGGAGTTGGGGATTACGAGTGTTGTAGACACCAACGATATTGTCCGTGTCCTTATATTGGCTATAAGAAAAGTCTTAGTTTTTGAACACATCTAGGTATTAAAGTACTCACTTGTAGATGTCATCGATATCATAGACCATGTTTCGCTTTTGCGTAAACATGCTGGGGAAACTGCCCACAAAAGGCCATGCTTTGGCCTCGGGGATCCCCCGCTTCTTCCAATAGCCAAAGTTCCAAACCAGGAAGACATAGATCAGGGCCACAAACCCGACCAACAGAAACAAAATCGTTGTAAGTGGACACATCGCACAACCGCTCGGCAACGCGGAGAAAAACGAACTGAAGCAACCTCCATTGAGCAACCTCCGTGATTTAAATTGAACTTGATGACAGTCAAGTGGATGGGCGGGCGGTCCACAAACATGGATTCACCCAATAAACAAATTGATAAAATGGCCTGCTTCCCATACTAAAATACTCCCTGACTTCTATTTGACGATAAGAGACGCTAGTGCTATCAAGATCAAGTGGAAGCCCTTGACTATACCTTCACCAATGAGGCGATAAGTAAATTGTGATAGTAACCTAGTAAGTTATAGACAATCTGAATTCTCTAGCATTCTCCCTTGGTCTTCCTCGAAGTCGAACGAAAATTTATTTTAGCTCCTTAAAGTCTAGCCAAACGCCTCCTTTTAGAGCTGCCATGAAATACGTGTCATCAAACCGATTATCCGTGCGAGTTTTAGGGTTAACTTTGATGTCAAAGTTACGGACTGTATCCACCAGAGCCGCTTTGAGTTGCGTTAGAGCGAATTTCATGCCTGAAAGATGGGATATTCGGATTTAGTCCAAAGCCAAATGACTCTTTTGAACGTACTCACCCGGGCAGATGCGGGGACCATCTCCAAATCCAAAGTAAACTCCTTGATCTCTGTACTTTTTGGCTCCACCATTGGACTCCAAGAATCGCTCTGGTTTGAATTTTTCCGGATCTTCATAATACTGAGGATCATTTTGAAGGGAGTTTACTGGAACCAGGACGACATCACCGGGATTAACCTTAACTGTGACACCATTTTTGTTTACGAATTCATACGTTTCGGTTACCAGCTTCCGTGCCACCAAAACGGCCGGAAAAATTCTCATGGTTTCTGGAAATAAATATAATTTTTACTTCAGCTATACTTTGCGAACAATTTATGTTTTTACCATGAATGCAGGCTTCCATATAGGGCAGCTCACTGAGTTCCTCGAAGCTCAAGTCCTTGGTGCCTACCTCTTCCCTTAACTTTCGAATTGTCTCGGGATTACGTGCCAGCAACAGAAGGATGTGAGCCAGGGCTCCAGCTGTTGTCTCGAACCCGTCCGTAAGGAAGGTCATCGTATGCGAAGTCAGCTCCAGGGTATCTAGACCTTTTTTCTCTTGGAGGGTCAACATGTAATTGAGGAAGTCGTCGCGTTGCTGAATTGGATTCTCCTTTCTTAACAGGATGCACTTCTTCATGATGTCGAAAAAGAAGTTCTCAACATCCTTGGAAAAAAGTGGAACCGTGTAGAACTTCCTGATTGGAGGCCACAGATTGGCGATTATGGTAAAGAATATGAAGCCAAACGACTGATCGAAAACCTTCTTGATCATTCCAACCAGCTGTGTGGGGTTATCCGTGAAGCTCTGGGCTGAGATACCTAGGACACAGTCCGAGACCACTTCTGTGGTGTAGCACAGGCACAGATCCTTGGCGTTTATTCCATCAGCCGGAGCCATTTTGATTTGTTTTTTGATATAGTCGACAAACTTCTTGCACACATCTTGGGACACAGGATAGACGGCTTTGACCTTTAAATAAAATTAGATAACTAAAAATATAAGCCGTCATTAACATACAAGAATAACAAATATCAATTCTCCTGTTTTGTTTATTATCATTAACTCTTCCAATTTGAAACCTAATCAGTGATAACTTTTAATTTATATTTTAAGTGCCTTATAATTAGCTGATGATAACCTAATAAGTATGGGCAATACATATTGAAATCACAACGTTATCATCTACACAGCGAGTTCTTTTTCAGAACGCTGAATAAAAATGACTTGCCCGATTTGCTGAAAGGCCTGGCGTTACTTCGGCTCGCCTCTCCTTCCACTCATTTCCAAACAGTACAAATGGATTGTTGGCCAATATCTTGTCCACCTTCTTGTCAGTCTGTCAAGGAATATGATCAAGGAAAATTCTTATCAATTTTAGTTATATATTTTCAAGTACTCACAAACAACCCCATTTCATTATCATGGAAACTGCGAAAGTCGCTGGAAAATACTTTATGAGCGTACTCCGGTGTGAGGACCAAAAGTTGGGGAAGTCGGGTATTGAACAATCCCACAATGCTATCAGAGTCCTTGTATTGACTAATAATAATATATTGTTAGTTTTTTTCTCGAATCAATGCTTTGCTTACTTGTAGATTTCATCAATGTCATAGACCATGTTCCTCTTCTGGGTGAACACGCTGGGTAAACTGCCCACGAAAGGCCATGCCTTGGCACTTGATATTCCACGCTTCTTCCAGTAGTTGAAGTTCCACGTCAAAAAGACGTACACCAGGGCCAACAGACCCAACAAGCCCAAAAGAATTGTGGTAACCGGACACATGACCACACGCCAATGAAATCAGAACCCGACTGAGGATACATTGAGCTATTTCTGTGATTTAAATGAAACCACCTCCCGGTCAAGTACTACGTATGTGTATGTATAAAGCAATCTTGAATTCAACTAACGAATTGATAAAATTGCGCCGCACCTAATGCTTCACATTTAAAAGCACTATCTGTGTGTTTTGTTCAGTGATAAGAGATTATGTGGACATATAGCTCAATTGGGATGCGATAATAACTAAACAAAAACTAGAAAGACAATATAACTGACAAAAATAAAACAAAATAAAAGCTTATAAAAATTACAAGTCCTACTAAACGTTTTTAACGGATTTAATTTTATTTTAAAGAGTTTTAAAACAAGCAATCTATGACTTATTTGAAACCTTAGCACTTAATGTTAATTTAAGAAAGTTTTAAGAACACTTATCTACACAAGAATTTAAGACAACCCATTGGACACAAAATATCAAAATGATTGAAATGTTTAATGAACCCATACCCGAGGTGGATATGATGAAAGTGGCCACAAACGCCGATGTACATCGTAGAGCTATTCTTGGCTTTGCTCCCCGGATCGGTATGGTCATTGTTGACTACGCTGATCTGGACAGGATCGACAACTTCTATTTGGAGTGCCAGAAGTATAGGGACTACTATCGCGATCCGCACCATAAAATGCACAAGCCCACCCGGTTCCGGCAGCACCAGGGCAAGTGTGGAATCAAACTCGATCGGAGTGTCAAGCAACTGACCCAGCCGATCCGTTGGGTTGGAGAACGGCAGCCAGTAATCTATCCGGAGATCAGGAATACCAGCATGCGTCTGGGCGTGCCTCTAATGCCCCAATTTCTAGGACGCTACGACAAATACACCTCTGTCGCCTACAAACGCTAAGAGATCGTTTCGGATCTTGCCTGTATGCGTTCGCTTAAGGTCTAGGTTTCTTTGGGAAAGTTTCGAGAATTGATTTTTGATATATCTATCGGGTCGAACTTGAGGCGGTCTCAAAGAATCTCAAACCTTAAGCAAGCTCATCTTTGTATTAAAATTAAATTGTAAATACACGACTACACAAGGTCAATACAAACATATGTGAATTATATAGTGCAATTAAAAACAAAACATATTGATTTTAAAAATTGTGAAACTATGTTAAGCCATAGTTTGCTCAAATATGCTTAGGGTTAGGCTTTTGAAGTTGAAAGATCAAAATACTTTAAAACTTGGTAACAAACGCACTAAATTTTACAAAAAATATTCAAGATTAAATTTTATTTCAGTTCCTTAAAGTCTAGCCAAATGCCTCCTTTTAAAGCGGCCATAAAGAATGTGTCATCAAATCGATTATCCGTGCGAGTTCTTGGGTTAACTTTAAAGTCAAAGTTACGGACTATTTCCACCAGAGCCGCCTTGAGTTGTGTGATTGAGAATTTCATACCTTTAAGAAGAAATTGAGCTTGTGATAACCCAAGTATTTAATTTTATAAGCTTTACTCACCTGGGCAGATGCGGGGCCCATCACCAAATCCAAAGTAAACTCCTTGATCTCTGTACTTTTTGGCTCCACCATTGGACTCCAAGAATCGTTCTGGTTTGAATTCTTCCGGATCTTCATAGTACTGGGGATCCTTTTGAAGGGAGTTTACTGGAACTAGGACGACATCACCGGGGTAAACTTTAACTCTGACACCATTTTTGTTAACAAATTCATACGTCTCAGATACGAGTTTCCGTGCATACAAAGCAGGTGGGAAAATTCGTAGTGTTTCTGGAAAAAAATATTGCTCTTTCTTTATCTATGTGTTTACATCTTTCTACTTACCATGAATGCAGGCTTCAATGTAGGGCAGTTCACTCAGCTCCTCGAAGTTCAGTTCCTTGGTGCCTACCTCTTCCCTTAACTTTCGAATAGTCTCGGGATTCCGTGCCAGCAACAAAAGGATGTGAGCCAGAGTTCCAGCCGTTGTCTCGAATCCGTCGGTGAGGAAAGTCATCGTATGCGAGGTCAACTCCACTGTATCTAGACCTTTTTTCTCTTGAAGGGTCAACATGTAATTAAGGAAGTCGTCTCGTTGCTGAACTGGATTCTCTTTCCTCAACTGGATGCACTTCTTCATGATGTCGAAAAAAAAGTTCTCCACATCTTTGGAAAATAATGGTACGCTGTACAGTTTTCTGATTGGAGGCCACAGATTGGCCACTACATTGAAGTATATGAAGGCAAATGACCCCTCAAAAACCCTCTTGATCATTCCAACCAGCGGTGTGGGGTTATCCGTGAAGCTCTGGGCCGAAATTCCAAGGACACAGTCCGAAACCACTTCGGTGGTGTAGCACAGGCACAGATCCTTGGCGTTTATTCCATCAGCCGGAGCCATTTTGATTTGTTTTTTGATATAGTCGACAAACTTCTTGCACACATCTTGGGACACAGGATAGACGGCTTTGACCTTTATAATAAATTATCAAAAATTTACTAACAAAGCTTATCTACAAAATTACCACCATAGGCATTATAATCTTCTATAACATCACCATTATTATATTCTATAACATGGTAAACTTGAAGTTGAAATTTAAGTAGTTTGCTCAAGGTTTAAAATTGATATTATTACCTACATATACTGCTTATTATTATCAATAAATGCGGATTACATTTTATCAGGTGGGCAATAAAATCAATACCTTTATCAGCAACCTATTAATGTATTACCTATTAACTAGATTTGTTTTGCCCATGGAATGCATTCACTGCCGGCATTTACGTACCCGGTTTGCTGAAAGTCCTGGCGTTACTTCGGCTCGCCTCTCCTTCCATTCATCTCCCCTGAGTACAGCTGGGTTGTTGGCCAAGATTTTGTCCACCTTTTTGTCAGTCTGGCACGAAACGATCCATAAGATAGTCACTTTTAATTGATAATATTGTTAGACCACTTACAAACAAACCCAGTTCATTATCATGGAAACTGCGAAAGTCCGAGGCATATATTTTGTGCGCATACTCTGGAGTTGTTACCAAAAGTTGTGGAAGACGAGTATTGAACACTCCAACAATGCTGTGCGAGTCCTTGTACTCACTAATATAAAACAGAGTGAAATGTTAGTGAATTTATTGCTTAGTTGTAGACAACTCACTTGTAGATATCGTCAATGTCGTAGACCCTGTTCCGTTTCTGGGTGAACACACTGGGGAAACTGCCCACGAAAGGCCATGCCTTGGCACTTGGTATTCCACGCTTTTTCCAATAGTTGAAGTTCCATGTTAAGAATACGTATACCAGTGCCAGCAGCCCAACAAGCCCCAACAAAATCGTAGTAACCGGACACATGACCGTTCGCCAACGAAAACAGAACTAGACTGAGCTACATTGAGAATGTTCTCTGCTTTTAATTAAGCTCTCTGCCGGTCAAGTTCATAGGCACTTGGCAGCCCCATTTACACTATAAATTGATAAAATTGCCAGTGACGCCATATCTAATGGTTCCCATGAAATGCACAAACTATTTTTTATAGTTATAATATATTTTGTGAAGATGAAGATGAAATATTTTTTGCTTATTTACTAAATGTTAAATAATTGTGCAAAAATAAATATAGGTAAAAAAGCAGCCAAAAAAAAAAATAACTAACCAGTACGTTTGAACTGAATATTTAAACATTTCTGATGAGGAGAGGAACTCATTTTATCTGTACGGTCAAGTCCTCCCTTCTTTTTAATATGTATATAAACAAGAAAGGAAAGCTAACTTCGGGCGGAGCCGAAGTTTATATACCCTTGCAGTTAAAACCGAATATATATCGCAAACATCGGATATAGTTGGCCGATCCTTATGATTTCATCATAATAAAACCAATTTACTAAAATACAAAATCTAAAATAAGTCCCAAACTTCTATCTTCAAAAATACGAAAGTTGATATTTCTACCAAGTACCATTTCCGATCGTTCAGTTATATGGCAGCTATAGGATATAGTCGACCGATCCTAATGAAATTTGGTAGGTCGGATCAACTGGCCAATAATAGAATCTGTATTAAGTTTCAGCTTTCTATCTTTAAAAACACGAAAGTTAGGTCATTCCCGATCGTTCAGTTATATGGCAGCTATAAGATATAGTCGGTCGATCCTTATGAAATTTGGCATGTCACAATAATTTGCCTAAAATAGCTCTCATGTTAAATTTGAACTCTCTAACTCTAAAACACCAAAGTTATACCATTTCCGATCAATCAGTTATATGGCAGCTATAGGATATAGTCGGCCGATCCGGGCCGTTCCGACTTATATACTGCGTGCAAAGAAAAGAAGGGTGTGTGCAAAGTTTCAAGACGATAGCTTCAAAACTGAGAGACTAGTTCGCGTAGAAACGGACAGACAGACAGACAGACAGACGGACAGACGGACAGACGGACAGACGGACATGCTCATATCAACTCAGGAGGTGATCCTGATCAAGAATATATATACTTTATAGGGTCGGAGATGTCTCCTTCACTGCGTTGCACACTTTTGGACAAAATTATAATACCCTCTGCAAGGGTATAAAAAGTAAGTGAGTATGCCTTGTTGCCATGACTGAATTTTGAAATCTTTGGTGTTTAAGGTTAGTTTGGTGTCGGTATTTTACCTATTTATTTGATAAGTTTGTCTATCCGAACATGATAAGAGACAGTTTATATAGTTAAAAAAAATCAACCATATGCAAAATCATACATATGTATATGTATACTTGTGACTTCTGATCTTAAACAATTAGCCCATGATAACGATTTTGCCACTTCGTTTAGGGGTCAAATATATGAAAATAGAAGCAACGCTTTTAAAAAATTAGTTCAGAAACGATGCAAACAACAATTTGAAGCATCAACCATCCAATACTGATTACTTTTTGTTAATTTGATAATGATAGCAATGATAGATAATGATAGAATATACAGTACTTTTCAGTGCTCACAGAGCAGAAATCAGAAGGAAAGTTACTTGTTCTTGACCCGGAAGCTAAAACATCGTTTTTTTTCCCTTCTCTTTATTTCACTGGGTTATTTTACCCTTGACTTTAGAAAATTCTGCAGAAACCCTAAAATAATATTATTATTCTGTCTCCTTGTTCTACTTGAAATGAAAATAGTTTCCGTAAATAAACATTTTTTAAATTTTGTGCATTTTTTTAATATACTTTTAAACAGTCTTGGGATGGTTACAAAAAGGTTTGTGCGAAGAAGTTTCTTAAATTCCATAGTTCAACAAATTACTAATTGTATTTTGGTCTAATCATCATTTCAACAAATGTAAGTGAAAGAGACCAGTCGTTTTTGTGCCAACTTTCCCAAAATATGCCGTATGACTTTTTCTTCATCTTACCATCTTTGTAAAATCTTCCGTTTAGGGAGCTGTAAATTTAAGAATTAAGTTTAATCTTTTTAAGATTAACAAATTTTTTTTGTACTTTATACCTGTGTCCACATCTTTCAAACCACCAACCACCACCACACGCCACAACGCATCTTAATTTATCCAGGTCATTATCCCTGTCCCATGTCGAAAATTTCAGTCCCTCATTGATTTTGAGGGAATCGCCTGCACCTCCAGTGGAACTTCCAATCGATTCTAATGAATACAAATTCTTCTCACTACCAACCCTAAAATCATCATAGTTCACAAAATCCATAGATCCGTCAACTTTTCCCAGACGGATATGCAGTTCGTGCTGCCTCGATTCTGTCAGTAGGTGCAACTTCTCCAAGCCTAAAAAGAACTCTCCTGTCCAGTTGCCAAATCCATCTTTGTATTCTGTCCAATTCCGTTCAAAGTTCACACTTCCGTCCATCCGTCTCTGAATCACCATCCATCCAGATCCATTGCAAGGAGCCTCAAAGACACTCACTCCTGGAATCTTTATATGATAAGTACCTTTTCCGGCGGTGGGGCAATAGTTTGATTTATCACATTTTACAAGTTTTTCATTAGCTTTAGTTAAGTTTTGGGATATAACATTTATTTGACTGGTTAGGTCCCTATTTTGAGCATCCTTGCTCTGTACCTGATCAGCCTTCTCCTTGATTTCATGCTCCTTTTCTTGAATTATTTTTTCTTGTTCAATCAAAGTATAATTGTTTTTATTTATATTGTCCAAACAACCTAGCAGCTCATGATTTTTTTCTTTTATTTGCTTATTTAATGAATATATAAGCGTATCTTTATTTTTAATTTCATTTTGTTTTTCGTAAATTTCACTTTTTGTAAGCCTTATTATCTCATCGTTGCTTTTAATCAGAGCGTTCAATGTTTTTATTTGTTCATCTTTACCTTTTATAATCTCATTTATTAGCTGATTTTTGATTGTCACTTCCATCAGTTGGTTTTTGAGTTCACTGCTTTTGTCGGCGGCCGTCTTTAATTCTCGGAAATGAGCTAAAATAGGCTTAACTACTTCGAAACAACTACCACTTCATTCTATCACTTCGATTATTTGCTCAGGACACTCTTCGTTGGCAACAGTCAAAACTGACAAGGATAAGACTGACAAAAATACCACTAAAGCTCCTGGTTCCATTTCGTGCTTCCAGATCTGTATTTTAAGATTGAATAAATCCCAAGCCGGACTTGTCTTAAAACGAAGAGTCTGTCTGCGCATACATTTATGATAAGAACAGTTTTGAACTTTCCCAAGGTTATCACTGTTCTATGATTTTGCTTTATTTTGGTGATCTTCAGAATTTGTATTTCATATGATATAAATTTATTGAATAAATGAAAACTATTATTACTTCTATTATTCATTTTTACCTTTTCGTTACTTTTTCATTATCAAGGAAAAAAGGAATAGACAGCTATTGTCGCCATTTCCGTTTTAATTATACCCTGTACACTTCCTCCCAGAAATACGACCACTTCATCCGTGCTCCTATACCTCTTTCTACTCAGACTTTCTAATAACTTTCTAACTTTCCATCCTTGTGCTTATCCCTCCGATTAGCAAAAGTATTAATTTTCGAAAGAACCTTAATAGAAAGTAGATATAAGTAACATGGGTAATAATCGCATACAAATATATGCCTCAATTTACTTTATGGAATAAGAAATAAATAAATTATCTCATGGCTTAGCTCAGGTTTGGCTTAAAACTTTATTTAATAAGAAGTGCTCCAAAAGTATTCAATTTGGCTAATACCATATTAGCTTTGAATGATGGGACTTACTTAAAACAACATTAAATCTTGTCAATTGCTGCAAATTTGAGAACAAAACTAAACGAAATTTGTAATATTTTTAAATTGTTCTTTAATAATCATAATGCATATAAAGGTACAGTTGTTCACAAGAAAGGAAATCTTAAAATGCTAGATAAATTATATAAACTTGATAACGTTTCATTTTTTATAACCAGATAGAAGCAGCAAATTACACAAATTTAACATTTAAATCAAACTTAATTAGATAGGTAATAAATCGCATAGGGCTAATAAATAAATGTATGTATTTTCTCAATAATTGCTCAAGCGTTAAATAATAAAAAATAGTATTAATAAACAAGTTGGATAAGTATAAGGCAAATACAATTAGGATTATCAAAAAATATTAACAACAAAATGGGTTTCATTACTGGATGGACTTTAGCCACTTTTCTATTGGCAGATTGCATTTTTTCGATTTTTTTCAAGAGTTTTTCTTTATGTTTTATAATATTAATTTCATTTTTGTATACGCATTTTACATTTTTTCTTTATATAGAAAATTTGTTGGTTGGTTTAGCACCGGCATAGGACACTTGCTTCGTTTTGTTCAATGCTCGTGGCCCGCACGCTCCCTGTTTCTGGGGAGGATTTGACACCAATGGCTAGGACGGGTCAATGTCTATGGGTAATTTGGAAATGAGTCTCAGGAATGCTTGAAATGTCTAGCCACCGCTGCCATGTTGGTGTTTTAGGATCGATCGGATTTCATAGTGACCTGTGGCGGGTGCACTTGATGGTTATTTTCCCTCCTCCTGGCCGTGGGAGAGAGCTTGGCCAGGGAAGGATATATCCCTTGGCAGTGGTAGCTTAAAGGGCCAGAGTCTAAAAGTTAAGCAATGGCTTTTACGATCTGCATCGCCTTGAAATTGGGAGAAAGGCGAGCAGCCAGTAGCTGTCATTGGTTAGCCAATAGGTCTCCAGGCATTTGGTCTATGTGGGTCATGATTTGTCTTGCGTTTTGTTCGCGTCCCTAGCCAATTGATGGCAGCAGGAATTTGTATTCAAGCCCTGCAAAAATGTTCCACGAAATTTGCAAGACTCCGAACACAATCCCATGCTGCAATTCCTCTTTTTGAAGGGAAACGTGCGGTTATGAGTTAAATTTTCGTGTGCGTACTTTGATTTCGTATTAGCTTAATTTTTTCATTATATACAAAATGTTGGGTTCTATATGTTTTTTTGTTTTTTTTTTTTTTGATCATATACGTGGGTATATATGATTATATAAATTGTTTGCTGTGCAAATATATATGTATAATGTATATGTCGTTTTACAAAAGGGTTTCGTTACTTGTCGTTAGTTTTGCATACATGGTTATTGATCTTCATATATTTTTTTGTAGTGTTTCATGTTCGGCTCGTCGAGTCTTGTCAGTAGGTTATATACAAATTTTTTGGGGTTTTCTTCTTGTATCAATGCCTCTAGCTATCAAATCTCTATAAAATTACATACAACTACAAATTTACAACGATTTTAATTCATTTATAAATCTTTTTCCAAACGCACTAGGGTGCGAAGGTTTTTACAGGAATTTAGCATACAAAAGGCATTTGAAATTAAGGTATTTCTTCTCACACTACGCTACAGTTAGGTATTCTTATTAGGTTTCTTGACTTTGATCTTGATTTACTCAATGCACTAATCCAACGGCAACTCGACAGCATGGGTATTTGTTTGGGCATTATTTTTGGATACTTTTAGTGGGTAATTTAGGTTGGCGGAGGTCCGTGGGGGTACGACAACATCGGCTCTAGACTGCGGGCGAAGGTGTTCGAGAACATGCAGGTGTAGTCCTCACCGTGGGGCACCAGAGTGGCCACACCTAAAAGCAGCAGCATGAGAGCCTGAATGGGCAGGGAGGCACGGGCAACGCGGCCTAGGAAGCGAGCACCGCGTGCCAGAACCGTGGTATTGATGACATCGCCATCGACAGCATCGCCATCGGTGTTGCTGTGGACACAAAAATCAATTAGTTTGGGACAAAACAAAGGAATCTCAATATGAACAAAATGCTACAGCTACAAAGGGCAATCTATGTGCTCGTTAGAATCATAACTTTAAAGTGCACTAGATGCTCGAACTAAAATTAAACAATCTACGGATATTTACTTTGCATTTTCAGTGTTGGGTGCGGCGGCCTGCATAGAAGAGGTTGATAATGTAGTATTATCCAAAAGCTAGAATTGCGACAAAGAAACAGAAGGAAAAACGAAAATAAATTATAAATAATACAAATCATAAGAGATTACGAATTTTTCACATTTTCTTATTGATCTGCCAATTGGTTTCTTTTTATTTCGCGGTCTTTCAGAATTTGGAAATGGCTTGTGCATCAATAAGAGCATCAGCTAGCATTCCTGTATTCATCATAAAGCTTAGAGGCCCAGACGACCGAGGGGCGCTCAAGAAACGATTTGTTAGAGTATATTAAGTTATTTGTTAATTATTAAGCTAAGAGGAGTTAGTAAGGAAATTTAAAATTCTATATTTTAAATTAGAGGGACAGGAAAGAGATGTAATAGAGTAGAGACCATTGTAGTTCGAACATAATACCCTAAAAGGGTCATGCAGTGCATATGTCGAACTACAACGGCTAAGGAACAGAGGACTAAAGTTTCGAGTCCTTCTATTAGGAATGTTGAAATTTAAGCGTGTTAGTAAATGCTGGCTATCTACATCCCCGTTGATAAGGTTTTGCAGAAAAACTACACCGAGCATTGTCCTACGATTTGTTAAGCTAGGTAAGTTAATAAGTAAAAGTCTGCTACTGTAGGATGGAAGCTGAAGATTTGCATCCCAGTATAGACCTCTAAGTGCAAATATTAAAAGTTCTTTTGTACGGATTCTATGCGGTCCTTATGTACTCCATATTGGGGACTCCAGACACATGAACCGTACTCTAGTATCGGACGGACCAAAGAAATGAATAAAGTTTTGGTTATATAGGGGTCATTAAATTCTTTTGACCACCTTTTAATAAAACCAAGGACTCCTTTAGCCTTATTAACCATTAAGGAAATATGGTCGGCAAATTTAAGTTTTATGTCTAATAGGATGCCGAGATCATTAACCTGGGTTAATTTTTCTAAGGCAATCCCATTAATGGAATACGTAGCTTGCAGAGGGCAAGAACGATAAAAAGACATATGCTTGCATTTTGATCCATTAAGTATTAAATCATTAGCCAAACACCATTTTTGAAAGTTATCAAGGTCAGACTGAAGACTGCATTGGGCAGAGATGGATTTATACTGAAGACAAAGCTTTACATCATCTGCATACATAAGAACTAGAGAGTTCGTTAAAGCAGGGGGCAAGTCGTTTATAAAAAGCGTAAATAATAACGGGCCAAGATGACTTCCTTGAGGGACGCCGGATGTAGCACGGACCAGACGGGACTGTATGTTTTTAAATAAGACTCTTTGTGTCCTTCCATCTAGATAGCTGGAGATCCACGTTAAGAGGTCTTTAGGAAAACCCAGCATATTCAGTTTACTCAACAAAAGTGAGTGATTAACTGAATCAAATGCTTTGCTGAAGTCTGTGTAAATTACATCGGTTTGATATCCCTTACAAAAGCCGTCTATGACAAAGGATGTCAACTCCAATAAGTTTGTGGTGGTGGAGCGACGCTTAATAAAGCCATGCTGACAAGGAGTGATGATCGAAGAGCAAAGGTGTTGCAAATGAGGGGTAATTAATTTTTCAAATAACTTTGGAATTGCCGACAACTTAGAGATGCCTCTGTAGTTGGCAGCCTCGGACTTTTTCCCCTTTTTATGTAGGGGAATTATAAATGATTCCTTCCACTTAAGGGGAAAAATCGAGGTTTCCAAAGATAAGTTGAAAAGTCTTAGAAGAGGTTTGCACAGAGCCCTGGCGCAGTATTTTAGCACACAGCCTGGTACTCCGTCGGGGCCTGGCGAATAAATGGGTTTTACCCTTAAAAGACCAGATAATAAGTTGCTCTCAGAAAAAGACGGACAGAAAATAAGATTTGCTGCTTGAATGTTATATGCATAAGGCTGATCAGTCAATTTAGGAGGAGAATAAGTTGTTTGAAAAAATTCTGCGAATAGATCGGCAATGGCCTGATCCGAAGTCGCAGAGGAATTTTCAAACATAAGCAGAGGTGAAAAAGATACGTGTTTACGCTTAGTGTTTACAAAATTATAAAACTGCTTTGGATCCTGAGTAAATTGAATCCGGCAGCGGTCAATATAATTCCTATAACATTCAGCGTTATGCACGGTAAAATTCGACCGAGCTAGTAGGTATCTTGAGAAATCAACACTACTGCAGGTTTTTTTATATTTAAGTAAAAGCTTATTTTTTTTATTTTTTAGGTTAGTGAGGGACCTTGTATACCAAGGAGGATTTGTTGAAGCGGACGGATGTTTCCAAGGCACACATGAGTCAAAAAATGTATTTAAAGTAAAATAAAATTTTTCTAAAGTGACATTAAGATCAGTGCACGCCAGAATATCAGACCAGTCAAATGTATCGATAAGGCTATTAAGTTTTTGAAAATCAGCTTTACGGAAACAGCGAATCTTATTTACCACGCTCGGAGACATCTGATCGATACCAGGAGTGGTTTCGATTGAGACCTCCAGCGTGGGGTGATATGGATCCTCTGGGGCTGAAAGGGGAAAAGCTCTGGAGAGAGCGGTACCATCTGGATCAGATACAAAACATAAGTCTAAGAGCCGACCTAGCGAATTTCTGACATGATTGATCTGACCTAGGGACATGTCAAACATGCCCGCGGTGAAGTCATGGTAAGTTATAAGTGACAAAGATGGTGAGTTATCGACGTTGGACCACTTTAATTCTGGGATATTAAAGTCGCCCACCGCTACGAGTTGGTCACGATCCGTCATAAGATTAGAGACGTATCGAATAGCGGACAAATGCTGCCAATATGTGGGCGGTTCAGACATAGGAGGTATATATGAACATGTAATGTATAAAGCTTTCACGGACATAGTGATTTTAACGCAAATAAATTCTATGTCACCAAACTCTTGGGATTTCACCTCTTCAGAAGCAAAAGTAGAGTCTACCGAAATGAGGACTCCACCTCCTCTTCGCTGAGATCGATCCCGTCTAAAAGTGGTGTACTTACTTGGAAAAACTTCGGAGCTAAAGATCTCCGGATTTAACCAAGTTTCTGTAAATGCTATTATATGGGATGCAAAGAAAGAACTATCAGAATATAGCTTGGGGAGTTTGCTACGTAGCCCCCTAGTATTCTGATAGGTAAGAGTTAGTGAGGAAATTAGTTTTTTGGGTTAGAGGCCAAAGAAGAGGTGGAGGGTTGGTCAGTGGTTCCGATATTGGGAAGTCTCACTCCCACTGGTTTATTAACTTTTTTTTTAACGGAACTAGGCTGATGTTCTTGGACGAAAAGATTCTCTGGCCAAAAACTGGGAGAACAAATCGTCTTGAACATCAGCGCGGGCACACGAATCTTGAAAGAAGACGTGCGCCTTGTATAATTGTATTTAAATTTTTGTATGTCCTCCACCTTTATATCGGCTTTAGTTTTGGCTTTGATATAAGCCGAGATATCAATCTCTGAAGTATCAGGGGCAAGCCGAGAAACAAATATATGTTTCGATGGAGGAATCACCTGTAAGGGTTTTGGTGTCGCAGGTACAAGAACTGCAGCATCAGTCGGTGCCGGTGGTCCGGACTGTGGAATACCCTTTTGGGTGACCCTAATGGGGGTTTCGTTCCCTAGGACCTGTGGCATCACTTGAAGGGATGCCATGGCGGACGTATCGGACAATTGCTCATTATCCCTGAGAAATTCTGACGAATTTTTCTCAGTTAAGGCCCTTGGGGTGGCCAGAGTTATGAGCGGCTGCATTAATGTCGGCTGAGCTGGCTGAGGCGGATCAGAAACAGCGGATTTCTTACGCTTAGGGGACTCATTTAGCAGCTGAAGGCCACTAAATTGAGTGTCAAGCGCACAGAGCTGGTCATTGATTTTACGAAAACCAGTGATCAGCTCTTTAAATCCATTTTTGGTCTGTCTCATGAACGACCTCATTTCGCCTTGCACAGCACGACAATTTTCGCAACAATAATGTATCCCAGACCTACGGGAAATGGCATCCGAAACTGATGCAGTGAAACCGGCACACTTGGCGTGCACGACGTTTTCACATAACCAGCAATGGATACTAGGCTGGGATGTGGAAATCGTCTTGTTGCAAGACTTAATGGCACAGACCAGTTTAAATTCCATTTTGTTTATTATTATTATTTTTTTTTTTTTTAATTTAATAAGACAAAAATTAATATTTAAAAAGTTAAAAAACACAATACCTTGAACCACTGTGCCAAACAAGAAGCCGAAGCGGGAGCTTTGAAAGAGTGCACAAGAGAAATGCAGAAAATATAGATAGATAAGCCGGGGAAGAAGCAGAGCTGAGCTATGCTTGGAATAGAATTTAGACAAATTATTAATTCGATTCCAAATATACCAAAGCACTCGCGAAGCGATACGGTTTAGGCTTTAAGATTGTTATGATTCACAAGATTAATTCACAAAGTATGTAAACACCGGTTTACCAATATTTATCAAAAACGCAGTGCGCACAAAAAAACACGACCGTTCGCTTGAAAGAAAGAGAGGGAAGTTTCACTTACTTTTGGTGCGCTCACAAATCAACAAATAAAATCAATATGTTTTCAGGACAGTTCTCAAGGATTGTGTCAAAATAGCAAGCAATTCAGGACTTACCTCACTAGACAACAGGTGTAGGGGCACGCCAAGGTTATCGCCCTCATAGCCGAGGACGGCGCCCAGTTTGACGATATAGATTCCAGAGAGACGGCGCAGGGATTGCAGACGCAGCCGGAGATCGGTCAACCTGGAAAGGGTTCTGGAGCATTTAAAACATTTGCCAAGGCTCTTGTCGGTGTCAGTTTGGATGAAGGGTTAGAATGGGCGGACGAAAGAATTTTGAGTACCAAAAAATACAACACAAAATAATATATGCAACAAAAAACGGCAACACAAAAGTGTTTAAAGGCAAAAACAAATGTTCGATCGGTACGATTTGTAGTTTATAAAGCTTCAAAAGATCTACTATTTGTGTACTATATTGCATAGAGAGTACAGTTGTAGTGCCAAAAAGTGGAGCTGTCTTAAGGACAGGTTTAGTATAATTTTGATAGAATAGAGTATAATTTTGTACGAAAGTTTTCAAAGGATTTTGATTGAAAAGAAGATAGTGATTAAGCGATAAATTCCAAAATACTTTTAATGGAAAAAGCAAATGGTGAAAAGTAGGATAGTATAAATAACAGGTGTGTCTACTATAAGTATACGTTTTTTGATTAAAAAGCTAAACGTTTCTACAGATAAATACTATTACAAAAACTGAAAATTTCTAGTTTAAATATAGAAAAATCAAAACTACTAATCAGTAAAACTATATAATGTCAAATTCATTTTTCGCCCAACTGACTAAGTCCCTTCTCTCCATTTAAGGCCCTAAGCTCAAGGCACCCCGAATCATTTCGTTCCGCCCTCGGAACTGGCCACCTGGACACCTTACCTCTCGTATGTGTGCTGGGACTGCTCCTCGGAGCCTTCAACAGCTCGCAGCAGCTGATCAGCCGCATCTTGCAGACTCACTACACGGGGTTCGCATCTTTCGAGCTCGGCACGCAGGTCCTTGAATTTCTTGAATTTGGCCTCCAGGACCGAACGCTCCTCAGTGAGGTCTACGGGCTCCGAAGCCTTGATGTTCTGCTCGGTTCGCTGCAGCCAGTCCACCAGCTCATCGATGGTCTGGTGGAACTCGCTGTTGCCCATCAGGGCGGTTTGCAGCAGTCCTTGCCACTTCGTGGCATTGATGCAGACATTGTTCCAGCGCTCGTTGTCAGCCTCTAGACGGGATCGCAATTGTCGCGCCTTTTCGGTGTCCAGAGTATGGGTGGCCAGATGGTCACCGACCACGTTCAGGGATGAGATGATCGACTTGTGACTCTCGAGATCCAGCAGGAACTCACGATGGTCCTGGGTGACATCCTCGAGAAGCTCGATGTTGGAGGGGGGAGATGTCTGGGCTTTCTGGGTGCTCTCGGCGAACTGCAGCCACTGTTCAAGGCGCCACAGATCGTTGTCGATCTGCTGCCAATTACGCTGCGTGCAGAGCGGACACGTTAGCCGGCCGACCTCGCTGAAAGATTGAAAAGTTAATTAGTAAGGAACTTGTAAGATAGTAACTGAACCACAACCACTCTTAGTATGATAAGTATTTGTTAAGCTTAAGCTGTGTTTGTCAAATATCTTGGACAAGTATTGAAGAAGCAGCAGCTTAGACTTTAGGCATGAAGCTCCACACCTCTTGCTGTGCTCCACCCTGGAGTCTGGCAGCCATTGGAAATCCGCTACCAGCTTTTGTCTAGTGGAGAACCACACAGAACACAAAAGGGTGTCACACGGCAGGAGGTGTGGCCATCACAGCCCATCGGTTAGTTAATCCGGCCAGGTAATAACACTTACTGTATGCAGTTGTACTTGTAGGAAGGAGGTAGGTGGCACCTGGTGTTTCGTCATGAATGCGCAGGTTTGAGTTAGGCGTAGGTATTGTAGTGTTTTGTGTGTATTATGCGTATGGGTGTATGACAGAAAAGGTCGAGAAGTAGGCAACAGCGAAATGGAAGCAATAAAACAATTTGTTAGTCAAATAACAAAACCCAAACACCAAGAACAAGTTAAATCGGCGAACCGAAATAGTTATAATGCTTGCCAAGTCAACAGGATTCTGGATATTTGTAGTTGAACACAAGTCATCTGTTATAATATGATGGAACTATACAGGATGCCGTTCATCTTAGCTTATTTTGGGAGCATTTGAAACACAAATCGGATTGGAGATTCTGACATATGCCACTTTGGCTCCAAAATGTCTGCCCTATTGACTCGGCAAGACCCCAAAAACACAGAACAAATAACAAAAATAGACATAATCCTACCTTGCATTCTGATCGTGCTGCTGTCGCGCCTTCCACTGCGACTGCAGTGTGTCAAAGCGCAACGTGAGCTCTGCAACGGTTTCCACCTGGGCAGCCTGGTTATCGGCCTGGCACTCGGTGAGCAGCAGTTGGCTCAGATGCTTCACCAACTCGGTGGAGGACTGGGCGTTGCCCAGCAACTTTGCGATCTTCTGGGGACCCGGCTTGCGGGTCTTGTCCGCCACCGTGCGCTGCAGCTCGTCGAGATTGGCCTGGCACTCGGTGATGGCCGTCTGTAGTTCCATGATGTAGGCATCCTTGGCGGTGATGGAGGTTTCACGTTGCATTTGTTGCGTCTGACGCATCTTCCTTTGGGACAGGGTGTTCACTTGGATGGCGGCGTTGGCGGCTTCCGTCACGGGAACAGCAGCTGCGGCGGCTGCCTGGGCCGCCCGAGTCAGCCAACTGGTCTTGAGGGTAACTATCCTCGTCTGAACTGTCTGCCAGAGAGTGGTGTAGGCGGTGATTAGTTCTAGGAGTTGCTTCAGTTGCGGCTGCTGCTTCGTCCGGGACTTGGCCTCCTGTGACAGGTTATCGGCTTGCTGGACATGTTGTTGGGCATCCTGTAGTTTCTTCTCCAGGCTCTCCAAACGCTGAATAACCACTTTCGGGTCCGCCTTGGAGCTCTGTTGATCCTCCAGGCTAGGCAGCTGCTCGAGGGCCTTTTGAATGGCGGTCAGTGAGCTGGTGGCCTCCAACTGGGCATTGTTGAATTCTCGCAAAATTTTCGCATCCTTGTCGATGGCATCCAGAAGGGCTTGGCAGCGTGGTATCAGCTGACGCCACATGCTCACCATCACCTTTGTGGGCAGTGTCAGCTTCTGGATGTTCTCCGGCTCCACGCCGGCACTCATCGTCAGTTTGGCATAAATCTGCTCCAGCTGGCGGAGATTCACAGACTGGCTTTCTAGCTCCTCCAGCTTGGCCTTGAGCTCCTTCTGGCGCTCCTCCAGCTTGTGCTTGCTGTTGGATTTCTGGTCTCTTTCGAAGCCAGTCAGTTGGCTCTCCTGCTTGCCCAGCCAGTTCTTGTGCTCGGCTGTTAGCTTGATCAGCTGCTGCAACAGGTTCCAGATGGTCAGGATGCGCTGCTTGCGCTCCGCTGACTGGTTGCACACGTTCTTCCAGCGCTGCTCGAGGTTCTGGGCGGAGATAGCCAGCCCGGACGTGTTCACCTGGGTACGCCAGCTGTCCGCATCGTTCAACAGCATCTCGACGAGATTCAGCACCTCGCCCACGTTGCTGCTGTGGTGTTCAATGGAACGCTGGATTTGCTCGTGCTCCTTCAGCTTGGCCTCTATCACATTGGGGGTGTAGCTCTCGAAGCTAAGGGACTTGTCTAGCTGAGACTCTACCTCGAAGAGCCAGGCGCGAATCAGGGCTATCCGCTCCTCCAGCCGGAGTAGCGTCATCTTCAGTTCCCCGATCTTGGTGGCCCTCTGCTTGCACAGGTACTTCAGGCGCTGCCAGCGGTCGATGAGGTTATCGCTCTGCTGTTGCACCTGAGACCGAACTTCCGGCTCAGAGTAGAGGGTAAGCAGTTCCCGTCCGGTGGACAGAATCCACTCACGCTCCTTGTCTCGCAGCTGCAGCTCGGAGTTTATTTGCTGCTCTAGCTGCTTGGCCGCCTGTTCCGGATTGGCCATGGCCGCCACATCCGCGTCCTTCTCCACCCGCTGTTCCAAACGCACCAGCCAATGGGAGATGCGTTCGAATCTGATCTGGTAGTTGGAAAGCAGGGACAGCCGCTCCTCGATCGAGTTGATCAGGTTGGCCAGTTGGTAGTCTAGATCAGCGTGCTGCTGCCAGAGCAGCCAGTTGCGCTGGCGAATGGTCTTCATGTCGTGCGGGCTGATGCACTCCTTAAGCTCCTCCTGGGTGACAGTGAGTCCCTCAAGGGCGGGCACTTGGGCACCCAGCTGGACGCGCTGGGATCGCAGGGCTCCCAATAGCTGTTCAATGGCCGCCGGCTGAGTGGGCAGGGATTCGATGCTGTTGGCCTCCAAAAGCTGCTGAGCTGCTCCGAATTCCTTCTGCAACTGCTGCACACGCTGCTCATAGCTTTCCGATAGCTGGGTGATGCGCTGCAGGAATCCTTGCCAGGTCTTCAGTGCGGCCCGAAGGTTTCCGATCCGCTGACCAATGCTGGCCTGCTCCATGCGCATGGCGGTGGCCAGGGCATCGTCGCAGTGACGGGATAGCTCCTGTTGCTGATCCTGCAGGGCCTTGCTCTGCTGTTCGCCCTGGTCCAGTTGCTGAAGCATGGCGTCCAGGCGGTTCTTCAGGTGGGGCACTCGCTTCAGGTGAATGTATCTTAGCTGAAGGGCATTTCGCTCCGCTTCCCGCTGGCGCAGCCAATCCAATAGGGCGGCCAACTGCTGGCGATAGGCATTCCAGCCACTCACCCGGCGCTCCAGCTCACCATTTCGCTGCATGATCCGCGAGAGAGTCTCGTTGTGCAGATTGGTCAGTGCCTTGTATTGCTCGGATACCTCCGATTCCAGTGGCATCTCCGAAAGCACGCTCTGCTGCGAAATCAGCAGGTTCTGGTGAATGGCACACAGCTGCTGCTGCTCCCGCAGGCTGCCGTAGTCCTCGGGTATGGCGCAGGACAGGAACGACTGGACGTGCTGCAGGTACTGGCGCCACAGGCGCAACGCCTCCGAGCTGTTCTGGCTGCGGGCGAGGCGCGTAGACAGGCGATGGTACTCCTGGAAGGTGTCCTGGAAGATTTTCTGCCACAGGGCCAAAACCTCGAGGATGCCATCGTCATCGGGTCCGGTCACTGAAGGTGCCACCTCGTTGTTTTGCTGGCGCTCCTTCAGCTGACGCAGCTGCTCCTCCGTGCGGGCCAAGGTCTGGAGATGGGCTCGCAGGGCGACCAACTGCTCCTCGCTCTCTCTGGGATTTTGTGGCGGTTCTCGTGAAATGTCCTAAGAAAAAAGAAGTCGTTTAGTGATTTATGATGGCTTTTTTCTGACACTGGGTGTTGCTAATTGGCCTGACCCTAATATGGCTGCTTGGTTGGCTGTCTCCAGTTACAGCTCGTCGCCCATCCGTCTGGCCAACTGCATGGCTTCACCAAAACAACATTAGCCCCTGCCCAGTGCAACTCTTTCCGCCAACTGGCAATGACCTCATGCCAAACGACACGCGCTCGCTTCTGGCCAACTTCAATTGTCGGAAGTGTTGAGGGCGGAAGAGGAGTGAGTCGGCGGAGTAGGGGGTGAACTGGGTAACGGAGGTGGGGCTTAAAACCTGGCATGGCATGCGCCATGCAAATGAGCCAACAGTGGTTTTAAAGTACTTTAATCTTAACACTAAATGTCTGTTTGGATAATTTTTATGTCTTTCCTCTCAGATGTTTATCTCTTTTAATCGGATTTAGAAAGTATTTGAATGAAAATATTGTTTTTGGAAACTAGAAGTAATAGCTTTCGTGAGTAATAACATATTTTTATACTCATTAAATATTTACCATAAATGTCAAGTGTCGTTCTAACGGTCTAAAAAGATAATACTAGTACCCGCCCCTGGAATCAATAATGAATGGGATGGGCCGGGCCCAATGTACATATGTGGGGGCTGTCAGACAGTTAGTGTACACGAAAAGTTTTTCAACTTTTAACCCACTTAAAATAGCATGTCCTTCGTATTGGATTAACCACAAACAACTACAGAACAACAACAATTGGCAGCCGGCAAGTGTGGGAATTTCCGCACACCAAGCCCCACACTAAATTATGCAAATATCCCGTCATTATAATCGATAGGTGGCACAGTTTGCGGTTTCTTAATTTTCATAATTCACTTTCTCAGGCTGGACTGGAGTGGACTCACCTGCTGCACATTGTTGAAGTACGCCTTGGCCAGAGTCACCTCTTTGTCGAGCTCCTTGCGCTCCTTGTCCTGTGATTCGGCCACGTTGGCCAATGTTGTGATGGCCTCTTTGCACTCGGCCAACCTCTGGCCCAGAGCGTCCAGTTCGCCCTGCATCAGGGCGGAGGCATCCAGGCCGACATCGGCGGCGATCTTGGCCACAATGTCGCGCAGCTCCAAGATTCGGTCATTCTGGTTGTTCAGGTTGTCTTGGCAGGCCTGTGTGAAGAGAATTCAGATGGAAATATGAAAAGCGAGTCAGCTAATGAAGCTCAAGGCCTAGCCAATCATAAGCACTCAATTAGCAGAGACATGTATTTTTCCCAAATAAAGCTATAGACAGCTTAAAACAGGTTATTTTTGAGTAATAAGAAACCAATTCTGTTTTCAAATATGTTCATTAACTTTTGAAACAAAGATTTCTAAATAAGACTGCCCTCTTAAATGTATTCTTAAATAGTTAGCAAGTCATCTAAACATACCCCTTGACAAAGTAATTAAAAACTCCAAAACATAATTTATAATCTCTCTTAAAATCTTAAACTTCCTCCCGACTATACACACACCCGAATTAAGCAGCCACAGAATCCCCAATAATTATTTTGGATGGCTGGCAAAATGTCAATTGTTTATTTTTAACGCGACTACGAAAAGTATTTAGCTCGAGAACCCGCCGGGCTGATGGCTTTCGAAGCCCGTGGCAGAAGACCCTTATCAATTGTCGTGTCGCCGCACTTGTCGAGTGCATTTCCCTGCCCGGCGTTTGTAATTAGGGCTGCCAGTGCGTTGGGGGCTTTCGCTTTCAATTTCAGAAAACAGGTCACTCGCGGCGTCGAATATATTCTCTAATTTAGAGCACAACAAGGGGGTATACGCTTTACATGCCAGGGCCTTGGTCCGCGCTCTCGATTTGTAGTCTAATGTGTGCCCTATGATATCATCTGGTAAGTATTCGCCGATGTTTATCACACTCCGCTACAAAGGCAGGCAAACAAACGCCAGCTCCTACGGAACTAGCATTGGTATTAAGAAGTTTAAGATATATTTTCACATTTATCTTCGCTAGCAGCTCGCAGCTCAAGGCATTTTCGGCCCGTTCCCGCTGTGCGGCTGTTGATAAAGCCACTGTGTATACAAACAATATAATTGGAATGTCCCATCATCCCAGCGGCAGGTTGATAAACCCGGCCCATGTGAAATGACAGTTGCCTGCCCGAAAATATAATTACAGCTGTGAGCTGGCCTATAGCATAATGACCCTAATGATCAATAAACACAAAATACGGTGACCAGAGTATGCGTTAATTTTTTAAGTAAATGTCGAAAAAAGAAATCGTACGAGTCTATCCGTATATCTTTTCGTTGCCTTCGTATTTTATTTACCGAAGCATAATTTATGACACCAACACAGCGGACAAAAGTTACCTCATAAGTGTGTGAACGAGGAACTATTACAAACCTATTACACCGGCTCGCCCAAAAATTGATAGGGCGAAGAAAATCAATGTAATTACTAGCTTCTGGCTTCTGGCCACCCAACTCTCTCTATCCCCCTGGAGGGCAATTAAAGCCTCAAATTTCTGTCCTAGTTTGCCGCCAAAAACCAAATAGTCCGCACCCACCTGCCGTAGGGTCAGGCTTCTCGATAAATCAAAAAAATATATCAAATGACCTTTCTGGGAATCTGTCACTTGTATTTGATGTTTTATTTCTTTCTGCTATCAACGGTGTTCCATTTTTGGTATTTCCATATTCGGAGTTCTCTTTAAAATGCTTGACTAAGAGCTGCATTTAGAAAAACTGGAATATTGCATGATTTTATCCATACTTTTATCAACCTTTTTATATTTCTGGTTCTGGCTGGCATCATTCACTGGCACCCCCCACGCGATACACATCACTCATACGACATGTAGCCGGCGCTCGGTCACGAAATGTCATCTAAACACATACCATACACGGGGGAAAAATTAAAACCTACCTTGGCATGTTGCAGGGTATCCAAGGGCTGCTCCAAGGACTTCACGGTGTCCATTTGCTGGTCAATTGAACTCTTTACGGCCGCGGATGCGTTGCGGTACTTGTCCCACAGTTCAACGGCTCTCTGGTAGCGGGTGCGGAGCTGCTGGAGGTTGTCGCTGGTATCGTTCCAGGCCACTACCGCCTCCTGGACCGCCGACTCGATCTGCTCCACAATCTGGACATCACAGCTCTCGATGAGGGGTTTGGCAGCTCCCTTCAGTTCGTCTATCAGTTGTTCGCGGTTCTGCAGATCGCCGGCCAGTCCCTGCGATTGGGTAATTTCCGGTAAAAACGGATTAGAAATTCATAAATGCGGATAACTAAGCGGATGCACGAAGTCGCAACGCGCGTCCAGTTCGAAAAGCTAACGTCAACTGCGGTGGTTGCCTCTACGACACCACACAGAACTTGCTACGTAAAGAGCACCACTCGAGCGCCCAGAGCTTGGGGAAAAAGCTTTGGGAAAAGTTTTCGGATGGCTTAGCTTTTAGTGGTATAGCTTTGAAAGTGGGTACTTTTGAATTCTAATTCATTTTGTGGGTATTACAATTTATTTTAAATATTTTTAGATATTAAATTTGTCACACTTTTAATAATAGAATCTAATTAATTTAATTTTTGTATTTTTCAATTCAGAGTTCTCATGCGAGTTTGAAAATTTAAAGCGTTTATCAAGTAAAGAGGCTCGAAAAATAACTGACCGCCTTAGGGAAAATGCGAGCTGGTTTTGTAGAAAATTTTCCGCGAGGAAAAAGAAAACTGCAAGCGATAAGCGACTTCGCGAAAATTCCGGTTGGCAGGTAGAAAAACGGGCCGAACCCAAACAAAGCCATAAAAATGAAAACTCACCTCCAATCGCTCGGTGGCCTTCCGCAGGCGCTCGTAGTCGACCTGGCCATGGACGCGGATCAGCTCCATCATGAAGTCGGTTTCCTGGACGGAGCCATGGACCAGCTCCAGTTGGCGCTCGTAGCGCAGCCACATGGCCAATCGGTTTCGCAGAATGCCCATTATGTTGGTGCACTTGCTCTCGAGGAAGGCATGGTCGTCTTGCAGCTGCGAGATGTCCCGTTCCAGCTTAACCGGCGACACAGACATCTTGAGGCGCATGGGCAGGGTGTGCAGCATCTGGCGGATGCGCATGATCTCCTGCCAGCTGGTCACCAACTCTTCGCCAACATTCTGGCAGTCGGCGACGGCCTTTTCGAGAACATCGGCTCCCTGCCTCTCGGCGGCCTCACACTCATCAAGGATGACAGAGATCTTGGCTTGATGCTTGCGCTGGTTGCTGATTCCCTCCTGGATGGCTTGCAGTTGATCCCGCAGCACGGAGGCACCCTCCAGCTCTTCGGCTATCTGGGTGCTGATCTTGTGCGAGAGGGCGAATAGCTCGCCCACCTTTTCTGGTTCCACTGCCGGCTCTTGCAGGCCAATCCTGCCCAGCTCATTGCCAATGAATCCAACGCGAGTGCGCAGGACTTGGACGCGCTCGATGTAAAGGCAGAGTTCCTCCTCGTTCTTGATCACACCCTTCATACTGGTCATGGTCAGGTAGATCTCCTGCAGCTCTCGCTCCACCAACTTGAGTTTCTCGTCGGCAGGCACGTCCTCCGATGACAGGGACTCCACAATGTTGTGCTGGATGAGCTCAATGGCCTGGGCCACGGCCTGCCAGCGGTCCTCCAGTTGGGCATGGAATTGTCGCTGGAGCATCTCGTCGGCTAGTGGGATGACCTGCAAGGATTTCTCGAAGTTATGACCAGCCTCGGTTCGCACATTGTTGTGGAGCTCGAACCGGGCCTTGATCTCCCAGAACTGACGCATATGCTCGATGGGCTGCTGGGTGGGCTGGGCCGGAATCTGGATTTGCCGGAGTTCCTGCTCCGCTTCGCGGACGAACGCCTCCAGCTTGTCGGTCTGCTGCTCGTACTGGACCCAGATCTCCTTGAAGACCAGCAGGCGGTGCAGATACAGAGCCACCTCTTCGCGCAGTTTCAGGAGCACGATCAATGCCTCGTTAGTTTCCTCGACGAGATTGGGGGCTTGGACGAGCTGCTGCAATTTGTTGGCAATTCCCGACAGCTGGGTCATCTTCACGTAGTGGTGGGAGATGTCGTTGCTCAGAGATTGGTAGAGCGTGGTGTACTGGTCGTAGTCCGCCGAAGTCACGGCCGATAGATCGGGCACTCTCTGCTGGGCGACTTGGAGCCACTGCAGCTCATCGCGCATGCCCTTCTCCAGAACCGTCCAACGAGAGGCAGCCTGAACAAGTTTCGAGGATCGTTCCGATGCCTTATCCAACAGGATTGTGGCTCTGTTGTACAGCTCCTTGTGCAGTTCCGAGTGCTTCTCGCGAGTCTCGCTGTCGATGTTCTCCTCCAGGGATTCCAACATGGCACGGCAGTGGCTTAAGTTCACAAAGAACTTGCGCTGTTTCTGAACCTCGTTGTTCAGCTGCTCCAGGGAACTGGAAACTATAGGGCTCTCAACAAGCTTATCTGCCAGTACGGTGATGTTAGTGAACTCCTTGAGGGTCTGCTCGTACTCCTCGGCCAGAGATTGTAGTTGCAGGACGCGCTCCCTCTCAGCCTGGATATTGTTGGCAATATTCTTGCTGGTTTCAAAGGCATTGTGTACGTCCTGGGGCATCTTCTTGCCCGGGAAGTCCCTCTGGAAGGCGCGAGCGTTCTGGCTGAGTTGAGCCAGTTCCTTTTGGGCCGCCTCGTGCTGTTGCTCCAACTCATCCAGCAGCGCCAGTTTGACGGACAGGGGATAGTCCTGGTTGGTCAGGTTATCGTATCGCTGCTGGAGCTGCGACAGAACCGAGGACACGTTGTACAAAAGCACCTCAAAGCTGTGCCACTTGTCCAGATCATTGCTATCTTGCACTTGGTTCTGCTGCGTCACTTGTTCCACCGCGTCCACGTGTTCCTTCAGAGAGTCCACACACTGGAGCAGCTCTGGCTCTGCATTGGACAACTGACGCTCCAACTGGCCAACATTATGCTTGATGGCGCTGAGCTCCTCGTTGAGCTGGTTATAGTTGTCCAGCTTCTCTTCGGAGGGTCCTTCGTTGGAGTTCTGGCGGATGAGGTACACACGATACTCGATCGTCTCCAGCCAAGTAGAAACCTTCTCGATGACGGTGATTACAGTGGTTTGGATGACGGTCTTGTCACCGGTTTTGATGGCAGCATCCAGGTCTTGGAGGCCCTCGTTGACCTCAAGAAGACGCTGTTCCGTGGGCACATCCTTGATCTGCTCCGACAGTGTCGCCAAGTGGAGCACATTGCTCAAAGGCGTGGATTGCTGTGGCGACGCTTGCTTTAGGTTCTTGATGCGATCGCCAATGACCTCCTTTGCGGATTCAAGGATGGGCTGTTGCTGCGGCTTCTGTTGCTTTTGCTGTCCTGGATAGTGCTGAAGGCTTTCACTCATGATCAGGGCCTGGGTGAGCTCAATGGGCGTCTTGTCCACACTGGTCGTAGCACTGAACCATACATTGCTGGGCTCGTCGGTGATATTGTCGGGACCAGGCGTAATGGGAACCACCAGCTCCTCAGTAGGAGATGCCACCTCTTCAATGGTCACCGCCGAAGAATTGGGTCCGGCTCCCGATCGTTTGCTTTGCTGGGAAGCAATCAGGACCTTGTTCTGCTCCGTGATGTGCACTGGCAGGTTGGGGAACTCTTCGTAGACGGTGGTCTTGGTGATCTGAAGCTGTACTTTCTGTGTCTTGGGCGACTCTGCATCTTCTGGCACAATTGAAGCCTCCACTACAGGTGCGACATGAGGTACATCTTCGATCTCTTCGATTTCCTGATTGGTGGACACCACAATACCCGATTCGGAGAGCAACTCGGGTGCTATTTCTACCGTGACACTGATTTGCGGCTCTTCTGGGCGCTGCTGCGGCTCCTCCACTTCCTTTTGAGCTTCCTTCTGCTTCTTTTTGTCCTTCTTGGATTTTTTCTTGTCCTGCTTGGGCAACTGCATGGTCTGTGTGTATTCGTAGACCGTGGGCTCAGCGACCGAAGTATCGGAGTCCGCTGGAATGGCCACCGTGGTCTTCACTTCCAGTTCGTAGGGTTCCGAGATGGAGATCGACGTGGCGGTCAGAGAGTTATCGTCCAGGGATGCGGGCTGCTGATCTCCACGAGGCGTGGTCTGCATCTCGCCATCAGTCACTTGCACCAGCTCCTCTGTGGATGTCTCCTCGTTGGCAGTTTCTGGCCTAATACTTTCAACTTGTTCCCTTGGCTCGGGAGTAGTTGTCTGGGCATGAGTCTCAGTGGTTGTGGTGATCTCGGTCACTGTCGATTGCTCCGTAGTGGCTACTGGCAGATCAGTAGTCATGTCCTTAACCAGATCATGAACCAAAAATTGCACCACATCGCTGCTGCCAGGCTCAGGGGCACGAGGAGATTCCTTGGGCGTGGTTTGCAGTTCCTTCTCAATGGTGGTGGTCACCGTTGTTTGGCTGGAAATCTCCACGGTATCAGCAGGTTGGCCACTGACATCGGTTTGAATTTCCGTGGTGGACACCTCGACGGCAGCTGGCTTCTCTTCGCTCCTGGGAGTGGTTTGAGCTTCGGTCTCTGTAATTTCCACAATCAAAGTCTGCGATTCATTCTCCTGGTTGTCCGGATGGACATCTATGCTAGTCTGCACAGCAATCTCATCCAGTTTGGGCTGATGTTGCGGCGATGTCTGCACGGACTTGATGTCCTGCTCCACCGGTTCGGGGGCTTCAGTGGGGGAGGGAACGCGTGGAGTGGTTTGCTGTTCCTCATCCTCCACAATGGACAATTCCACAACTTCTGTGGGAATCACCAACTCGACCATCGGGGCCCTGGGCGATTCCGAGGGTGGCGAAACGATGGCGTCTTCCACCACCTTGACCTTTGGTTCCACTTCAATGCTGGACAAATCGCTTTCAGCACTGATCTCCACAACGGATTCATGGCGCACAGGATCTTGGTGAGAGTCCTCTGACTCTGGCGATACCTCGGGCTCTTTAATGGCTTCTTGTTCTAATTCTGGTTCCCCTTCGGATTTTGTATTTCTTCTCTTCTTTTTCTTTCGACGCCGCTTGGCGTCGGCGGCTGGCGCCGCAGCGGTCTCAATGATGGTCATGCTAACCTTGCCGGTAGTTGGTGCCGTGGAGTCGTCCTCCGTGGTGGTTTCTTTGCCCAAGATAACCTTCAAAACACCATCGCCATTGTCCTCGAGAGAAGGAGCGGTGATCTGGAAGGATTTCTGGGGAGCCGTGGACGCAGCTGCTTCACCAGAGATGAATAGCTGAGTAGCCGCGCGCAGGTCGATCTGACTGGGAGCTGGATCCTTCTCGAAAACAGGGTCTACAGGTTTCTGTTCAGTCGTTGCAACGGTTACAATTTCTTCAACCGTCTGTTGTGGTGAAGATTCCTTCACTTCCTCAATTGGTACAGGTTTCTCTTTCACCTCAGGCTCCTTGCTTTCGGAAATCGGTGAAGATTGTTCCTTCAAAGTGGCAGCCAGATTTTGTTCGGCTTCCAAGAAGCTCTGCAATTCAGTCTTATTTGTGAAAGAGGCCTCCGATGGAATATCCTGCACAACAACAGGTTCCTTCGATAGCTCTCCGGCGCTGGTGATGGTGGTGATAGTCTTGCTAATGGTAATACTGCCTATGCTAACTGCATCAGCCTCCTCTGGCTCATTCTTCTCCGATTTAACGATCTGCTCGGTGGGCGCTTGTGGCTCGAATTCATACTGTTCCAGGGCCAAGGAGTTGCCAGTCTCTGGACTAGTCGGCCAAATCTCCTCCACCGGCATAGATGCAGGTCCAGTTTCTTCGGAGGTGATTATTTGTGCAGGTGATAGTTCTTCGAGGTGCTGGGAGAAGTCAATGTTGGTGGGTTTCAGATGATGTTCTAGTGGCCAGATTTCGTGGATGTCCTCGACCACCTTCGGCTCATCTAGGATGTCTGGGGAAGTGGTTGATGGAGTTGGGGACTCTTTGGCTGCAGTTACAGGAACCGCTGTTGGAACAGGAACAGGAACGGGACTGGTAGAGGCGACTTCTACGGGTTGTTCAACATCTACTTGAGGTGCTGGCAACTCTACGGGTGCTTCTTTGATCGTTTCGGTTGGTGTCTGTTGTTCTGGATGTTTCTGTTCTAGTACTTGTTCTTGTTCTTGTGTGGTGATTGTGGTGCCTTGGGTAGACTCAATATCAAATACCTGTTGCTGCGGCTCTGCGGTTGGCTTGGACAGATCCGAGGCAACTTCTTCGATAACCACGCCGGGCTCTTGCATCATGCGCTGGAACTCCTCCTCGGTCACCACTTTTCCGTTCACCGTGCGCACAATGTTTACGTTGATGTGTGGCGCTGTTTCCTCTTCGGTGACTTCGATCTCCTCGGGCTCCTCGATCACCTCCTCGGTGATGTGCTCCTTGCCGTCGATGATGACCACCCGCTTGATGATCTTGCGTGTCTTTCGAATCACCTTTCGTGTAACCTGCTGTACCACAGCTCGGATGCTGCCTTGGGTCTGAACGTCCGCAGGAATAAGCTGCTGCTGCGATCTACCTGGGGCAATTACCTCCTCGTACGTCTCAACAATCGGCTCGGTTTCGAACTCTTGCAGGACAACGCCTTCGGGCTGGGAGGAGTCCACTACTGCCCCACGGGTTTGCTGCGTAATCACAGTCTGGATACTGCCCTCTTGGGGGTCGGCCTTGGTGTCCGTGGTCTGCACATTCTCCAGGTTGATCTGGCCGGTGGAGTGCACCTCGATATTTCCATCCGAGTCGCTGATTGTCTCAATGGAGCTGATCTGCTGCTGCTGCACAATCTGCTGCCGGGTTCGGGTCACCTTCTTGAGGACTATGTGCTTGGTGCCGTCGGGACCCACAACCACCTCGGTGGTAGTTTCATCCGGCTCCACGAAGGTGGTCTCGAATGCCTGAGGCACATTCTTTAGGATCAACTCGGTGGCCCGATCGACATCGCCATGTGGTTTCTGATGGTAGCGTGCCTCAATCTGGACATCTTCCGGCTGGTCAGGTATATCCTGGTTGCGAGTGGTATCGATCTGAATCGTTTCCTTGCCATGCTGGACCGTTTGCGTCACCATGATATTCTCGGTGGGCGATCGCTCCTTCTGGGTCTGCAGTGCCACTTCAGCAGTTTCCACTGCCGGTTCCTTGAAGCTCGTCTGAGCCTCCACGGTGGTGGTAGTTACCACGACTGCAGCTGGTGGCTGTTGCAGGCTCAGCGACGTCTGGGTCTCAACATAAACTCCAGTGGGCTTAACCTCCTCCTCCGGCATGGAACTAGAATCGATGGTGTTCTCCTCGTTGGATTCGATAGACTCGTGCGGTTGTTCCGGCTGAACCTCGGTAGGTGGCTTGATGAGGGAGTCGGCCAGCACTCGTTGTCGTTGGGCCTCTTCGGACTTGGCTTTGCGCAGGTCTACGATGCGTTTCTCAATGGTGAAGATGCGCCTGGTGGCCACTGTGACCTGTTCCCGCAGAATGGTAATGATACTCTGCAGTTGCTCCATCAGGGTGTCGGCCAGTGGGGCCACATCGGGATGCGACTGTAGCTGGCGCGTCTGCTCGACCAAATCCTCCATGGACTGCTGGCGATCCTTGAGGGTGCGCAAGAGTTGCTGGCTGCGCTCCACCTGCGACTTGAGCACCTGCTCGTCGGTACTGCTGTCCGAGGTGGGTTCAAAGGAGGCCAGCTCGGCCGAAACCTCTATGATCCAGCGTTCCAGTTCTAGCAGATGCTGCTGGTACTCGTCGATCTCCTCCTGGCGCTTCTTCTGGCCATGCATAGCATTCTGGACGAGAAGAGTGTAATTACAGGATAACCAAAATAAAAGCCAAAAACCTTACCGCTATCATGGTGATGCCTTGCTGGGTGCGTCGCAGGAGCAAGTCGATACGGTCCAAGGTCTCGTTGAGCAAACGTTCGGTGGCCGGATCCGTGGGCAAGTTCTTTGCCTGCTCCTTCAACTGGTGGGCGTCCCTTTCGTGTACTTGGAGATTGCTCTGGATTAGCTGCACATCGGGCGTACAAAATGCAAGATTTAGTCATGTGTGTGTTGCAGAGAATATGTAGAAAAGTATAAAACTTAAGGGATATACTCGGGGCCTACGACAACAAAAGGTGTGGCTACTACACATCTAGAACGTCTTCTGATCGATCAAAAACGTATATAGAGCCTATCAAAATATTTGAAATGTACGATTCTGTATGGAGTGATGCGATTGAGTGGTTAAAGTTCTCTGACACACGCCAGCATCCATTTTAATCGTTAACTAACGTTATGTACAAGTATGAGTATATTGTCTAATAAATTCTAGCTACGTTTGTTAATCAAAACATGCTTAGTCAAGCATCCAAAAAGTGGGGTTACTAGGCCGCGAATGGGATATAGATTGGCATTACCTTTAGTCCTTGTAGCATGCCCTCCAGGCTGCTCTGGTTCATGTTAGCGATGCCATCCTCGACGCTCGAGAGCGATTGTAGCAGTTCGTCGAGCTCTTGCGCGAATGAGTCCTATTGGGTTTTAAGTTTTTTAATTGTGTCGCATGTGTGCGATGTTGTCATTGGGGTGTGGTTGTTTGTTGTTTTCGGGAAGAGAGGGTGTTAATATTAATAAACATTGCAATTTCGGATGATCGTTTCAAAAGAACGCAAATGCTGTAAATATTTGTTGCCGGCTTCTATACACACACAACATATTTACAAAAAAGTGAAATATTTATATGTAATTTATAAAATATCAAATGGATGCAATGCACAGCCATAAAACGAATGGAATAATTTTTTCAGGGAATGCTAGGTCAACTATAGCTCTTATATTTAAATTTTTTAAAAATAAACGAAACATGCATTGGGCATAGTTCTTAGTTTAAAAATGGAGGCGAATAGCGGATAGACAAAGAGTACCAATTAAACGCCTTAGCCAGGCTCCAATGCTGTGGCCAAAGTTGGAAAATTAAATGCAATGGTGGATATTTAACTTACTTTCGTTTCTAAATCGAAAACAAATACAAGTTCCTGTAAAACTATTCAGATCTAGGTCTGACTGCTGTCTCTATACTTTTGAATTAGCACACACTTTTGGGATTCTCAAGTTTCTCAAGCAAAACTCAAACTCAACGCGTTCATTGCACATTGCAGACTAAAAACTGAAGCATACACGGGAAACTATTTTTGAGCAACTGAAACGGCCTGCACCGCATGGATCTGATCGAATCGGATCGCGTATGTATATATATTTATAGCCGCGGCAGGGAATATACCGCGAATTCTTGATGGCAGGGCGGCTGCAGGCTGCATGCAGTAGGCAGTAGCCAGTAGCCACTAGGCAAGGCAATGAACTCAACTCATATACATTGGTGCGAAACACATAATGGACACATATTCTGCATTTGGGATTTCAGAGAGCTCGGTATGTGCTCGGGGCGTCCGTGCCATGGGGGCACGTTGGGCGGGGCAGGAGAAGTGCTCGGTGCATGATCGTGTGCTGAAGTGTTTGGGTGTCTGTGCTCTGCGGTGTGTGTTTGGTTTTTTGTGAAGAATTCTGCGCAGAAGACTACTGCGCAGGGGATAAAATCAGATCGGTATTAAAACGTGCAAATTGGTTAATATTAATTTTATTATTATTATTATCACTACTATTAGTAGCTTCTGATTACTGGGCTTTTACAAAGGTTAATATCAATTAGTAGAAGGAACTTAAGTAACTCAGTTCTACATATTTTCTACGACTAAGTTCAGCGATATTAATTAAGGTAGTATACAAACTCAAAACATTAGGCTTTCGGATGCATTTTGCAAAACAACACATACAATACAGAAATAATAAAAAATGGAAAACTTAAAAAGAACATAAAAGTCAAACATGTTTCTCATTTGGATAATTAAAATTACGTTAGTAGTCCGACAATCGCATTTTATCGAGTTGCTGCTGTTATTTGGACAGAACCGAGCCAAACTCAATGTGGCGGGCAATTTTCCGGCAATAGTTTGGCGCTGCAACAGAAACTACTGGCCTGGTTCTGGCCACAACAGCAGCAACACGAGCGGTCGCCATATAAAAGCCATGAACAAATACCGAAACCACACAGAAAAGCTGCAAAAATTATAATTATGAATAAACGAAGGCTCAATGTGATGTTCACCTTCTGGCGCTGTTCTAGCAGATCGTTGCTGCTGCCTGACGTTGTCGTGGTTGTCGTTGTGGTGCTAGACGGTGTTTCTATTGTGGTTGTTGTCGTTACGGTTGTGGTTGTAGTGGTGGTGCGTTTTATCACACTCGCACTGTCCACGGGTTGCGATGTGGCGGCCTCCGTGACCGCCTCATCCGTGCTGCTGCTCGTGGTTGTTGTAGTTTCGGTGTACGATGTTGCTGTTTCAGGTGCAACATCCGGTTTTGCAACTGGTGCTGCAGTTGCTGCTGGTTTTTCGGCGACTGCCTCCACTGGTGTATCCTTCGCTGGTGTTGTCGTTGTCAGCTTATCGACTACGGCTGTGGCAACAGGCAACAGGGCACTGGTTGCCACCAGAGCTGCTGCCTGTGTTGCTGCCGCCGCTGCGTTCGCCTTTGCGGTCAGCGTGTGAGTTGTGGCGCTCGCCAATTGGATTAGTGCATTTGCAACGTTAAGGGGTGTACTAGTACTGGTAGTACTGGGGCTTGTTTCAGGGACTGATTCGGGTTCGGGTTCAGGGACGGGGCTTGTGGTTTTAGTTTCGGTTAGTACAGATACATTTTCATCTCCTAGTTTAACCTGAGGCTGCTGATCGGCTTCTAAAGCCAGATAAGTACTCTGATCCCGCCAATGACCCACACCGCCCGGCAGATCCGTGGACCTGTATTCCGACGAGCAGCTACGGTTCTGACCGTACTGACCATCTTGTTCGGGTGTGGGGGTCACGTTACCACTACTACCGCTACCAGGATCGCGGTCGTTCGGTTTATCGTCGTCGTCGTTTGGCTTTCGAATCTCAGGCACAGTGGGCTTATCTCCCTCATCGTCGTCGTCGTCATCGTCGTCGTCGCTGTCCTTGTCGTCCTTGTCTGGAGTTGCAGTTGCATCATCAGGCTGCTTCTTGTCTTTGTCGGGTTCCGCTTCGCTAATAGGAGCATCAGCAGGCTTCTCTAGACCAATCGAATCGTTGACCAAATCCGCATCCAGCTTAGGCGACTGCCAGTCGTCCAGATACAGATTCAAGCGCAACTCATCTAGATTGCCAGTGGGGGCTGCTGGTGTTGCTAATGGCTGGGCAGTAGGAATGATTGGTAATGACGATGCTTCTGGTTCAGTCTTTTCAACAACGCGATCCGTAATCGTGGCCGTCGTGGTGGTCACTACAGTTTCTGTAATGTCAGTCTTATGCTTTTCGTCTTGAGTTTCCTGAGCTTTGGTCCTGTCAGTAGTGGATTCCCTCGGCAGCAATGCATAGGCATCGACTGCCGCCTGCCTGTAGTGATTGATTAGATTGACGAAATCGTCTTGACTGAGGTGCCAGGGCAAATCACTTGACTTAGCCGGAGGGGATTCGAGTAGAATGGGGGATTCTTCCTCAAGCGCCTTATCACTAGCAATGGGTTCAGGAGATACTTCTACGACTTTCTCTACCTTGGTTACCTCAACTACAGGTTCTTTTTCTACAACAAGTTCAGATAGTTTATCGATTGGTTGTGAGACCAAATGACTAATCAAGTCGACATCTATTAAGGATTTGGGCAAAATATTGTGCTGGTCAAGATATAAATTGACAGCAAGGATTTCAGAATTGATTTGGGGAATTGCTTCGGGTTCAATTATCACATAATCTTCAATAGAGTTTACTTCTTCACTTATTTTGGTTGAAATCGGCTCTTCCTGTTTCTGCTGATTGCTTACCACCTGCAATTGTTGATATTGTCCCTGCAGCAGGTCGTACTGAGGGTGCAATTGGAATCCTTCGAGGTAAAGATTGTCCACAAGGGGCTCTGGATGAGAAACCTCAGTTACTGTTGTTGCAACGACTGCATCCTTCGACGATCCACCATCCAATTTCAAATCACTTGTGTGGCTGGTTACCACAGTCGATACGTAGGATGTGGCAGAAGGCTCATCATCCACAATGGGAGCATCCTTGTGGGTAGTTACGGTAGTTGTAACATAGGTTGTTGTGGTTGTTTTGCTCTGTTCCTCCACCACATCGCTTATGGGCTTGGGCGTTTGGAAGTCTTTGGTTTGGCTTACCACAACAGTAGACCATGCAGGTGACACAGGTTTTTGCTCTTCTTCAGATGCTGGGAAAACAGTTGCTTCCGTTTGAACAATTGCTGACCATGTTGTTGGCTGATCAATAGGCGACTGAACAGACACTTCCTCTACGATTTGTTCGTTGGGAATGGAAACTGTAATAGGTTTGTTAGGCTCCAAGTCTGTTGTCTCAGTTGTAATGGTTGTTTTTTGCCCAGGCTTCAGTGTAGCAGACCAGTAGGATGTTTCACAAACGAATGAATCATCTGGAATGGGGGACTGGAACGGAGCAAGAGGCGTTTTTCCATCGTCAATGGCGACAGTTTCTACCACAGTTTGCACTGGTTCACGAATAGGAATCGTTTCAACTTGTTCGGGTGTATCTATAAACGGTGCCAAAGGAGTTGTAGATGGTACCTCGCTGATCGTTTCAGTAGTGACTGTAGTTGTGGTTACAGTTGTTTCAGAAGCTTCCTCATCTTCGTCCGAGAAGTTCATTGGCTCATCCAAAACATCCATCCAAGAGCTGGACGAATCGTCAACAGGCAGACCGGCGTAGGCTGGTTTCTTGGGCTCCTCAGGTTTCTTCTCAGGTTCCGCTGGCTTTTTGATTTCCTCAGGAACTGGAACCTCGCTGACCTTTTCGGTAGTGACTGTGGTGGTGGTTACAGTTGTAATCGTCTTGGTTTCATCGACAACAGGCACCTCCTCAATGGGTTCTGGTTCGGATACCTTTTCGACAACAGTAACCTCCTTTTGGGGCTCAGAAACTGGCTCGTCTTCATCCGAGAAGTTCATTGGCTCATCCAAAACATCCATCCAAGAGCTGGACGAATCGTCAACAGGCAGACCGGCGTAGGCTGGTTTCTTGGGCTCCTCAGGTTTCTTCTCAGGTTCCGCTGGCTTTTTGATTTCCTCAGGAACTGGAACCTCGCTGACCTTTTCGGTAGTGACTGTGGTGGTGGTTACAGTTGTAATCGTCTTGGTTTCATCGACAACAGGCACCTTCTCAATGGGTTCTGGTTCGGATACCTTTTTGACAACAGTAACCTCCTTTTGGGGTTCAGAAACTGGCTCGTCTTCATCCGAGAAGTTCATTGGCTCATCCAAAACATCGATCCAAGAGCTGGACGATTCGTCTACAGGAAGACCAGCGTAGGCTGGCTTTTTCGGCTCCTCAGGCTTAACAAGTTCTTTTGTGTCAGAAACCTCGTTCAGCTTTTCAGTGGTGACTATCGTGGTGGTTACAGTAGTGATCGTTTTGGTTTCATCGACCAAAGGAACCGATTCCTCTTTTGGAGGCGGAATGGGTTCAGAGTCAGAAGGCTCGGGTATGGTCTCAAATGGTGCCAGGGGCGCTTCGTACGGAGCTACTGGTGTTTCACTCTTTGATACAACTACAATATCAACGGTCTTTGCTGTTTTTTCTGGACTCTCGGGTAATGGCTCTACTGCAGGAAGTTTCTCGGATAGAGATGGCTGCTCGGTAATGGATTTTTGGGATTGCGTTGTTGGAGCTGTTTGGTGAGCCGATTTTTCCGCGTTAATAAAATCAACCACGTCAGAAGGCGACTTCCGCTTGGACTTTTGTTTTGGTTTTTTGGACTTCGTTTCTGAGGTTTCAAAGGTTAGGGGAATACTAACGGGTTGACCAAGTCTAGCATTCTTAACGTCTTCTACCACTACCGACTTGGTTTCCACCAACAGAGGCCTTATTTGTTGAGCAGGTTCTGGTACATTGTGCGCAGCTATGGCTGCCCAAGACATTCCAGAGGTGTACAGAGACGGTACAGGAGCTGGAGGTTCTACCGTGTCAGTTTTAGCTTCTGGTTCTTGTTCAATAGTGGGTTCAACGCTTATCGGTTCGGTTTGTTGCTGGACAACGGTTTCTGGTTTCCTTTCTTTAGGTTTCTTCGATTTCTTCTTTAGTGGTTTTTCATCCACGTTTGAGGTCTGGGAGTGTTGTGATCGCGAACGAGATCTATTTCTTTTCTTAGAAGTTATTTCCAAAAATCCTTGTTCGCTTTCCGGCTGCGGTTCTATTTCAGCAAAAACTTCTTCGGATATTTGTATTGTTGGTTTCTCAGTGGTTCGAGAGGGTCTTTGTGGCACTGAAACCTGTGTACTTATTTCCTTGATGGGTTCTTGGTACCAAATCTCCGTCGGATCTATTTCATCCTCATCTATAAGTTCCTTCCAAGACAACTGAGATGGTTTCTCGAAATAGGTTTCTGTTTCTGTGTTTTCTACAGATGGAATGACAGGATCAGGGAACTCTCCCAAAACTTCTTGCGGCTGGACTTCGGGAGCCTGCGGTTTTTTGTTCTGTTTTGGCTTGACAGTTTCAATATTCTTGTATATTATGTTTGTGTTGTGACTGTAGCCAGATTTCTTAACCACCTCGGCATAAGTTTCTGATGATGACCAGACTGAAGATTTTGTTGGGTTCGGAAGCTGGATGCGGAACTCTGGAGTTATCGATCCTGAGGTACTTTCGATTTCCACTGGGGCTTCCACGATTTGTGGTTGATGTTGCTGCTCCGATGTTGGTTGCTCATAGGTTGGCAAATCAAAAGGCGAAGACCCGATCTCCTTATTGTCGTGTAAGGTGGGAATATCATCTTCCTTTTCAGGATGACGCGTATCGGTAAATGTTGGCGTCAAGTCTATATTATGAGACACAATCGATGACCACGACAAAGTTTGGGTTGGTAAAATTTCAGGAACTGGTTTTACATTATTGGACGATATTATTCCTTCTGTAACTGACACATTCTCTGCCACAGGCTGTCTTATTGGCTCCACCTTACTATGTTTCTTTTCCTTTTTGGGTTTCTGATTTTTAGACTTGTCATTAACAACATTAGAGAAATGTTGTTCCTGAGCTATGAACTTGTTAATATCATGAGACTTCGGTGTACTCTGTGTTGTTTTGGTCACGGTTTCGGATTCTGTTGTTTGGAATTCTAAAGTCGACCAACGCGATAAAGGCTTAGAGAGAGAAGATTCTAATTTATCAACAGTATCTTCAGTGATAAATTCGGAAATGGGCTTGTTTGGTTTCCTTTCCCTCTTCGACTTTGTTTTCTTCACATTGCCTTCATTGTCACCTTCGCGTGAGACTGTGATCTGAGAGTCCTTTCCAGCAATGATTTCTGTGACGGTTTGTGGTTTCTCTTCAATGGTCTGCGACACAATAGAAGACCACGACATGACAAGCGGGGGAGACACATTCACCAATGGCTTCACGTCAACTACAGGTTCTTCGACTACTGGAGCTTTCTCAATCGGTTCTACGTCTGGTTCTGACACAAAATGTTCAACAACGGGCTTAACCTTGGGTTTCTTCTCCTTCTTCGGCTTTTGTTTCTTGGATTTTTCTTCCAAAAGCTTTTCTTCAGGAGTTTCGACGGTATGGGTGTCGATTGTAGTTGTTGTCACCTCAGTAGTTTGGGACACTATAGACGACCAGGATAGTTGTGGAGTTGCTTCAGGTTCGGGAGCTGGTGTAATTTCCTCCACTAGGGTCACTTCAACCACTGGTTCTTCGACTATTGGTGCTTCCACAATCGGTTCTACTTCTGGTTCAGGCACCACAGCTTCAACAACAGGTTCTGCCTTCGGTTTCTTCTCCTTCTTCGGTTTTTGCTTCTTGGGTTTTTCTTCCAAAAGCTTTTCTTCAGGAGTTTCGACGGTATGGGTGTCGGTTGTAGTGGTTGTCACCTCAGTAGTTTGGGACACAATAGACGACCAGGATAGTTGTGGAGCTGCTTCAGGTTCGGGAGCTGGTGTAATTTCCTCCACTAGGGTCACTTCAACCACTGGTTCTTCGACTATTGGTGCTTCCACAATCGGTTCTACTTCCACAATCGGTTCAGGCACCACAGCTTCAACAACAGGTTCTGCCTTCGGTTTCTTCTCCTTCTTCGGCTTTTGCTTCTTGGGTTTTTCTTCCAAAAGCTTTTCTTCAGGAGTTTCGACGGTATGGGTGTCGGTTGTAGTGGTTGTCACCTCAGTAGTTTGGGACACAATAGACGACCAGGATAGTTGTGGAGCTGCTTCAGGTTCGGGAGCTGGTGTAATTTCCTCCACTAGGGTCACTTCAACCACAGGTTCTTCGACTACTGGTACTTCCACAATCGGTTCTACTTCTGGTTCAGGCACCACAGCTTCAACAACAGGTTCTGCCTTCGGCTTCTCCTTCTTCGGCTTTTGCTTCTTGGGTTTTTCTTCCAAAAGCTTTTCTTCAGGAGTTTCGACGGTATGGGTGTCGGTTGTAGTGGTTGTCACCTCAGTAGTTTGGGACACAATAGACGACCAGGATAGTTGTGGAGCTGCTTCAGGTTCGGGAGCTGGTGTAATTTCCTCCACTAGGGTCACTTCAACCACAGGTTCTTCGACTACTGGTGCTTCCACAATCGGTTCTACTTCTGGTTCAGGCACCACAGCTTCAACAACAGGTTCTGCCTTCGGTTTCTTCTCCTTCTTCGGCTTTTGCTTCTTGGGTTTTTCTTCCAAAAGCTTTTCTTCAGGAGTTTCGACGGTATGGGTGTCGGTTGTAGTTGTTGTCACCTCAGTAGTTTGGGACACAATAGACGACCAGGAAAGTTGTGGAGCTGCTTCAGGTTCGGGAGCTGGTGTAATTTCCTCCTCCAGGGTCAGTTCAACCGCAGGTTCTTCGACTACTGGTGCTTCCACAATCGGTTCTACTTCTGGTTCAGGCACCACAGCTTCAACAACAGGATCTGCCTTCGGTTTCTGCTCCTTCTTCGGCTTTTGTTTCTTGGGTTTTTCTTCCAAAAGCTTTTCTTCAGGATTTTCGACGTTATGGGTGTCGGTTGTAGTGGTTGTCACCACAGTAGTTTGGGACACAATAGACGACCAGGATAGTTGTGGAGCTGCTTCAGGTTCGGGAGCTGGTGTAATTTCCTCCACTAGGGTCACTTCAACCACAGGTTCTTCGACTACTGGTGCTTCCACAATCGGCTCTACCTCTGGTTCAGGAACCACAGCTTCAACAACAGGTTCTGCCTTTGGTTTCTTCTCCTTCTTCGGCTTTTGTTTCTTGGGTTTTTCTTCCAAAAGCTTTTCTTCAGGAGTTTCGACGGTATGGGTGTCGGTTGTAGTGGTTGTCACCTCAGTATTTTGGGACACAATAGACGACCAGGATAGTTGTGGAGCTGCTTCAGGTTCGGGAGCTGGTGTAATTTCCTCCACTAGGGTCAGTTCAACCACAGGTTCTTCGACTACTGGTGCTTCCACAATCGGCTCTACCTCTGGTTCAGGAACCACAGCTTCAACAACAGGTTCTGCCTTCGGTTTCTTCTCCTTCTTCGGCTTTTGCTTCTTGGGTTTTTCTTCCAAAAGCTTTTCTTCAGGAGTTTCGACGGTATGGGTGTCGGTTGTAGTTGTTGTCACCTCAGTAGTTTGGGACACAATAGACGACCAGGAAAGTTGTGGAGCTGCTTCAGGTTCGGGAGCTGGTGTAATTTCCTCCTCCAGGGTCAGTTCAACCGCAGGTTCTTCGACTACTGGTGCTTCCACAATCGGTTCTACTTCTGGTTCAGGCACCACAGCTTCAACAACAGGATCTGCCTTCGGTTTCTGCTCCTTCTTCGGCTTTTGTTTCTTGGGTTTTTCTTCCAAAAGCTTTTCTTCAGGAGTTTCGACGGTATGGGTGTCGGTTGTAGTTGTTGTCACCTCAGTAGTTTGGGACACAATAGACGACCAGGATAGTTGTGGAGCTGCTTCAGGTTCGGGAGCTGGTGTAATTTCCTCCACTAGGGTCACTTCAACCACAGGTTCTTCGACTACTGGTGCTTCCACAATCGGCTCTACCTCTGGTTCAGGAACCACAGCTTCAACAACAGGTTCTGCCTTTGGTTTCTTCTCCTTCTTCGGCTTTTGTTTCTTGGGTTTTTCTTCCAAAAGCTTTTCTTCAGGAGTTTCGACGGTATGGGTGTCGGTTGTAGTGGTTGTCACTTCAGTAGTTTGGGACACAATAGACGACCAGGATAGTTGTGGAGCTGCTTCAGGTTCGGGAGCTGGTGTAATTTCCTCCACTAGGGTCACTTCAACCACTGGTTCTTCGACTATTGGTGCTTCCACAATCGGTTCTACTTCTGGTTCAGGCACCACAGGTTCTGCCTTCGGTTTCTTCTCCTTCTTCGGCTTTTGCTTCTTGGGTTTTTCTTCCAAAAGCTTTTCTTCAGGAGTTTCGACGGTATGGGTGTCGGTTGTAGTGGTTGTCACCTCAGTAGTTTGGGACACAATAGACGACCAGGATAGTTGTGGAGCTGCTTCAGGTTCGGGAGCTGGTGTAAATTCCTCCACTAGGGTCACTTCAACCACAGGTTCTTCGACTACTGGTGCTTCCACAATCGGTTCTACTTCTGGTTCAGGCACCACAGCTTCAACAACAGGTTCTGCCTTCGGTTTCTTCTCCTTCTTCGGCTTTTGCTTCTTGGGTTTTTCTTCCAAAAGCTTTTCTTCAGGAGTTTCGACGGTATGGGTGTCGGTTGTAGTGGTTGTCACCTCAGTAGTTTGGGACACAATAGACGAGCAGGATAGTTGTGGAGCTGCTTCAGGTTCGGGAGCTGGTGTAATTTCCTCCACTAGGGTCACTTCAACCACAGGTTCTTCGACTACTGGTGCTTCCACAATCGGTTCTACTTCTGGTTCAGGCACCACAGCTTCAACAACAGGTTCTGCCTTCGGTTTCTTCTCCTTCTTCGGCTTTTGCTTCTTGGGTTTTTCTTCCAAAAGCTTTTCTTCAGGAGTTTCGACGGTATGGGTGTCGGTTGTAGTGGTTGTCACCTCAGTAGTTTGGGACACAATAGACGAGCAGGATAGTTGTGGAGCTGCTTCAGGTTCGGGAGCTGGTGTAATTTCCTCCACTAGGGTCACTTCAACCACAGGTTCTTCGACTACTGGTGCTTCCACAATCGGTTCTACTTCTGGTTCAGGCACCACAGCTTCAACAACAGGTTCTGCCTTCGGTTTCTTCTCCTTCTTCGGCTTTTGTTTCTTGGGTTTTTCTTCCAAAAGCTTTTCTTCAGGAGTTTCGACGGTATGGGTGTCGGTTGTAGTGGTTGTCACCTCAGTAGTTTGGGACACAATAGACGACCAGGATAGTTGTAGAGCTGCTTCAGGTTCAGGAGCTGGTGTAATTGCCTCCACTAGGGTCACATCAACCACTGGTTCTTCGACTATTGGTGCTTCCACAATCGGTTCTACTTCTGGTTCAGGCACCACAGCTTCAACAACAGGTTCTGCCTTCGGTTTCTTCTCCTTCTTCGGCTTTTGCTTCTTGGGTTTTTCTTCCAAAAGCTTTTCTTCAGGAGTTTCGACGGTATGGGTGTCGGTTGTAGTGGTTGTCACCTCAGTAGTTTGGGACACAATAGACGACCAGGATAGTTGTGGAGCTGCTTCAGGTTCGGGAGCTGGTGTAATTTCCTCCACTAGGGTCACTTCAACCACAGGTTCTTCGACTACTGGTGCTTCCACAATCGGTTCTACTTCTGGTTCAGGCACCACAGCTTCAACAACAGGTTCTGCCTTTGGTTTCTTCTCCTTCTTCGGCTTTTGCTTCTTGGGTTTTTCTTCCAAAAGCTTTTCTTCAGGAGTTTCGACGGTATGGGTGTCGGTTGTAGTGGTTGTCACCTCAGTAGTTTGGGACACAATAGACGACCAGGATAGTTGTGGAGCTGCTTCAGGTTCGGGAGCTGGTGTAATTTCCTCCACTAGGGTCACTTCAACCACAGGTTCTTCGACTACTGGTGCTTCCACAATCGGTTCTACTTCTGGTTCAGGCACCACAGCTTCAACAACAGGTTCTGCCTTCGGTTTCTTCTCCTTCTTCGGCTTTTGCTTCTTGGGTTTTTCTTCCAAAAGCTTTTCTTCAGGCGTTTCGACGGTATGGGTGTCGGTTGTAGTGGTTGTCACCTCAGTAGTTTGGGACACAATAGACGACCAGGATAGTTGTAGAGCTGCTTCAGGTTCAGGAGCTGGTGTAATTGCCTCCACTAGGGTCACTTCAACCACTGGTTCTTCGACTATTGGTGCTTCCACAATCGGTTCTACTTCTGGTTCAGGCACCACAGCTTCAACAACAGGTTCTGCCTTCGGTTTCTTCTCCTTCTTCGGCTTTTGCTTCTTGGGTTTTTCTTCCAAAAGCTTTTCTTCAGGAGTTTCGACGGTATGGGTGTCGGTTGTAGTGGTTGTCACCTCAGTAGTTTGGGACACAATAGACGACCAGGATAGTTGTGGAGCTGCTTCAGGTTCGGGAGCTGGTGTAATTTCCTCCACTAGGGTCACTTCAACCACAGGTTCTTCGACTACTGGTGCTTCCACAATCGGTTCTACTTCTGGTTCAGGCACCACAGCTTCAACAACAGGTTCTGCCTTCGGTTTCTTCTCCTTCTTCGGCTTTTGCTTCTTGGGTTTTTCTTCCAAAAGCTTTTCTTCAGGAGTTTCGACGGTATGGGTGTCGGTTGTAGTGGTTGTCACCTCAGTATTTTGGGACACAATAGACGACCAGGATAGTTGTGGAGCTGCTTCAGGTTCGGGAGCTGGTGTAATTTCCTCCACTAGGGTCACTTCAACCACAGGTTCTTCGACTACTGGTGCTTCCACAATCGGTTCTACTTCTGGTTCAGGCACCACAGCTTCAACAACAGGTTCTGCCTTCGGTTTCTTCTCCTTCTTCGGCTTTTGCTTCTTGGGTTTTTCTTCCAAAAGCTTTTCTTCAGGCGTTTCGACGGTATGGGTGTCGGTTGTAGTGGTTGTCACCTCAGTAGTTTGGGACACAATAGAAGACCAGGATAACTCAGGTGCAGCTTGTTCTGTAGTTGAGATTACGTCCTCCACGTTTGACACTTCATCTACTAAAATTGTTTTCACAGTTTCAGCAACTTTAGGAATCTTTTTATCTTTCTTTGATTTTTTCTGGGATTTGTCGTTTACCACAGAAGAGAAAATTTGTTCCTGGCTGATAAAATCTTGCGAGTTTGCGGTTGTTTGGAAAGTCACTGGGTCACGTTCATCAATTTGGGTTATTTTTGTAGATGGTTCCTGTATGCCTTGTCGCACAATTGATGACCATAATGTACCACTGGTCTTTGGCTGATTTATTTCACTATATTTGTCCAAGTCTTCTTCGACCATTGCTGACCACGAGTCTCTCACCGGACTGACTTCAACTTCAACTGGAGGCTCAGCATAGTCACTGGAAGAAATATCTTTGGTAGTTTTCTTCGGTTTTTTCTGAGCTTTTTTCGATTGTTTAACCGTCTCTTTCACAACTAGAGACACTTCTTCCTTGGGTTCAATACTGGAGATTTTTGAATGGTGGAGTTTGTCCACATTTTTCTTTTCCAAATCAATAAAATCTTCTGTATGTTTAACAACATCAGCATAAGATGAATGTAATTCCCAGACATTAGTCGGCTTGGGTGTCAGTATTTGGATATCTTCTGAAACGGTAACCAATTTTTTCTGCGCTTCCACAGGCTTCTTTATGTCTGTGAAAATAACATTGTTGGCAGTTTCAGTGGAATCTGTGGTGATGGTTACACTTGTAATGGTCTTGGTTTCGTCGACCCCAGGCACCTCCACAATGGGTCTTGGTTCGGATACCTTTTTGATAGCCGTAACCTCCTCTTGGGGCTCAGAAACTGGCTCATCTTCATCAGAGAAGTTCATTGGCTCATCCAAAACATCCATCCAAGAGCTGGAAGAATCGTTAACAGGCAGACCGGCGTAGGCTGGTTTCTTGGGCTCCTCAGGTTTCTTCTCAGGTTCCTCTGGCTTTTTGATTTCCTCAGGAACTGGAACCTCACTGATCTCTTCGGTAGTGACTGTGGTGGTGGTTACAGTTGTAATCGTCTTGGTTTCGTCGACAACAGGCACCTCCACAATGGGTTCTGGTTCGGATACCTTTTCGACAACAGTAACCTCCTTTTGGGGCTCAGAAACTGGCTCGTCTTCATCCGAGAGGTTCATTGGCTCATCCAAAACATCCATCCAAGAGCTGGACGAATCGTCAACAGGCAGACCGGCGTAGGCTGGTTTCTTGGGCTCCTCAGGTTTCTTCTCAGGTTCCTCTGGCTTTTTGATTTCCTCAGGAACTGGAACCTCGCTGACCTTTTCGGTAGTGACTGTGGTGGTGGTTACAGTTGTAATCGTTTTGGTTTCGTCGACAACAGGCACTTCCACAATGGGTTCTGGTTCGGATACCTTTTCGACAATAGTAACCTCCTTTTGGGGCTCTGAAACTGGCTCGTCTTCATCCGGGAAGTTCATTGGCTCATCCAAAACATCCATCCAAGAGCTGGACGAATCGTCAACAGGCAGACCGGCGTAGGCTGGTTTCTTGGGCTCCTCAGGTTTCTTCTCAGGTTTCTCTGGCTTTTTGATTTCCTCAGGAACTGGAACCTCACTGATCTCTTCGGTAGTGACTGTGGTGGTGGTTACAGTTGTAATCGTCTTGGTTTCGTCGACAACAGGCACCTCCACAATGGGTTCTGGTTCGGATACCTTTTCGACAACAGTAACCTCCTTTTGGGGCTCAGAAACTGGCTCGTCTTCATCCGAGAGGTTCATTGGCTCATCCAAAACATCCATCCAAGAGCTGGACGAATCGTCAACAGGCAGACCGGCGTAGGCTGGTTTCTTGGGCTCCTCAGGTTTCTTCTCAGGTTCCTCTGGCTTTTTGGTTTCTTCAGGAACTGGAACTTCGCTGACCTTTTCGGTAGTGACTGTGGTGGTGGTTACAGTTGTAATCGTCTTGGTTTCGTCGACAACAGGCACCTCCACAATGGGTTCTGGTGCGGATACCTTTTCGACAACAGTACCCTCCTTTTGGGGCTCAGAAACTAGCTCGTCTTCATCCGAGAAGTTCATTGGCTCATCCAAAACATCCATCCAAGAGCTGGACGAATCGTCAACAGGCAGACCGGCGTAGGCTGGTTTCTTGGGCTCCTCAGGTTTCTTCTCAGGTTCCTCTGGCTTTTTGGTTTCTTCAGGAACTGGAACTTCGCTGACCTTTTCGGTAGTGACTGTGGTGGTGGTTACAGTTGTAATCGTCTTGGTTTCGTCGACAACAGGCACCTCCACAATGGGTTCTGGTTCGGATACCTTTTCGACAACAGTAACCTCCTTTTGGGGCTCAGAAACTGGCTCGTCTTCATCCGAAAAGTTCATTGGCTCATCCAAAACATCCATCCAAGAGCTGGACGAATCGTCAACAGGCAGACCGGCGTAGGCTGGTTTCTTGGGCTCCTCAGGTTTCTTCTCAGGTTCCTCTGGCTTTTTGATTTCCTCAGGAACTGGAACATCGGTGACCTTTTCGGTAGTGACTGTGGTGGTGGTTACAGTTGTAATCGTCTTGGTTTCGTCGACAACAGGCACTTCCACAATGGGTTCTGGTTTGGATACCTTTTCGACAATAGTAACCTCCTTTTGGGGCTCTGAAACTGTCTCGTCTTCATCCGAGAAGTTCATTGGCTCATCCAAAACATCCATCCAAGAGCTGGACGAATCGTCAACAGGCAGACCGGCGTAGGCTGGTTTCTTGGGCTCCTCAGGTTTCTTCTCAGGTTCCTCTGGCTTTTTGATTTCCTCAGAAACTGGAACCTCACTGATCTCTTCGGTAGTGACTGTGGTGGTGGTTACAGTTGTAATCGTCTTGGTTTCGTCGAAAACAGGCACCTCCACAATGGGTTCTGGTTCGGATACCTTTTCAACAACAGTAACCTCCTTTTGGGGCTCAGAAACTGGCTCGTCTTCATCCGAGAAGTTCATTGGCTCATCCAAAACATCCATCCAAGAGCTGGAAGAATCGTCGACAGGTAGACCGGCGTAGGCTGGTTTCTTGGGCTCCTCAGGTTTCTTCTCAGGTTCCTCTGGCTTTTTGATTTCCTCAGGAACTGGAACCTCGGTGACCTTTTCGGTAGTGACTGTGGTGGTGGTTACAGTTGTCATTGTCTTGGTTTCGTCGACAACAGGCAGACCGGCGTAGGCTGGTTTCTTGGGTTCCTCAAGTTTCGTCTCAGGTTCGACTGGTTTTTTGGATTCTTCAGGAACGGGAACCTCACTCACCTTTTCGTTGACTGTGGAGATGGTGGTGACAGAAGTGATCGGTTTTTCTTCGATACTGGATTTCATTTCCTGCATTGTTTCGAGAATTTTGTTTATATTGGCTTCCTCTCCATTTTCAGGAAGAAGTGGAATTTCCATTTCGTCTTCAATCAAATCTTTCCAAGATTTAGGTTCTACCACAATGTCATCGGCGCCATCGTCAATCATTTCAGCCCAGGACTTTTGAGGTTTATGTGTTTCAGACTCAAAAGGTAATTCCACAATCTGTACCTGCTTCTTTGGCTTTTCAGCCTTCGGTTTTTGTGTTGTCTTTTCAGCTTCAATAAACTCTGTAGTTTGATGACTCAGTACAGATGACCAGGAACTTTGTAATTGTTTCTGATTTTTATCAACTTCAGGACCATGACTGACTTTAACTTTCGTCTTAATTTCGTGACGCTTGATTTTAGAAGTATGTTCAGGCTGCAGTTGTTTCACCTCTTTCTTCTCCTTGGGTGTTAAGTCTGTCATATGATCGATTTGACTAGCAATTTTAGCCCAAGTAATAGTATTATCATCGGGTCTCTGTAGGGGCTCAACCACTTCACTCTCATCAGACGTTGGGGACAAGATTTCAGGTTCGTGTTTTTCCTCTTGAGCCACAGGCTTGTTAGGTTTGATCCGCTTTTCTTTCTTTACAGTTTTCTCGACCTTAATGATTTTTTTGACATTTGACTCATCTTTAGGTTCCTCTCTGGACGGTTCCACTATTTTCTTACGGGAGGCTATGTCGTCGACCCACTCACCAGGTTTCTTCACCAACGAAGCCCAAGAGAATGCATTACCAGTCGTTTCCTCCGGCTTGCGGACTTCAACCTTTTCCTCGGGTTCAATCACAACATCCTTAATTGGTTCACTGTGTATTTCAGGCTCAGGATCAGAGGCTGGTATCTTAGCATCGGCCTTCTTTTTAGGTTTCTGTTTCTTCAGCTTCTCTGGTTTCTCTTTTCTAGCAGGATCCTTTGTCTCAGTGGAAGAATTTACAGCTGTTTTTATATGAGTAACTGTGTTATCAATCCACTCACCAGGCCTCTTAACAAGGGAAGCCCAAGAGAAGCCACTGCTTTGTTCTTCGATTTTACCTTGTTCCAGATCAAGCTCTGACGGTTTGAGCTCCGTTAATGTTGTGGCAGGCAAAGCTTCAGGCAGCTCATCTTCAGATGTGGTCGATGCCGGTTCAACAATTGGTTTCTTCGGCTTCTTTGTCTTTTTGGGCTTTGCGACCTTTTTAGGCTCTTCCTTTTCCTTTTTACGGGACTTTGTCTCTGTTGTTGATACAACTGTTGTTTGGGAGGTTTCCTTCTTGACCAGTGTTGTATCTGACCATTCTCCAGGTCTACGCACAAGAGCTGACCATGTAAGCTCCGAAGTACTTGAAGCTTCTCTCTCATCAGATGACGGTTCCTTGGAGCTGTCAGTAGTTTTCGACAGATCGCTATCAGTTGTTGGTTGGGACTGCTCGTTATCTGTACTGGTCTTTGATTTGTCGCTCTCTATAATTATTGTGGGCTTTAGTTTCTCCACAGCCTTGCGTTTTTCCTGTTTTGTCTTTGGTTGGCTTAAAGGTGGTTTAACTTCGACAGGTTTTGGTTCAGATAAAGATTTTGTTGGACTCTCAATCGCAGTAGCTACAGCATCCTCTACAACACGGGAATTCAATAGGACGTCAGCATACGATTTTCCATCACGGTTTCTGGTCCATACGTTGTCAACATCCTCGACAACATCGAAAGGCTCTTGCACATACTCTATCGGCGCAGGTTTTACCTCATCCTGAATTTCGGCCTTCTTATTTTGGCGTTTTGGCGGTTTTGCTTTCTTAGCTTTCTGTTTTGGCAACACAGCCGCCTCTGTTCTATTTCTGGGAATGAACTCGTTGTATACCCGCTCATTAGCAAGGAATGTATGTGTCTGGTCCGAATAGGAATTCCTCAAATAAGAGGGCGTAAACTCTGGAGCATCAGCGGACAAACTAGAAGTGAATCCAATGTTGCCGCTACTAGGAGCGGAATCCTCAAGAACACTGGACCATGTATCTATAGGCTCTTCCAATGGCTTTTCCTGTTGAGCATTACCTGGATGAATCGAATCCTCAAGTTCCTGGGGCTTTTTGATTTCTTCAGGAACTGGAATCTCGCTGACCTTTTCGGTAGTGACTGTGGTGGTGGTTACAGTTGTAATCGTCTTGGTTTCGTCGACAACAGGCACCTCCACAATAGGTTCTGGTTCGGATACCTTTTCGACAACAGAAACCTCCCTTTGGAGCTCAGAAACTGGCTCGTCTTCATCTGAGAAGTTCATTGGCTCATCCAAAACATCCATCCAAGAGCTGGACGAATCGTCAACAGGCAGACCGGCGTAGGCTGGTTTCTTAGGCTCCTCAGGTTTCTTCTCAGGTTCCTCTGGCTTTTTGATTTCCTCAGGAACTGGAACTTCACTGAGCTTTTCGGTAGTGACTGTGGTGGTGGTTACAGCTGTAATCGTCTTGGTTTCGTCGACAACAGGCACCTCCACAATGGGTTCTGGTTCGGATACCTTTTCAACAACAGTAACCTCCTTTTGGGGCTCAGAAACTGGCTCGTCTTCATCCGAGAAGTTCATTGGCTCATCCAAAACATCCATCCAAGAGCTGGACGAATCGTCGACAGGTAGACCGGCGTAGGCTGGTTTCTTGGGCTCCTCAGGTTTCTTCTCAGGTTCCTCTGGCTTTTTGATTTCCTCAGAAACTGGAACCTCACTGATCTCTTCGGTAGTGACTGTGGTGGTGGTTACAGTTGCAATCGTCTTGGTTTCGTCGAAAACAGGCACCTCCACAATGGGTTCTGGTTCGGATACCTTTTCAACAACAGTAACCTTCTTTTGGGGCTCAGAAACTGGCTCGTCTTCATCCGAGAAGTTCATTGGCTCATCCAAAACATCCATCCAAGAGCTGGACGAATCGTCGACAGGCAGACCGGCGTAGGCTGGTTTCTTAGGCTCCTCAGGTTTCTTCTCAGGTTCCTCTGGCTTTTTGATTTCCTCAGGAACTGGAACCTCACTGATCTCTTTGGTAGTGACTGTGGTGGTGGTTACAGTTGTAATCGTCTTGGTTTCGTCGACAACAGGCACCTCCACAATGGGTTCTGGTACGGATACCTTTTTGACAACCGTTACCTCCTTTTGGGGCTCAGAAACTGGCTCGTCTTCATCCGAGAAGTTCATTGGCTCATCCAAAACATCCATCCAAGAGCTGGAAGAATCGTCGACAGGCAGACCGGCGTAGGCTGGTTTCTTAGGCTCCTCAGGTTTCTTCTCAGGTTCCTCTGGCTTTTTGATTTCCTCAGGAACTGGAACCTCGCTGACTTTTTCGGTAGTGACTGTGGTAGTGGTTACAGTTGTAATCGTCTTGGTTTCGTCGACAACAGGCACCTCCACAATGGGTTCTGGTTCGGATACCTTTTCAACAACAGTAACTTCCTTTTGGGGCTCAGAAACTGGCTCGTCTTCATCCGAGAAGTTCATTGGCTCATCCAAAACATCCATCCAAGAGCTGGAAGAATCGTCGACAGGCAGACCGGCGTAGGCTGGTTTCTTAGGCTCCTCAGGTTTCTTCTCAGGTTCCTCTGGCTTTTTGATTTCCTCAGGAACTGGAACCTCGCTGACTTTTTCGGTAGTGACTGTGGTAGTGGTTACAGTTGTAAACGTCTTGGTTTCATCGACAATAGGCACCTCAACAATGGGTTCTGGTTCGGATACCTTTTCGACAACCGAAAGCTCCTTTTGCTTTGGTTCCTCAGTTTTATTTTCAGGTTCAGTTGTATCAGGTTCTTGTGATAATGATGGAGGAACCGATTTTGTCTCTTCAATTTTAAGCAAGGCTTCTGCTTTGCTCAGGGTTATGACATCGAATTTTGGAACTTCCCAGTTGTATATAGCAGGAAGAGTTTGTTGACTGATGCTACTTGTATTAATGTCTTTTTCGTCCTCAAAGCTTACCGTCTTTGGTAACGAAACATTAACAGTAGTTGGTTCTAATGGAGTTGGGGTACTGACTTCATCTGGCTTAGAATTAATTATGTGATATTGACCCTCGGCATTAATAAACTTAATTAAGTCAAATTTGGGAACTTCAAATATTTTTTCAAATGAAGAAATTGGCTGAATGTTAGTTATTGTATTTAAAGTGCTTACCGAGTTAGCCACAGCTATTAATGCGCTTGGATTGGCAGGAGCAATTTGTTTAGAGTTATTAGTGAGGGCAGGGCTGGGCTGAGTTTCAGATGGACTTTTTACTTTTTCTTCTACTTGAACAGGGACAATTTCGGGAACCGGATATACTTCAGAAGTTTCATGATAAAGATCATCTGCCTTGGCGTGCTCAATAGACTTGACAATAGAGGTAAATGCCGCATCTTGGGAAATGTTGAAACGCAATTTCTCTGGATCAGGAACATTATTAAGGGAAATTTCGACTTCTAGGCTTGACCGAACAGAAGCTACTTCCGAGTCTAATAGTTCTTGGTTAGAAGTTTCTGATTTGCCACTGTCGATTGTCTTGGCACTTGAAACCAGGGATACATCCTGAGAAATATTGGAAACTAACGCGTCTAACTCTGCTAAGGGCGGAACTACATTAATTAGCACATTATCTACAACAATATCTGCACTACCTGTTCTCTCCTCTGTAAGAACCTGCAAGGTTTCTTGCTTAATAAACGCTTCGGGGATAGCTGGACGTTTTTTCTTATCTTTTTTGGAGAGCTTCTTCTGAATATCCTCGAACAACTGTTGCTCTTCAGGGCTCAGTTCAGAGGCGGCTATAGGTTGGGTACTCTTGGAGTCATCTACTGGAACAGGCTCTTCAATAAGTTTAGCTACAGGGGGTTCTAATATGGGCTCTTGTACTACAGGAAGTTCTGGCACAGACGACTCGACTACTTCAACAACTGTATTCTTACTAGAATCGGCAGTTCTATTCAGGGACTCCACGTTTTCGGTCACTGTTTCTGTCACCTGAAGACTGACCTCCGGAAAATCAAGATGCATTTTCACGATAGGTGTCTTCAGTTTTTCTTCATGAGTAATGAGAGAAATCTTCTGGACTGTGCCCGGTGGGAAGGCACCGTCAATGCCTTCTCCCACGAAAAGAACATTTGTGCCATCTTCGGTTTCGAAGCTTCGTCGTTGCGTAGTCGTGAGTATCGTATTCTTGGTAGTAGTCGTAGTAGTGGTAATACTATTTGTCTCGTTCACAGCCCCGTTTGTCGTCGTTTCACCCAACTTTGGCAACTCAATAGTGCTTGTCTCGATTCCAATAACCTTCACCCCAGTCGGACTATCCTTCACTCCTATCTGAATGTTTTCACCCAAACTGTCAATCCTTAATTCACTGCTAGGCGTCACAGCCGGAGACGATGCTCGCGACGATACTATCGGACTGATGGGTCTTTGATCGGGCATTTCAATACTCGACGTGACGACAACGTCACTAGGCGCTTCGCTTTCCGTCAAAAGTATGCGTCCATCATTCGTTATCCTCTTCGTAATACGCATTGTCCGGATTGTCGTAGTTTTAATAATTGCGCCATCAATTTGACTAGATACGGTTGAGGTTTCGCTAGGGACTTCCGAGATCGCTGGAGAAGCTTCCCGCACAATAATCGGGTCACTGGTAGTGCTGCTCTCTTCAGTGGTAGTTTCCCCATCTTCGTTCAGCTTCTTAACGATTTTTGTCGTACGCACGGTTGTAGTCTTAGTTACACCACCATTGGCATCTTCAACTGTCTGCACAGGTTCAGGCTTATTAGCTTCCTTCTCGGGGTTTGACACTTCAATAGCCTGTTGTTCAGAGTTTTGAGCGATCTTTTTGACAATTTTTGTCGTTCTCACGATTGTGGTCTTGACCACATCACCAGGACTAGAAAGCTCGGATTCCTCGGTAGTACCCAACTGAATAGGTTCCTCGGGCACCAATTCCTTTACAGGCTCAAGAGACTTAATAGATGCATTTTTCTCAGCTTCAATGAAATCTACGAGAGTCGATTGAATCCTGATAGACTGAGGTACATCACTATTTGAGGAGGGGAATATAAGCTTGTCTTCCACACCAGTTGAAACGATTTCCACATTTGGCTGAACATTCTCCTCAAGGTTGGTCTCTGTTTCTACTGGAACATCTGATGGGTTGAATGCGATATCCACACTTTCGCTGAAAACGTTCTTGTTCACAGCTTTCGTTGTTCGCGTAGTAGTGGTCTTAGTGATGCCTTCGCCATTCGATTCAGTCGTGACCGACTCCGCTACTATTGGAGCATCTTGAATGATTGTGTCGACAATAGGTAGGGAGGAGCATTCAGATTCGCTGCTGGCCTCGCTAATTTCAGTTTCCTGGGAGATTTTCTTAACGATCCTAGTGGTGCGGACAATAGTTGTCTTTATCACACCGCCTTCTACATTGTCTTCAGCATCTGGTAAAACATTTTCCGTTACAGTTGGTACGTCCAAAACGGGTTCCACAAGTACAGCTTCGGCCTTTGGAGATTTGATGGTTTTAGTGGTGGTCGTTTTGGTTGTCTTCACCACACCCTCATCGCTGATTTCTCGGCTATTGGTTTCCGACTTAACTACCTTGGGTGGCTCAACAGGCTCCTCGGATTGGGAACTAACCGAAGAAAGGACATCTGAATGCGTTGAAGACAACATGTCCTGACTTTCCTGCTGGCTGCTGTTAATTTTCTTGACGATTTTGGTAGTACGGATGACTGTAGTCTTTACGAGGCCATCATCGCTCGCCGCAGTTTCCTCAGACAAAATAGTTGGCTTACTATCGGTTTTAATTGCACTTGTTACGTTCAGGGGCTCTGTTATTTCTATTTGTGGCTGCGGTTCGACAATTTGGAAAACCTCTTCACTCTCGGATTTCTTTTGCTTTTTCTTGTCTTTCCTAGAAGGCTTTTTCGGCTTCTTCTGCTCCGATTCTTCTACTACGGTAGCCACGACTTCTTTCTTTATTTCGGGTTCAGTAGGAACTGGCTTCTTATCAGATATTTTTGGTTGGGTTATTTCCTCGGCCTGTTTTAGAACGTCGTCCACAACATTTTGAGCTACATCTTCAATGATTTCCAAGGAACTTGGCTGCTTCTCTGTGCTGCAAACCGTGGAAGTCACAACAGTAGTTGGAAGCAAGGTAACATCGCGCTCTACTTCCGGCTCATCTTCAAAGACCTCTTCGATTATCTCCTCTCCAACTTCATTGATGCGCTTAAGGATTCGCTTCGTTTTAGTTATAACCGTCTTAGTTATGGATCCTTGCTGTACAATTGTATCTTGGGCTGTAGAAAATCCTGACACATCAACAGGCACTTCGCTGCTAGTGGTTTGGACAGTCGGCAAGTTATACTGCTCAACAGAAATATTTTCCTCCGGCAAATCATCGATAACATCCTCCTCAACAATTTCCTCCTTTCCATCTACAATACGCTTCACGATACGCTTGGTTATATGTTTGGTAATGGTTCGAGTTGTAATGGTTGTAGTTCCACTTTCCGTAGATATGGTGTTTGTAGATGTAGTAACTGTTGGTTCACCTTCAATAATGGTTTCGCCAATATCGGTGGAGGTGACAACCTGAGGGAGCAGAGAAGTAGTGTCTGTCGTTTCAGTTGTGATGTGACTTGTTTCAGGAGAAACTTCCACCGTAACCTGCTTAGCATCCTTTTTAGTGCGTTTACGTTCTTTCTTAGCGACAGGTTCTACAGGAATATCCTTGACTGAAGCTTCGGGCTCTACATAAGTATTTTTGGATGGAGCTTCAGGCTCCACAGAAATATCCCTGGCTGGAGCCACAGGCTCCACTGAAACAACCTTGGCAGGAGCCTCAGGCTCTACAGAAATATCATTGGCTGGAACCTCAGACTTTGCAGAAACATCCTTGACTGGAGCTTCAGGCTCTACTGAAACAATCTTGGGTGAAGGTTCAGTTTTTGGAACAACTTCCTTAGACTTGGGCCGTTTCTTTTCCTTTCTAGTAGGTGGCAATGGAATAGTTACCGTCTGTTCCACAAAAATTTCCGTTTGTTGCTTTACTTCGGGTTCTGCCTGAATTTTGGGCTCAACCGCAACCGATTGAGTAGGCACCTTTTCAACGACAGGCTCAACAATTTTAGAGCTAGGCTTTTGCTCCACAGGCTTTGTTGGTTTCTTTTCTTTTCTTGCGGGGGGAACTGGTGCAGTTTCCTTAATTTCCACATTGATGTTCTCAACATTCTTGGCTTGTTTGGATTTCTTTTCGGTATTCGACGGGGCAGGAGTAGATTCCACAACCGGAACAGGGATAACAGCCAGATCAACCGATTTGCTAGTTATCACAGTCTTCTCGACCACAGTTTGCTTTTTATCCAAAACAGGGGATGTTTTCTTCTCCCTCTTGGCTGGCACTGGATTTGTGGTAGCTGGTTCCGGTTTAGGCTCAATTGTTGCGACTGTGTCGTGGTCAATTGTCTTTTTCTGCTTCTTTGACTTAACAGTTTTGGTCTCAGGCTGTTTTTGCTCCAACAGGATCGGGGCTGGACTCGGTTTGCTCTCCGTCGAGCTAAAACCGTTGGCTTCAGGAACAGGAGCTGTCTTTTTGCCCGTCTTTTGATCTTTTCTGTGGGTCTGTTTAATAGGCAATGGTTCCGGCTGAGGTTCATGACGCGTTCTCTTCGTTCTGGATGACCTCGATTCAAAATTGTCATCCTTACGTTCCCAGGTTGGCGACTTGTCATAACGTCTACCGTGCTGGTTTGCTACTCTTGTAGTAGTTGTTGTTATAGTCGTAGTGAACGTTGTTTCTTCAGGATTCCGCTGCAAGGGAGGCGAGGACGTTAGGCGCACTGGTATCTGTTGCTGTTGCTGACTGGATGGCTGGAAGACTGGATTATCTCTATGCTGGAGACCGAAGAGAACTTCGGCGTACGTGCTGCCAGTATTGATGTCCTGGGGACGAGTTTGTTTATTCTTTTGCCTCTGATCCTGGGGACGGACAATGACAGTTTCAGGGTCCTTGGGTACTTGAGGGGCATCCGGAACCGAAACGATTTCGGTAGTCTGGTGTGGTATCACAGTTGGCTGTATCTGTTCTGGGGCAATTGTCGTCACATAGCTAGTTGTGGTTACACTCTCAAGAGGTTGAGGTACAGTCGGTTCTTCCGCTGGTATAGCCTCAATAGCATCAATATCGAATTGGCCAAAGGTGATGTCGGGCCTGGGCTCGTTTAGCTCAAATTCCTGGGGCTCTACAGCCGGCATCAAGTGGACGTGCTCCTCGATGTAGTACTGGGGCTCTGGGGGCTCGCTCTCAATAACAGCCGGCTGAATTTGCTGGGTGCTGGTGGTCAGCGGCTCTGAACTTTGTTGGACCATCGAGGCCAGTGTGGTAACAACGCGATCCAGCACGCTGTTGCCTGTGGTCGAGTTCAGGGACAAAGTGTTATCCACCTGGTACGTCTCAGGCAGATAGGACTGCTCCACTGTTTCCTGCTTGTAATCCTGCAGGGGCTGCTGCTGTGGCTGCTGCGCCAGGTGCTGTTGTGGATATTCCTGGGCGTAGTCTGTGGTTTGCTGGGCATAGTAGATCTGATTCGGCTCAGTGGAATAGACTGCGGGATAGCCACCTTCGGTCTGCGCTACTGGCTGGTAGTAGCCAGCCAATAGCTGGTACTGGGTCGTCGTTGGTGGCACTGTCACCTGCTGGTACTGAATCGGGTACTGCATCTGCATAATCTGCTCGTAGTAGTTCTGTTGAACTGGCTGTTGCTGAGCTTGCGATGTAGCATCTGTCACATAGCCCCACTGACCACTGTCGGCCACGTTTTCGTACATCGTCTGGTACAACTGGGGATCCGGCTGCAAATATGTCGCTGCAATCTCCTCCGCTGTCATGTGTACTTCGTAATTATCGAGGGGTTTCGGTTGCTGTGGAAGTTGAGGAAGAGCTGGTTGTTGTGGCTGTGCGGCAGAAAACGCAACATCGGCGATGGTCTCGCCAATATATTGCTGCTGCTGTTCCTCAATGGGCTGCTCTGGTTCCGGTTGGGGAACGTAAATATTCCGTGTAACTGCAGCGCTGGCATCCACCACGTCCTGGATGGTAAGTTCCGTGCGGCCCTGAGCGGCCTGCGCAGCCAGTTGTTCGGCTTTCAGTCGCTCAAGCTCCAAACCGCGCAGAACCTCTGCATAGGAAGTCGAACCAGGCACCCACATGGGGCTACGTGATCTCGTGCGATCGGCGATTGGCAGGAAGAGATGTTCCGGCTGTGGTTCTTGCTCCAATGGCGCCTCAATAGAGGGCTGTTGTGATGCTCGTGGTTGTGGTTGGGGCGGTTCCCGTCGGCGTCTGGGCGATCGGCCACGACGTTCGGGACGCGGTGGCTGCAGTTTCTTACCCGTTTTTAAGTGCTGGTGGTACTTCTGCTCGCTTTCTATAAACTGCGTGTTGGGGTTGGTAGGAATCGGTGTCGTTATGCTAGGAACTGTTGTCGTGATGGTCTCGATGGGTGGTGTAACTGGTTGTTGGCGCTCATAAATAGCTGTGGTAACGATGGTGCTACCGCTGCCATTTAGTTCGTGAGGATTCGAAGGACTTTCGAAAGATTCATCTCCGTGCGTACGTTTCGTAGTCGTTGTTGTGGTGGTGGTCGTAATAGTTTTAATTGTGGTCTGGTTCTGGTTCTGGTTCGTGTGTTGTTGCCGGGTCGTTGTGGTTGTAGTCGTTGCGGGGTCTGTTCGTTCTGATTGGGGCTTCGTCGTTACAGATTCATTAGCGCTGCTTACCGGACTCGCATGTCCCGACAACACTTCAGCATAGGTAAGACCCGCTGCCGCCGATGGCTTCATCAGCAACGAGACAGTCGATGAAGTGGTCACCACTGAATGGGGATCCAGCGTGTAGGACTTTCGCGCTGTCGCATCGTAGACTTGCTGCATGCCATCGATTGATTCTCGCATTGCCTAATTGTTCGTCGTGGATCACGTATCAGAGTGACACAGAGAGAGAGAAAGTGGGAGAGATAGGGGGAAGATTTGCCAAAAACGTTAGCTTTTTATGTTTTCAGGGGTTTCAATGGGGGGACTGACTGGCTAAGCTATTCAAGGCTAAGCTACCCTAAGATCCCTAATACTCCCTAACAAATAATAATAACTCACGAGGGGGTTTTGCATTTTAAAAAATATATAATTTGATATTTTAATTAAATCTTTATAATAGTATATAGTAGTATGTAGGATAATTTTATAAGCTTAAACACGGGTCATGTAATCTCTGTTATTTGAGTAGTGACGGCAGTTTGCAGTTTGGCAAGAAGCCACCGGTCCCGGGAGAAGGAGATCGGTGGCAGTGTCAAACGGAAGACGCCGGGGTGGCTGCTTTGGCTTTGATCTAGTCCTAGATTGGCTTAACTTAAGTGTTAAGGGTACGGCATCCTAAATCTCTAGCTTGGCATCGTCCGGCGTGCCGCGATGTATTAACAACTTGATGCGCTCATTACGTGCGGTTATTTTCGAATGCAGATTTTTGACACGTTCCCGGCATGCCTATTGTTTATACATTGGTTTGGTTTCATATATGGTGCATGTTTTTAAGAGAGAGTTGTTCGAATGTTTGGCATGAGGGCAGGTATTGAATATATATTGTATATATATAAAGAAGAAATACAAAAGATGTCAGCATATATATATTGAGATTCGTTTATGGTAATTTAGAGACAGCGAGCACATTATACGCCATGGGAAGGATACAATACAAGCGACCATTAACCATGTTCGGTATTTCGTTTTATATAGAAGAAGTAAGCAGTACCCATGTAGGTTTATTCATGTGTGTGAGTTAGGGATTGGTTGTTAAATGGGGGGTGTTACATCGGATTAGTCACAGGTTTGTAAGTAGCACAGCAGGCAAGCGAGCAAAGCCCAGAGACAAGTTTAATAACAATTAGTAGAGAATAATGTTTGTGTTTAATTATTTGCAAGATTTTGTCAATTTTTTTCAGCGCAACGACACCAGGATTTTGTTTGTTTTTTATATAGTCAACAAAAGTTACGTAGAGAAAAGATAAAGAGAAATACAATTGTCAAAATAAAATTCAAAATGAAATTAAAACCGTAACCATAATTAAAATATTACCGACTTTCGCTATTACTATATTTGGAAGATAGAAGAGTTTTAAAGAGAAAGAGAGCTGCTGGTGAAGAATGTTTGCATGGCTAAGCTGTCTAAACCAAATCAAAATAAAAATAAATAAAATAATGTTTTTCAAATGTCTAAGCCAAAGCTCAATGTATAATTGTGCTTCAAATGTGACGATTTTCGATGCAATGTGATGAGAGGTGAGATGGTATCTTTCCACAACTGTACTGTGTGTGTGTGAGGTCAGTGAAGGTACATTGTTCAAAATAAGTTCTCATAGCAAGAGCTGCCCCCAATCAACAAAGATTAGCTACAATCCCAAAATTCGAATCGAATGCTAAGTTGCCACTTACCGCCTCATTGCAGTTCGCAATGTAAACTTAAAATTTAGTATTAAATCTAAAATTTATTTAGAATACTAGGGAATGCTAGGCCACCTGCCTCATTATACATTCGCTTTGTTTATAAGCAAAAAAAAAAAAACAAAAAAAAAACATAGAAAACGCTTAAGTCTAAAAATACGCAGAGTGACTGTCTGGAGGAAGAATTCGCTTTTCTTTTCTGGGTGGGCTAACCCTGACAACAAGAACTTATTTTTGTTTTATGGTTTTTTTGCTTCGTAGATGGCTATATATTTCGGGCCTCGGCACGTGACAATTGGTAATGATGAGAACCATAAGCTTAGCTATCAATGAGGTATAGTTTTGTGGGTATTTTTAATGAGAGTACGATACGGTAGCATGAGGCATGAAAATGAGAGCTGCACGGCTGGTAAATGAGAGACGAATGATGTTCCAACATAAGGAGGCACAATAATGAGATGTGTATGGTAAATGTTGATTTATGTGTGCTTATGTGCAGTATGTAATGGTATCAAACGAATCCGAAAATAAAAACGTAATATAATTTTGGCGCAAAAGAAAATAACAAAGAAAAAAAAGATAATACGAAATAGTTGTTTTGAAAAAATAATAAAATAAATTAAAGACGCAGCCACCGTGCAACTTTTTTCTTCGGACCTACCCGCACACACTTAAGCGCAAGGGGAAAACGATTTCAAAGATTAATCAAGTAGTATTCCAAGAATTAAGTATTGAATATTCGGGTTGAAGGTTAATAACTTCTTTGGTTGTTCTGTCAACTGTTTCTTTCATAGCAATGACGTTACGTTCATAGCAATGACAAAATGAGATCAATTTCAGGGGTAAGGATAACTGACGTTACTATTGAGATCCTGGCAATATCTGTGATACCTAAACTGAGTAACTAGCTGGTTTGCTAATCGGGTCTACTAAATCTCTTCTAAAGAAGAACGGGACGGTACGTACCTGTTGCTCGGCTAATGCTCGCTCGCGATCGTGCGGCAAGTACGTGGGCGCCATCACCAGGCGCAGCTGCTGCTCCTCCTGGATGATGCGCTGGCGCAGGGTCTGCATCTGCTGCTGGTAGACGTCGATCTGGGCCAGCGTCTGCTCGAGGCTGTGCGACTTGGCCTTGACCAACTCGCCCAAGCCGTCGAGCACGCGCACCAGATCGTCTACATTTTCGCTCAGGCGCGGATCACCGCCCATGCCGTTGCGGAAATGAACCTGCGAATGGGATCGTAAGCGGAAATTAGGAATGCCTTGGGCCATACTCACCTCCAGTTTCTCAATAGACAGTCTCAGTTTCGTTTTCTGCACATTAATGTCGGCCAGGGTCTTCTCACAGAAGCCGAGCTGATCGCGCAGCGGTTTCTTCTGCTGCTGGGCGGAGTCCAGGCTCTGCTTCGTCTTTTCGTGCCAGGCGCGTATATCCTTAATCTTGCGTTCACATTGATCCCACTCTTCGCAGGCCTCTTGCAGCAGAGAGTTCTGTGGATGAAGAAGTACAAACAAAAAACAGATATGATCCCCCTGTTTGGATTCCCTCAACCCAAAACACTTTACCCTCTCCAGCAGCACCGCTTCCACGGTAATCTTCGCATCCTCGGCTTCCTGCAGTTTGTCCTTGAGATCGCCTACAGTCGTCACCTGGCCGATGTGCTCCAGCTCCTTATCCATCTCGCTCAGATGCTTCACAATCGGTTTCACACTCTTCACAGCCGTAACATAGTCATTCAGTTTGTTGCGCGCCTCTGGCAGGGTGCGCAGTTCAATCGTCTGATCGATGAAGGTACGCTTCTCCGCCGCCCACGACATGACAATCTGGTAGAGGTTCATGAACCTCGTCCACGCGTCCAGACTATCACCCACCGCCTGCTTCTTCTCGTCCAGCCAGCCTCGGACCTGGGCCAGGGAGGCGGCTAGCTGATCGATGGTTGTCTGCACCAGCGTCTTCTCCTCGCTGTTGCGACAATTCTCGATGATCAGCTGACCGTTGGTCTTGACCAGCGTGAAGCGTTCGTAGATGGCGGTGATTTCATGGTTGATGCGCTGCAGCAGCTCCTTCATCTGCGTAGGCGTCAGGCTGCGTTCCTGCACCTGAACCTCCGCCTGAAGCAGCCAGCGCTGAATCTCGTCCACACCGGCCACATATTCGGTGCGAACGGTCTTCGCGCGCTTGAAATCCTTCTCTTTGGTCTCCATGGTCACCTGGACTCGTTCGGCCAGTAGCTCGAGGGCCGTAAACTCCTGGGCAATGTCGTTCGGCAGCTGGTTCTGCTTGGCCTGGTAGAGGGCCGTGGTCTGGGACACCAGTGACTTGCTCTCTTCGGCGGCCTGCTGCACCTGGCTGTTGAGGGTGATCAGAAGCTGTTCGGTCTGGGCGATGTGCTCGTCGTAGACGTGAACCGATTGCAGTTGCTCGTGCAGAGCGTTAAGCTTGTCCTGCAGCTGCGAGATGCGACGGAAGACTTGCTCGATCTCCTCGAGATCCTTGCTAACCTGTTGCTCCTTTTCGCGTAGAGTGTCGTTCAATCTGCAAAAGAGAGATGGTCAGTTAGAAGGGCGTTCGGGCTGTATGACTTGGAACTGGCAATAGTATGTATTCGGGACAGTGTGAAAACCACGCGGTTTCTTGCTGGTATAGATGGGATTTTGGTTCGGTCCACACAAAGATCTATAGATCTCTTTAGATAAATGGGGCCTGAAAAAGTTATTCCTCGGAAAATGCTGAAGTTTTCGGTATTCTTTAGATGCGCATATATAATCGAGATATATATGTGTCTATATGTATAATATCCACTGGGCTTTGGCCTCGAGGCTGCGAAGATTTCCGTGAAAATTAATGCTGCCGTCTGGCTACAAGAGAGTTTTCTAAATGAATTGCCTCGAGCACATTTTCTTGAGGCCGAGCAATTTTTCGAACACGATTTTCGAACCAGATATTCGTACATTGCTCATAATTCGAAATCGCCTTGAGCCCATTGAGAGGCAAGGAGAGACCAAGAGAGCGCCCAAAAGTTTTGACTTAAAAGCCGCCAAAATAAAAATAAAATTAAAATAAATTCCCTGCTACTGTTTGGACACGCACCACTCTTGGTATATCTTGTTTTTGGTTATTGCTTTAGCTTGTGTGTATTTATACCGGCGGCGCATGTTTAATTTTGTATTCCCCCATTTATTTATGCTTTATTCTTTTCAGTTTTGGCCTCAGACGGGCTGACGTCACCGGACTGAAATCAGGATGCAGTCAGCAGAAAGAATCAATGAGTAATAATGATTCCATTTGAGATTTAATTCCAACACATGGCGCAGCACACGCATTACGTATACGCCGTGTGGGACCATGGGTGAGACATGTTCCATTACCACCAACAAGTGTTCGCCTTCGGCAGCTGCACTTGGCATGGAATGACAGATTCGTTAATGGAACGTTTGTTGCCCTTTACAGCCGCCGAGGACTGATGAACTAAAATGCGGCCCGAAGATGAGGCCAAGTCAACACACACTTGGCCCGCTTCCAACTGCCCGAGAAATCGGCTGAAAACATTTTCTGTTTTAATTGTTAAAGGCGGGCCAAGGAAGACGAAAATCTGGCATGGGGCATCGGGCATCGGGCATCAGGCAACGGAAATACTCGAATTCAACACTATAAACTAGCCAGAATTATTTCGGCGTCATTTTTCGCAGCCAACAAATATCGAACAGCGAGTTCCCAATGTTGTTTGGGTTTTAGAATTGCCAATGCCCGGCCACGAAAAAGAAAATTATTTTTCCGCCGCCGGCTATTTTCAGTCGGCTGCCATTTTGTACAAATTAACGATTTAAATTTAGTGCGCGGCTCTAATTTAAATGGCAAAATATGTTAGAAATGCCGCGGCGAGTGAGTGAAAGTGAAAGGCAGGCAACGAGCGGCGCGTGTTCGACGAATAAAAACAAAAAATATTATTTGATTTACTAGAAACGTTTGCCGAAAAAACATTTGCGAGAAATAGTTTGATCAATTATGGGGACAGGAATGTAATCAGGCCTCGATAAGCATTCGCGCCCGGCTATTTTTGTCGCCTTGACTACGTCATCGTTTAAAGTAGAAACGCGTGCGAATCTAATTCTCTTTCTCTCTATTTCTCCGCCTCTCGCCAAAAACAACAACGTCGCGCACCTGACGACCCTGGCAGGTTTACGAGTACCAGGGGCCGGAGACCGGAGACCGACCGGTGAGCTTATTGTTGCGGTTTGCCTACTTAGCATAGCCTGCTACGAGGGCTCTGGCTAAGCGATGACTTAATCACGTCTTGGAAATTTCTATTCTGCCATATTTTGGCTATTTTTTTGTTGTTGGCTGAAGTACACAAACAATCACCTCTTGCTTTTGACGACTTTAACCACAAGTGCGTAAGTGGCGGGCAATTAGGTATAATTTTTAATTGCTGCTCAGTCTTCTGTCTGCGATATTATACTCGTCGTTTGTTGGCGACAAACGTCCCACCTCCTTGGCCCGGAGGCAGAAGTGTGCTCAACTTTTGGAGCTCCCGAGCTCACTGCTTGAATTTCCTTCGAATTTCGGGAAATTCAAGCAGCAGCCACTACGGAAATAAATTTTATTCTGGAACTGTTGGTTATTTCTGCTCGTTACGTATACGCCTGGTAATCCACAAAGCGGCGTTCGAAACTTTAACATGAAATTAGAAGAAATGGAGAAGGAAGGTATTTCGATTAGGAGCCATTATTAGCCCAGAAGAAAGCCAATGTCTATACATCTCTGTCGTTTGAAGGCGCCTTTCCACAATATTCCTCTCTTCTCGTCTTCGTGTGCGTTTGCTGCTTCTCTGGCTATACTACTTCTTAGTTAATTAATTTGATTTAAAAATATGCGTATATGTATTGCGGTCGCTTCGTTCGTTTGCATTTTAGTTTCCAGCCATCCAGTTTGAGAAACACGTCCGCTTGCAACTAACTCTAAATAAAATCTGAACCAAAATACATTCTCAACGCTCGCAGCGCACGCAAAAATTGCCAAAAAGTTTTCTGTTTCGCTGCTTCGGCTTTCGTCGGCTGTCGATCGTGACTCGTTAACAGAGACGGAAATAAAAGAATCCCAAACTCACCACACGACATACCACAACTCACACACACACACACCCATCCAGGGGGGTACCCCTGCTGAATGCTTATTACTGCTGAATGCGCTTGGCATTGAAATTGGCCGAAAGTATCGAGCTCTGCTTGGCAAATTAATAAAATATGGGCCGCAAAAAAATGGCACATTTCCAGAGAAAATACATAAACAAACGCAGGGCCCCCGTTCCTGATAACGGCCTAATACTCATGTGCCGGTCTAGATAAGAAAGCCGGCTACAAAGTATTCATAAAGGGGGGAAAAAGAAAGCATGTGAGTCGGAAGAGCCGATCGTGGTGAGTGGCGCTAACAGACCTCTGTTAGGGGCTTAACAGTGTCAAAGCCAGCGGCAAAAACAAACTTATAATTACGCGATTACCTCATTTGGGCAAAAAGTTTTTATTATTATTTGTTGTCAGTCTTTGATTTTCTCTCTTTGATATACAAATTGACAAATGCAAATGCATAATCCCAGCAAAGATTCATTTTAGCTTGAATATTTATGTTTTCTGTTAGCTTTTTTGAAAAACTTAAAGCCGTGAATGAAAAAATGAATCAGCCATAGTTCAATTATCATTCCATTCAAATGAGTTTGCACACTTGATTTCTTTTTATTTTAGCCGTTTCTCAGCGATGAAGTCACCCAAGTCAGGCAACAAATTTCAATTTTCACTTGTGCCATTTTATTTACTCTTTTTTTTATGATTTTTTTTGGCATTTGTTTACATTTTGCCAGCCTCGCTTCTCGTATTTGTTCTCGAGTGCTTTTTGGCACGTATATCTCCAAGTAGAATCAGAATATCCCTCGGGGCAGCAAATATATATAATATTTGCTAATGAAGTTAATTATTGCTATCTTTTGGATACACAAATCGTTAAAAATAAATTATTAAATCCCACAAAATGCAAAAAGCTTACGCAATATCTAATGTCTGAGCTGATTAGTCTCCGCGACAGTCGAAAAAATGTATTTTTATATCAAGTGTGTAAATGCATTAACATTTCACGACGCATTTAAAGGATATATAATATATCTCTATTCTGACTATATAATTATCGATGACATGCTGCCGGGGGGTGTATTAGATCATTCTTTTCGGCCCGATGATGGCATAGTTTATTTGTTCAGTTTTGGACAGCCACATTCGAATAAGAAAACAATTAGAGAAATGGGTATATATTTGGAAAAAGATTGTTTTATTGAAAAATTTGGAGTGAAAAAGTGATGGTTTTATTTGGTAGACTAATTGGCCGGCCAAAGTGAAAAATATCCTATACAATGTTTGTATGGGAATAAAGAAAACGGCATGGCATAGCAGCAGTCAAAACATTTAAGCCTTTTTGAAAATTTACGCACATAGCGGCTAGATGCTCAAGAAAAATTATAAGAACAGCTGCTGATCTCGTTTTTCAAACAGACCGGTGTGAATGCTGTCAGGAAGTCAAGAAAATGTGTATAAAAATAAAACAAAAAGACAATGCTAACAAAAATACAACAGCAGACAGATATACGAGGGAGAAAGGGGCCATAGATCGCACCAAAAATTGTGTCAGTGAGAAAGGCCAAGGGGAGAAATGTCTGGGCGGTGTTTATGTGATCGGCAGGTGTGGTGAGTTCTGCGGCTGGTCAACATTCCGGAATGTTGCCAGCAACATGTTGCCAGCCATGGGCACGTGATGACAGCAACAACCGATTTGGCCAAGAAAAACAAAAAGAATCAGTGGCCGCCGCTAATGAATTGGCATATTGGCACAGTTTCGTGGTTGTTCTAGCGCCAGGCAACAAAAGAATTAATGGCAAGCATTTCCGTAAAAGCACGCCGAAAGAATTCTTCGATTGCGGGCGGGTTCTTATCAAGGCACCAGCGCGGGAAGCGCCGAACAAGTATATATTACATACTACGGCCCCGATAAGACTGAAGCTTTGGCATAGTTGTATCAAAAAAGGGGTAACCCCATGACTAAAAAGAAATTGTTGGAATACGGATAAGTAAAAATAATAATAGCTAGAAGGGCATTTTTTAGGCTATTACAATTCCCAAAACTAGATATTAAAGTTACTGTTTTGGGAAATGGAGACCCAAAGAGTGAAGCTGAAAACTATAAGCCTCGGCTTACGTAATGCCAGCAACAACGGAGCGTAACAGTTGGTCTGACGTCAGTTTTGTTGGGCAACACAACAATAATAATAAGATGGCATTTTTAGGGCTGAACAAGTCAAGCCACTTGGGCAAAGGTTGAAAGACCCTATAGAACAAAAAATTTCTCTTTTAGACAATATCTTAAAAAAGCCATGAGTTCAAGAAGATATACCTTATATTATTATTTCATATATTATTAGTGTTTTCTTCACTCTATATAAGAGGATACAAAACATCTATGTGATCACTCATTGGGTATCCAACTGTAACCAGTTGAATTCCCTCAATTGACATTAATTTTCATTAGGCAACAAGTTTGGCAGCTCTATCTATAGATACGTATAATGTATGCAAGCCAATTCAATTTCCGGAATTAAATGTTTCGATCATAGCCTTTGTTTGCGTTTTGTTTGGGTTTTGGGTTTGTGTTTTTATATATTTTTTGTGGATCATGTCACGCATAGTTTAACACACTGTACATACATATGTAGTTGGTAGGGTCTGAAAATGAGTACTCACTTGGCTTGTTGTTCAACTAACTTATCCACTTTGGCCTGTATGGCCTCCGCCGAGGGTTTGTGTACTTCCCCAAGGAATGTGAGGATGGATTTAGAGAGCGCCTCGATTTCTTTATGTGATGATTTAAGTTGATTTGATTCTTCACGCAGTTCCTGTAAAGTGGGTAAGAATATTAGTGTTATTGGTTTAACTAATTGAATTGCTCTGTTTCGTTTCCCTATTTTCAATATTTAATTTCCAGTTTCGGCAAGGTCACTATTGATAAATGAAAATAAAAGTTGTTGACTGGACCTGACAACTTTTGGAGCTTGAGGTTAGACGATCGAGAAAATGATATAATCAGAAACCACCATAAATAAAATTTATAGTCTCATGTGGAGAGACAGAATAAAAACCTTTACTTTGTTTTTATTTTTTGTTTATCTTCGTACAGTTTTCGGGTTTCTATCTATGTATGACAACATCGTTAGTTAGATATGGCCAGACCCGGCTTTTATGGCCAGAAATCGCTTCAATTGAAATTAACGATTTGAAAGCCCGCCGCCATAGTTGAGGTGGGCCAGGTTTTTGTTAGTAACTGTGTACGTGCTATTTATAGTTGTCAGATTGTAAACAAACGTCGGGCTATTATCGCCTTTAACAATGATCTCACTCGACGAAAAATCATTCAAACAACTACTGATAACTCGATGAAAATACTGTACTAAATCTAGTAAACACTGCTACCTTGAGTGTAAAAACATTACATTAAAATACGGTTTTGGAAAAGCTCTTCTGTGATTTGTGGGTCATCAATCATGGGGTGTCTAAAATAATAACAAAAACCCAAAGAAACCGAAAGTTAGAATGGGTTGGTTCTCTAGTTTGCTACTGCTGATTATTGTGATTTAATGGCATTCCGTGTTAATCATTCACGGCACATCATTAAGCCGAATATTTGGACATGCCTCGCCTCTCCCCGGCTACTTTGTAGCTTTTATCAAGCTCCGGTTTGGAAGAGCCACAAAGAGCGAAACTAAGAGAGCACAAGCTCCGGTCGAAAACGTGACCATGAACTTGATGTCGGCGTGTTAGATGGATATATATGTATCCGACTATTGTATCTGTGTTTTCGTGCCAAAATGCATGGGTATAGGTGCAGATATTCGACGAGCATAAGCCCCCAAGGAAGGGCGGCTGTGGCTACAACAAAACTAAATGAATGAATGGGTCCAGAAACAACTATGGATTACACAAACAAAAATGTTTGAACTTGAATTTTAATTTTGGGTAATAAATATTAACGATTCAACTGACATTTTGTTACAAAAGAACCTACAGAGATGCCTAATCTTAATATGGCCCAGCGATGACCTCAAACATCGTAGGTGTTACAGCACTCACCTGAATGGCATTCTTTGTATCTTCCAAATGACGTCGGGATCTTACAGTTGGGTCGACATTGCGGAACTTATCCTCCAAGCGACCAAGAGCCTTTTCCCAGCCGTGCAGGCTGTTCTCGAATCCGTCCCAGTGCTCGGCCAACTGCTGCAGGTTGTCCCTTCGCTGCTCCAAGCTGTGTACCAGATCCTGCCACGAACGGTTCAGGCCAGCGTTGTCCTGCTCAATCAGCTGTCGGTTGCGGGCGTCTGCCTGACGGATGAGCGCCTGAGCCTGCTGGTTGACTAGTGATAGGTCGCTGCTCTGGCTCTGCAATTTTGAAACAACAAGGCGGTTTTAGTTCGATGCTGCGAATTGACTCTCTTAGAAACACCGATTCCTGAATCGCGATTTATGAATTGTATAATTATGTTATTGGTTGTTAGTATTGTGTTAAGCTGCCTTTTCTGTCCCGTTTGTAGAGCTTAGAGTTGTAGATTAGGGTCCTGCAATATGTGTGACCTGTTCGAACTTTGACATATGGGTGGCTACGGGAGTAAACAGTCGAAAGCTGCTTTATTCGTATAAAAATCTTATAGATTTTTCACATAAACACACACACACTCACACGCACCTCACTTTAGCCTTCCTTCGTTGGCTCTTCTTGTTTTGTTGTTTTTTTTTGATATTGGTCTTTTATAGATTGAAATGGCCGATGACGTTAGCCGTTTCAATATTGATGTCTATCTGGCTTTTAGCTCGATTTTATTTGCTACTTTGTTTCTGTCGCTTCCTTTCTTCAGTTATTCAATTTCAATTTGCGCCTTGGTTCGAGCACATGGCATTCCTTATTGGTATGGCGAACGAAACGAGTAATTCAAATTTAACAAAGCTATTCACAGAAACAAAAATAACAATATTTCTTCTCGGTTGTCTGTCTGCTCTCTTTCTATATACATATATACAAATGTATATATTCTCTACGTATATGCCGCGAATCGCGAATACAAAACAACCGCACAGATAAACGTCTCAACTAGAAGTGAACTCGAAAAACCCAACAGCCCCACAAGGCAAATAAGCACGAGTTAGAATCTCCCGAGACCCGAATCTCGCTCTTTTTCCGGCTAAGAGAATCGAAAAAGAGACCAAAAAGCCGGTCAGCATTGGGGCAAGCACGTTTTTTGGGTGGGCGTGGGCGTTGAGAGGCGAATGGCATAAGTTGGGCTTCGCATATACGTACATACATAAATATGTACATATCACGCATACGCCACCGTGAACACGTCACTCGTCCTCTCTCTCGGAAGCTTTGAAACCTTGGCTAATTGTTTCTCCAGCCGGCTTGCCCTACAAACTACCAACAACAACCAATCAGCTGGGTACGAGGAATAAATGAAAATGCTGGTAATATTTCAGAGACAAAAAAAGAGAATCAAAGGAAAACCGCCAAGGGCCTGTACTCTTAAAGCTCGCTCAACTGTAAAGTTATATTGCATGTGTTTGTAGCTGCTATACCTAAAAAATTAAAGACCAGGGCTAACAATAAAAAAAATTGAATATATATTTGGTGCCAAGAAGTCTATAAAAAAACTATAAATTAGAAAATATATTAAACTTCTGGTTTACTAGAAAGGAGCCTTTTAAAATCGGTTCTTAAAATAAACCTAAGTAGGAATATTTATTAAAATAATTCATATAAAAATCCATATGAATGTCTAATTCATATTATTTTATTTACTGTATATTTTTTTAAATTTTTATTTTAATCATTTTCATTACTGACAATATTAACTTCAAAAAGCATCTTCATTTAAATAAATAATAAATTCAAAAACTATCCCAAGCTGCTTCTCGTTATCCCTGGTAAAAACTGGTTGCTTGATATACTGTTGCCACTTCTGCTGATGATGTCATAATCTTAATTCGTTCCGCAGCCGCACTAACAACAACAACAGCTGTTTTTTCTTGAGTCTCTGAGCATAAATTGGAGCCATGCCTCGAATAATCAAGCCGCATGTTTGACAGGCTGGAAGATAAGCGCGCTGCCAATACAGCGACAACTAGTAGGTTAAGAGTTTAATGAGTTTTCAAGGTAAAAGCTTACGAAAGTAAACAAATGGGCACAACGTGTTCGATAAAGACTATCAATTCGATGAAAAAAGAGAGACAGATTTTTGAAAGAGAAAGCCACGCAAGAGACTCTCAGATGCAACTGAAAGTTAGTGAGTGCTTTAAAGAGTGTTTTGTTGTTTTTGCCGGCCGGCACAATAAAATGGGAGCCGGCGAACCGAATGCATTTAAGCCGTGTGCTCTCCATGACATGGCTTTTTAGTCTTGTTTGTATGTTTAGGTGTATACTATGCGTATGTGGCACATCCTTGTGCAATATGTCACTTTTGGAAAACAGGTCTTTCGACCACATATTTAAACGCACGCCATATGCAGGCCAACAGTTGAATGTGTCTTCCATACAAGACTAAACAGCAAACATAGATATGGTCATATACATAAATATCTATATATGTATATATATGGTGTATATTTTTATATAACTAATTTTGTTCAATTCATTGAAAATTTAAGGTTGTTTAAAATCTAATTGGAAAAAAACTATTTTTTTTTTTACGTATACGTAATATACGTCTAGTACTTAAATTGGTAGTCCAAAATTCAAGTAAATTAGTTCAAACCAAAAATTAAAATTTTATTAAAAATTAAAAAAATTTTAATAAATATGATCATTTATAAATAGGTTTAGTTCGTGTTTAATTTTTAATCATTTATAAAATCCAACGGTCAGATTACACTGCGTATACGTAATAAGTCAAAGCTAATTCTGAAATAAGAAAGCATTTATGTTTATGTTTAATGTTTCATTTTTTTACTAAGCAATTTATTTGAATTTTTATTTATTTATTTTTTTTTTTGAATTTTTTTTATTTGAATAAGAAAGCAGTTATGTTTATGTTTAATGTTTCAATGTTTCAATTTTTTATTAAGCAATTTATTTGAATTTTTATTTAAATTGTTCTTTCTTTATCAACAAAAGTAAGACCATTAAATTTATTTTATGAATTAAAAAGTATATGTACATCCATCAAGATGACAACCACAATTTGAATTAAATAAAATTCACACGAGATTAAAAAATATATGCAATGAAAAAATATTACATGTATAACTAAATGTTTCATGTATTTCTGATAAGCAATGACGGATGTATAGAGAACATTGCGTATAAGTAATATTTAGATAAAAGTTGTAAAAAAAAATAATTTTGAAAAAGAAAGGAAATGTTAAAAAAATTGTATATTATTAAATAAATTAAAACTTTATCTTAAATGTGGTAAAACATTTAGTTTTTATCGAAAATTGTAATTTAAATGCAAAAAAGGATTTTAAAAAAATTTCAAATAAATGTACCAATAAATATTGCGGATACGCATCAATGGAATTTTGTAAACCTACTTGTGTTACTAAGATTAGATTCAGATTTTGTATTTCGAAACTCACCTGGACATTTCCGATGGCGTGGGACAGTTTCTGGATGTTGAAGTGCAGACCAGCCAAATTCTGGACATGCTCGTCGCTGAACTTGGTGCGCTCGATGGTGGCCTTAACACGGTCGATGGATTGCTGGTACTCGCGCCAGCGCTCCGCCTCCTTCTCCAGCTCGCTCTGCTGTGTCTTGGCATTGGCCAGAGTGTTGGCCAACTTAGTTTGGAACTGGGCCAACTCGGCGGACAACTCAGACTGCTCGTAGTTGTTTAGCGAGGACCAAATCTTGTCGGCGGCCTCCTGGATCTGCTTGTGCACCAAGTTGCGAATCGGGGCCTCGTTGCCGAAGAAAATCTTGTGTTCGTCCAGATCCTGGACCAGGTGCTCATAGTCGATGCCGTGCTGGCTGTTCTGCAGCCGCAACTCGGCTTCATGGACCCAGTCATTGAACTTGGCCACCAATTGCATGTACTCCAGCCGGGAGTCGCGATTATTCTTCAGATACTTTTCGCGTTCCTCGAGTTCATGGGGCAAAGAGGCGACCAGGGACCGGCCCTCGGACAGCATTTCTGAAAGGGAGCTGGGGAAACCAACTTCGGTCTTAACGCCCTCGTTGATCTTGTTGAACTTCTTGAGATAGGATTCAATATCCTGGCTGAGGGCTTGGTGCTTCTGCAACTCCCGCTCTACGGATTCTGGATCGCGGTCCAGAAGCGGACGCGACTTGGCGGCGCCTTCGTGGCTGTGCAACCAGTCGAGGATCTCGCTCAGCTCTGCGGCCATCTTCTTGTGCGACTCCAATTGAAGTTGGTGCTTCTGGCGTTGGGATTCCACGGCCTTGCGGAGATTCTGCAGCTGATTCTTCAGCGACTGCAGCTGCTCCGTGATGCTGTTCTTGTCCGCAGCATTGCCCTCGGAAGCAATCTTCTGGCCCTTGTCGTTGGCCGAGGCCAGAAGTCCTTCACACTCCTGGATCTTGACAATGACATCGTCGTACTTGTTGATCTTATCCTCGAGACTGTCCGGAGAGTTTTCAATATCGATGATGACATCCGTGTACTTCATGATGAAGGCGATGATTTCGTTGATCAAGGCGATGAACTGCTCGCGGAGCAGCAGGAGCTGGCGGAGATGGGCCAGCTGGTCCTCGATCAGCTTGATCATATCGTCCTGCTGGGCCAAGATGCTCTGCAGCTCTGGCAAGTCATCTATTTGCATGTCGCCCATTTTGCTCTTGCTGTCCTTAAGCTCCTTGAGTATTCCCTCATAGGCGCCCAGCAGATCCTGGACATCCTCGATCCTCGATCCTATTGGGCGGTTCAACTCGCGGAGTCTCTGCTGGATGGTGCCCAAGAACTGACTGCAATCGGCCAGCCTGCTCTTGGCGTCCTTGTACTTCTTGATGTGATCTCCCAAGGCATTGACGCGGTCATCGATTGTGTTCTTGATTCTGCCGTAGCGATCCTTCATGTTCTTGATGTCGTCGTTGAGCTTCAGCTTGTCGGCATTGCTCAAAGTGGGCAGGATGCTCTTGCCCTGCTCCGAAACGTCGTTAATGAGACCACCCTTGTTCTCGGCGTCGCTCAAGAGTTTCTTGTAGTGGGCCAACTGCTCCTCTAGAACTGGGAGGCTAGTGGTTCGCAGGTCTCCCTCGGTAGCAGTTTCCATCTCATTCAGCCAGTCGCCCATGTTCTTCATGGAGTCCTCGAAGGCCTTGCGACCTTGCAGCAGATCATCCAGCGACTTGCCACGCTTGTTGCTCTCGTCCTTCAGGGTCTGGTAATCGGCGGCAATCTCATCCAGAATTTGCTGCAGAGCAGCCTTATCCGCGTCACCGCAGTCCTTCATTATGTTAGCTGCTTGGCGCTGGACATCACTCAGGACACTGTCGTTGAACTGCTTGGCATCATCGTCGTACTTCTTGTTCTCCTGGATCTTCTTTTCGATCTCTGTGGAGGTTAAAGGATGATAAACGGGCAGCTTGCGCACCTCGGAAATCTTGGTCTTCAGCCATTGCCTGGCCTTGTCCAAATCGTTCTCCAAGGACTTGCGAGCCTTGCTAGCCTCCAGAGCCCGATCCAGTTCAGCCTTGAGGACTCCCGACAAGTTGCGATTCTCCGTGTTGAGATTGCGCAGTGCGGACTCCAGCTGGGCGTATTCGGCAGGCTCCAGTTCGGGCTGCATGTTGGCAATGCGCTTCTCCAGGACATCGGCCAACGACTGCTTTGCTTCGGCATCCTTCATCAGGCTCTTGATCTTCTGCTGACGGGCCTCGGCATCCTTGGGCGTGTAACCGAGTGGCGCAGGCGCCTGCAACTCCTCGATCTGCTGCTTCACCCAATTCTGGAGCTGATCGATCTCGCCCTTGGCTCCCTCCACACCCTTGTTGGTCACATCCAGAAGCTGAGCCTTGCGGTCGATGCGTTTACCCAGGTCGGCAAATCGTCGGTCCAGAGACTTCATTTGCTCCTCGACCTGCTGGCCGTCCAGATTGCTGATTACCTCTGCCACCTGAGCGGCCTTGCCCTTGAGTTCCTGGATCTTAGGGTGACCTTGCAGCTCGTACTCGTTCTTGATCTCGTTGATGGCCGCTGTTTTCTGGGCACAGTTGAGACCCGAGCCCCGATCCAGGACATCCATTCGCTTGATCAGGGTGTCGAACCAGTTTTGAACATCAGCCATTCCCTGGCGATAGCCATCGATGACATTCTGGCCAGCCTGCTTCTTGGCAATGGCATCCATAAGCTCCGACTCCAGTTTGTCGATGTTGTCGTCCAAATCAGTGTCCTCGTCGCCCACTAAGAAGAGAGAGGTAATTATAATTATGGAAAAAGGAAATATTACATAGTAGTCATAAAAAAGGGATCTATAAATCATAAAACAATATTCAAATTATATTATAAAATCTCCGACTTACATGATCCAGTCATTTCCAGCATCAGCTGCGATCGCTTATCGCCAATGGAGTTCAATAGATCATTCATGGAAACCAGCTCCTGCTGGGCTGCTTCAGGGCGCAACTTGCAAGGACGCATAAGCCAGTCCGATACAGAGCTCTGCTGCTTCTTAACCCAATCCTGCAGCTCGGCGCGCTGCTTCTGCTGTTGCTCCAGTTCGCTAACGGATGCAGTCAAGCCACCCAAGTGGGATTGCACCTAAGCGAGGGTAAATAAAAGTAAAGCAATAAATTAGTAAAGTGTATCAATAGAATAATTTTTATATTGAAAGCAAACCAAACAAGCTATGGATATAGTGATGCCATGCAATCCGCCACCTGGTCATTGTGAAGAAGTGACCCTAGTCTTACCTTAGCAACTAGTTCATTCAGCTTGCCCACATGAGCACTGTTCAGGCGAACTATCCGGCGATAGTTGCTGACCCGCTCGTGGGCAATGGGATCCAAAAGCGCCTCCTTCACATTGCCGAGCTCAACCTGGATCTCGGCATCGTCTTCCTCCTCCTGACGCCCGACATCTTCGGTTGAGCCCCGAGTCTTTGACGGCGGTTTCTTAACAGCAGCAAGCGCAGGATGCATAGCATTTTATTTTGTGGATAGTGCATTTACAACAGTTACGTGTTCGGCAAATCAACGGGGGTTAAGGTTGGGTAAGGGTTAAGGGTTTAATTAAAAGAACAAAACATTGGTTAGAAAATCAAACGAATTCAAAATAAAAGGCTGAGAATGAAGAAGGTAATCTTTTGGAGATTTCAAGATTGCTCCAAGATTAGATTTATCCTCCATTTTCTTGCCAAAAATAAATGAAATTAATTTGCCACTACTTTAAAGTTTTTGCAAAAAACTACATAAGCAATGCAATAATGCCTGAAAGTATTACCTGATCCAGCAGATCCTCGAGCTTAGCGCGCACAATAAGCTCCCTTTCGGGAATGGCCTGCATGGCAGTTTCCAGCGGGGAGCTGGGACGACTGATCGAGGCGGTGGCTGCCTCACAGGCTTGGACGGCAGCCGCCAGACGCGATTTCTCGTTGTTCAGTTTGTTCTGCATCTCCTGGGCACACCTCAGTTGGTTTTGGGCCAGCTCCAGACTTGTGGCCGGAGCATCCAGCTCGGTTTGAATAATCGGCTCATAGACCTCGAGGTTACGCATAATGCTGTCCAGCGTGTCTTCGTACTCCTGGAACTTGGCCAGGGACTCCAGCAGACGGTTCTTGATCTGCACCGAGGTCTGGAGCAGGGAGTTGTAGCTCTCTTGGATGTTCCTCAGCTGGGACTCCACAGTGGGGCGAATGGCCGGCGTTGAGGTCTCGTAACGCTTAATCTGGGCCTGACCCTTGGCATTCAGGTCGTCCAAGTTGGTCTGGTACTTTTGAATTTCGCTCAGCAGAGCCTCATGCTGCTTGATCTGCTCCTGAGTCTGCTCGCGGTTTGAGATGAAGAGCGAGTTGTGGGCCATCAGCTGGAAGGAGATCTGCAGCAGCCACTTCTCCACGTCCTGCAGGCTCTGGTGGTAGGCATTGTAGTCGAGCATCTCCTGCTCCAGGGCCTTGATATGGGCCGAGCAGTCGGTCTTGAGCTTGTCGCAGCGGGACTGCAGGCGATTCACTGCATCCACTTCGGTGCCCAGGTCACGGGCTTCCGACTGCAACTGCTCCAGCTCATTGCCCTTCTGTTTCAGTTCGTTGGCCAAGGTCTTGTAGCGCTCCAGCAGGGTCTTCATCTCACTGAGCTCACCCTTGGTTTCTGGAGCCACCTTGAGAGTCTTCTCTGTCTCGTTCAGCCACTTCTCCAGTCTATCCTTGTTGGCGGCGAAGTCGTTCCACCGGTTCTGGGCCTGCTTCAGATCGCTCAGCTTCTCCTTGACCGCCAGGCCTAGAGCATCCCAGTCCTCGCGCACCTTGGTCATCAGTTCGCGCAGCTTCTCCTGCTTGTCTTCCGGCGTGATGTTTGAGGCCTTGGAGTATGCATCCTGCACCAGGGCCAGAAGATGCTGTCCCTCCGGCAGACGAGAAGCCAGGGACTACAAACAAAATTTTATATATTCAAGAAGCATGCAAAAATTACAATTTTAAATATTTAAAATTAAATGTTAAATATGTAACTTACGTTGACGGTGTCCAGCTTTTGGGCAATAATGGCGGAGTCTCCATCCGTCGAGCAATCGTTGAGCACCTCCTGGGCCTTCGCAATCCAGGCATCCATTTCCTTCTTGTAGTTGAGGAACTCGGTGTGGTCCGACAGATTCTTCTCGATCTTGGACACTAGACCCTGGGCGGAGGTCAAAAGCTTGGTGTAGTTGGCCTGGGTTTCAATGGTCTGATCCCGAATGCGAGTGCAGGCGCTTTGCTCCATGAGCAGCTCGCAGTTGTCGTTCAGGTCCTCCACATTGTCCTTCTCGGCCAACACTTCCTCCAGGAGTTTCTGCGGGAAGAAAGTTTGTATTAATCTTCACATTCTAAAACTGGGATTGGGAAGCACATAAAGCAAATAGGCATTAGACAAGTGTCTGTGTACATGATTAGCTGCAATTGATTTTACAAAAGTGATTAGCTGAAAAGTTAGCAATAGTGATTAGTGAGGGTTTAGTACATGGTTTAATTTCTCGCAGTGCGAGGCACTTTGATATACAAATTTTGTAGTCGGTGAGTAGATCTACTTTAGGTGCGCGCATTGGCTAGATAAATATATATACGGATATTCGATTACAATTTAGTACGTTAGGTTAGAGGTGCGTGCGACAGTTGCGAGATCTGTTGATTGGACGAAGAAATCTTACCTTGGCATTGACCAAATCTTCGGGGGTCTTGTTCTCGCCTTCCTGGGATTTGGCAACGCGCTTGCTCATGTTCTCGATCCACAGGTTTATCTTGTTGAACTTCTGGAGGAAGGTCTGCCAGGCAGCCAGGCAGGATTCCAGGTTGCTGCGCGCATCGCGGGCCACAGCCTGCAAGGACTCCCATTCACCAGTGAGCTGCTTGATTTCCTGGGCCACAGTATCCTGGCCTTCATTTCCGCTGGTGGCGATCACCGCCTGACTCAGCTCCTCGCAGGCCTCCAGCAGGCTCTTTCCCTCCAGGGAAGATGACTGGATGTCGCCCAATCGGTTCAGACGATTCTCCACTTGATCCTTTTCGCCATGGCAGTCGGAGCACTGCTCCACCTCGATGCGGGTGCGGCGCAGCCAATCCTGCAGCTCATTCAAGGCCTGCTTGTATTTCTCGTGGCTGTTCACCTGGTTCTCCAGCGACTCTATGATCTTGTTCACCTGGGTCTGCAGCTCATCGAACTTGGCCAGACCTGGCTGGAAGTCATTCAAGTTTAGGCTACTATCCTCCTTCAGGCGCTGGTTGATCTTCTCCACGATGTCGTTGTGCCCGTTGATGTCTCGCTGAATTACGCGGAACTTCTCCAGCGCAGCGCGCTTCTCGCTCAAATCGTTCAGGAACTCATCACTGGCCTTGACACTGGGCTCCACGTCCTCCAGCCATTCCACCAGGATCTTGTACAGTTTAAATATCTCTTCCAGTTGGGCAAGACGGTTAGCCAGCTTCTGGCGGACATCGTTCAAGTCCACAAGCAGTTTGTCGAAGTCCGCCTTCAGAGACTCGGTATCCTCTTGGATCTTGGCAGCTCCATTCTGTTCGGTGTTCATGATTACCTTCTCCTTGAGCTCCAGCAAATAGCGCAGCTTGTTCTGTCCAGTTTCGAATCCTTGGCGCAGATTCTTGACGGTATTCAACTTGATTTGAACTTCGTTGAGAGTTCCGGGGATTTGCTCGCACTCGGCCAGCTTTTCGCGTGTCTTTTCGATCCAGGACTGGCACTCCTCGTACAGAGAGTGGTGCTGCTGGTGCTCCTGGTAGTGCATCTCCAGGCGACGCATTACTTCCTTGGCCAGGGTCAGCAGTGCATTATATTTGGTTGTCAACTGCATAATGGCATTGCTGATCCTAGTATCCGAACAAGTCTCCAGCAGAACCTGGGCCTTCATGTTTAGGTCGTCTAGGGTCTTCTGCCAATCGAAGAGCGTTTGTAGATGTCCCTGGAACTCCTCAAGCACCACCTTCTTCTGGGTCAAACTATCCTGCAGCTTGTTGTACGACTGGACCAAAGCCTCGGTCTTGCTCAGCCACTCCAAAGCTTCGGTGTACTGATCCTGGTAGTCCGACCACTTGACAATGCCCACCTCCAGGTAATCCTTGGCCTTGTTTAAGGCCTCCCGGTAGGCATCGAACTCCTCCTGCAGCAGAGCAACCTCTTGCTCTATGATTTCGCAGTCTTCTGGCTCGGCACTGCGGCAGGCGATCTCTCCCTGCTCCAGAGCATTCTTCAACTTCTGGGCACCCTCGGGCAGCTCGCCCTGCAAAATCTTTAGTTGGTGGGTCTTCTCGGCCAGAGCCTGCTTGTCGCCGGTGGGCTCGGAGCACTTGCTCAGCCGCTCCTTGGCATTTCTCAGCCAGGTGGCGAATTCGTTGCCCGCATCGATCAGAGACTGATAGCTATCGATGGTGTTCTTCTGCTTCTCGTACAGATCCTTGGCCTGCTTGGTGAGGTTTTCATACTTGTCGGAAATCTCCGTGGCCGGAGCTCCTTGCTGCAGATCGGAAGCCTTCGAGGTGACCGACTGGATCATTGGCTCGAAGGACACGATATCCTGCACAATGTTGTTAGTCTGGCGGAGATTGGCCTTTCGCTCGCTCAGACCACTGCTGAGACCAGGTTGGCCGCGCTTGGACTTGACAATCTTCTGCTCACAAGCCTGTTGCAACTTTGCTTCCCGATCGGTAATCCATTGCTGCAGCTGCGAGTAGCTGGAGCTGTAGTCGGCCCACTGAAGCAGGTTCGTCTCCAGCTGCACCTTTGCGGTGGACATCTTCTTCACCAGACGATCCCATTCGGTCTGCAGTTCCTTCATCTCATTGTTGATAGCATCGCGGCCATCGGACCGGGTGTTGCGGATAATCTTCTCCCCGTTGTTGATCGCAGTGTGAACCAGATTCTGGCCCAGTTCGCGGTTGCGAATCAGGTCCTGGATCTGCTCCAGACGGCGTTGGAGGGCTTCCTTGGAGCCCGCCCCCTCGCCGGCTGATTGAATGATGGACTTTGCGTTGGCTATCCAGTCCTTCGCGGATTTCATGTTGGCATCGTACTCGCGATGCTGATCCCGGTTAGTCTCAACCTTCTTGAGAACATCCTTGGCCAGATTAACCTGCACCTGGTACACAGAGCCCAGGTGGCGAAGCTGGTTATTTACATAGGAGTCGAGGTGGGATTTCAGCAGACTTGCAGCGGAGGCGTTGAACTTGTCAATGTCATCCTTGTCCTTTTCCAATCGCGACATCACCTCCTTCATGTCGGCGACCTGTTTCTCCTTATCGGGCAGGTTCGGGCAAAGGTTCAGCTTGTGGTTCTTAACCAGGATATCGATTTGCTGCAGCCACTCCATGAGTCGTTCGTATTCCTCCTTGTAGGCACGCCACTGCACCATGGTGACCTCGAGGTTCTCCTTCTGCTGGTTGATTTCGCGGAACAGACTTTCAAAGCTGTCGCGCAGAGCTCGGATATCGTTCCTGATAATCTCCTGGCCCTGTGACGAGGTGCTGGCCAGGACAACTTCACCTGTGTGCACCAGATGCTCCACTAGAAGCTCACCCTGGGCCTGCTTGTTGAGAAGAGCCTCGGTGGCTTGAACAGCGTTTTCAATTGCCAACTTGTCACTCAAGCTGCTTTGTTTGAGGGCAGGGAATTTCTCGCGGGCACGCCCAATCCAGCCAGCCAGGTCATCGTAGGCCTCCTTGAACAAGCGATGGTCTCTGTACTGATCCTGGCGGTCGGACAACAGCTTCTGCGTTTTGGCAAACAGTTCATCGAAGGTATCCAGAACCTTCTGGGCCTGGAACGCGGCTTGACTCTGCTGGCCACTGGCAATCATTTCCTTGGCCTGGATCTTCAGGGCGTCCACGTCAATTTTTTCAACGCGCACCTTCTCTTCCGTGGACTTTACGCGATCCAGCTGTGCCCGCTTCTCGGTCATAGTGGTCTGGTGTTCACCCAATTCTTTCAGCAAGGCATCAAGCCACTCGTTGAACTTCCGCACGTTCTGTACCTGATCCAGGAAACCGGACCACTGGGTAATGGAGTCGTCCAAATTGGATTTGACGTCCATGATGCGCAAGGCGATACCCGACCAAAGGTCCTGCAGATCTGTAAGCTCCTTGTTGATAGCTTCGTGACCGGCGGGCGCAGTATTGGCCAGGACATGTTGAGCTTGCTCTAAAATCTTCAACACGCGAGCAGATCCCTCATCCTTGAGGAGGATAACATCCTGGATGGTGGCGAGCTTCTTGTCCAGCTCCTTTTGGCTCATCGAGGACATGTCCGAGCAGTAGTCCAGCTTCTCCTTAATGTCGTTTATCCACGAAGAGCAGTCGGAAATGGCATTGTCGAAGTCCTCGTGGGAGGTGACATACTGCTGCCAGCGATTGTTGAGCTCCTTGACCTTGTGGAAGATCTGCTGGTATTTGGTGACCAATTCGGGACCTGAAGCACGACTGCTAGAGGGACCCTTTAGAAGGGTCTGAGCCTTCTCAGTGACATTGTCAACCTCCAGCTCCTTGGCACGCACATCGCCCTGCAGAGCCTTAATAGCTTCCAGCTGGGCCCGCTTCTTGGGCAAATCCTCCTTAAGGTCGATGGCATGCAAGTTGTTGTCTGTGTCCCGAATCCAGGCCAGACACTGATCCCTTAACTGCTCGTACTCCGACCAGTGTTGCAGGCGCGCCTCAATGGCCTCTATGGTGGAAGTGATGGCGGCCAGTAGGCCCTCCCATTCCTGCTGCGTGGTATCGATCTGCGACTTGATATTCACCTGACCCACATCCACTGTACCAGGAATAACCTTCTCGCCCAGAGCTCTGACTTGATCCACTCGTGGGAACTCATCGGCCAAGCTGGCCTTCAGATTCTTCAGGCGATCCAGATTCGTGTGCAGTGAGATCTGTTCCAGGTCCAAGTCGCCCCAGTAGTGAACAGTATTGAGGGTTGCATCGATAAACTCCTGGGCATCCATCACAGCCTTCGAATACTGCTGATGGGCGCTCACTATGCCCTCATAGCGTTCCACGTAGTTCTGGGCTCGCTTCTGCAATTTACCGAAACGATCGGAAATGTCCTTGAGAATATTATCCACGTGTTCTGTCTTTTCTGGCAAATTTTCAGCAATCTCTTGGAGGTTGCCCACTTCCACCTGGTGGTTATTGATATCGAGGAGAATGTCACGGTAGGCTTGCAGTTTGGTTCGCTTCTCATCGAGAGTGGTCTTCAGCTCAATATCAGCCGGGAGGGCATTTTCGGTTTCATCCAGCCAGGCCTTCAGGTTGTCGGCTATCTCATCAAAGCCAGACCACTTAGCAATCTTATCCTGAATTTTCCTAGCAGTGCTGGAAATGTTATCGAATAGCTGATCGAATGTCAAATCATCCAGCTGGCTACGGATAGCTTCACGTCCCTCGGTGGCCGTGGATCCATAGCATTTCTCGCCAAGCTCCACAGTGCTGTTGAGTAACTGGGTGGCTGTGGGCTGCTGTGCCAGAAGCTCTTGGATAACCACATGCTTCTTCAGCAGATCATCCCGAGAGCCGACCGAGGACAAGTCACAACAGTCATCGTAGCGCGCCTGGGCATTGGCCAGCCAGTCTGCGCATTGCTTGTACTTCTCATTGAAGTGGCCATGGTCCTGGACAGCCTGCTCGCACTTCTTGAGGATCTCCTTGGCGGTGGCCTGAATCGATTGGAATCGTGAGGAAACCTGTTGCACATTAACAGCAATCCTAGTTTCCCCTGAACTTTGCACCAGCTCCGATGTGTCGTCCTTCATCTTATCGAAGTCGGTTTCGTTTTGACGCAAGCTCTGGGCCAAGGATTGGAAGCGGTTCAGTTGTTCCTCCTTCTCCTCGAACGATGACTTGAGGTTGTAGTTTTTGAGAGCATTCTCTGCCTCGCCCAACCAGTTGATCAGTCGGTCCAAGTTGACCTCGTAGTCGTTCCATTGCTGCAGGCGGTTCTCGAGACCACTCTTGACGTCACTCAAAGAGGCACCAAACTTCTCGAAATCGGCATGCAGGTTTGCAAGATCCCTGGCCATGGCTTCCTTGGATCGGGCAGGAATATTATTGGCCTGTTGTTCAATGTGATCTTCGAGAGCCTTGAGCTTGGCGACACCTTCTGGCAGGGCTTCTTGGATTTCGTTGATCTTCTGCAGTCGTGCCTGCAGTGCGGGCTTGTTTCCAGAGTAATCGGAGTAGCCGGTAAGGCGATCCCAGAGATTCTTCTGGTAATCCTGCTGTGCCTTCTGCAGCTCACTGAACTGCTGGTACACCTCGAAAGCTCCATCCAGGTCGGCTACCAGCTTGCTACAATCCTGACCCACCTGCTCGTAACGCTTGTTAACATCAGCCACGGCCTTGGAAATTTCCTCGGCGTTGGCAGGAGCCGCACTTCCAAGGAGAGCCGCTGCCTTTTCATTAACGGCCTCCACAATGCGCTTGTGCGAGTTTATATCCTGGTTCGTGGCCTTGTACTTGTACAGCTTCGACCTAATTTCCTGGGCGCTTGTCCAGCTGGCAGGGTTCTCATTGTGCAACAGTTTTTCAACTTGATCCAACCAGTTTACAGTTTGGTTGAGAATATCCTGGTAACCTGAGAGCTGGACAGTTTGAGCCTCCTGGCGTTTCTCCAGATTGCGAATTCCCTCATCCAGTTTGTCCCAACGATCGCGGATATCGCGCAGGTCCTTCCGGATCTTCTCCCTGCCTTGGGTTGAAGTTTCAGGCAGAGCCTTTTCTCCGGCGGCATTCAGAGCAGCAAACAGGCTCTCAGCTTGTTCTCTTTCGGACAGAAGAATCTGAAGGATGTTGGAACTCTGGGTGGGCTCATCCTTGAGGGCTTTTTCAAGCTGCGATTCAATAGGCTGCAGCCACAAGTCCACCTCGTTGTACTTGTCCTGGTAGAACTGGTGGTCATCCACGAGATTGGACCAGCGGTTGACCACTTCCTTGCTGAGAACTTGCATCAGTTGATACCGATTGGTGATTTGAGTCGTCAGGGTCTTCAAACGATCAGCTCCACAGTTATTAAGCAGGGAATGGGCAGCATCGCCGAAGGCATCAATTTCCTTCTCCTTCTGGAGAATCAAATCCCTTTGGATCTTGTACTTATCCAACTGTTCGACCTTTTCGTGGAGCGTGGACTGCAGTTGCTGTTCGCGGAAAACAGCCTCGGCATTGCGGCACCACTTGGTAAGTTCCTCAAGGTCTTTCTCGAACTTGTCCCACTGAGCCAGCACATCCTTCTGCTTGCCCTCAATGCCCTCGATGTCGTCGAAATGGCTCTTCATGGTCGTCTCCAGTTCATCGATTTCTTTCTCCAGAACTTCATTGCCCTTTTCAGAGGTGGTGGGCTTCACCTTCTCGAATTGATCTCGAATATCGCCGAGCAACTTAAGGGCTTGGGGCTTGTTCTGAGCCAACTGTCCTAGGGTTTCGATCTTGCGCTTTATGTCCGCCTTTTCGCCATAAGCATCGTCACACTCCAGCAACTTGGCCTTTTCGTTCGAGATCCAAGTCTTAGCCGACGCCAGAGAGTTGTTTAGGTCGTTGTGCTTCTGGACGCAGTCTTCCAAGTTGTGCAAGATAACGTCGGACTTCTGGACAATGCTCTGGAAGATTTGCTTGATCGAAGCTAGGTAGACGTTCAAGGAGTTATCCTTGATTTGATCCACCAGGATCTGGGCCTTGTCGCAGACGTTGTCCACCAGCACATTGTGGGTGGTGATTTCCTGGTGCAACAACTTATGGTTTTGCAGTTGAGCGCGCTTCTCCTGCAGAGTTGTCTTCGGTTCAGTGTGGCTCTGCATTGCCTTCTCCACGTCCTTGAGCCACTTGGTTAGCTGATCCTGGGCAATGCTGAAATCGTTGAACTGCAACAAGCACTGATCGATCTTTTGTGTGGCCGAGTTCAGGTCGTCCGTGTAATTATCCCAAAGAGTCCGCAGAGAACGGAGCTGCTGACGGATAATCTCGCGGCCATCTGGGCTAGTGTGCCCGTAAAGCTTTTCGCCGCGATCGATGAGACCCTCGAAGAGGGTGGAGTCCGTGATGCGTTTGTCAGACATCTCGCGCAGCTTATTCTGCTGTTCCTGCAGCACGTTCTGATCGCCGACAATCTCATTGGCCTTGGTCAACTCATTCACTGAAGCCTGAAGGTTCTGCTTGAATGCCTCGAAATCATGGTCAAAGCTTTCATGATCCTTAACATAGTTCACATACTTGGCAATAGACTCCTTGCACAGGTTCTTCAGAGTCTGGTATCGAGTATTCAATCGAGAAAGCTTCAGGTTCAAGTCAGTTTCTCCCTCAATTTCACGGCCTTGGTCCATTAGTTCATTAATTGCCGAACCACGACGATCAATATCCTTGGAAATCTCTTGCAGCTGTTTCAGATGGGCATTCTTGGCCTCGGCGGTGCTCTTGAGGTTCTGGTTCTTCACGACGGATTCCACATTCTTCATCCAGTTGTCCAGCTCTTCGATGATCGAATCGAACTCATCCCATTTGGAGCACAGCTGCTTAAGTTTCACCAGCGAGTCTTGGCAGAGAGTCATAAAGTCCTCCCATGCCTTCTGCGGCTCCTCAAAGCCCTTAAGCAGGGCCGGGTGACCACTTGGATGAGTTTGGGTCAACACAGTTTGCAACAGCTTGTGGCACGTATCGAAAATGGAATCGCCCTCGGGTTTGTGCTGCAAAAGGTTCTCCACAACAATCAGCTTCTCCTCGGCGCCTTCCTTCTCGAAAGTAGTCTCGTTCAGAATATCTATGGCTTCGGACTTTATTGTATTCAGCCAGTCTTGTGCCTTTTCGAGAACCTGATCGTAGGCCTCGTGTTTGGCCACATGATTTCCCACTGTGGTTATCCTTTCGGAAATCTTCTTGGACAACGTGTTGTACTCCTGGATGGACTCATCGGTCTTTCGCTCAGACTCATCGTCGCAAAGTGTCACTGCCTTGTCGTGCAATTGCTTAAGAGCATTCTTGTGAAGGTTTATCTCCTGCAGCTGCGTCTTGTAGTTTTGAAGAGCAGCCTTCTTGGTGGCCAGAGTTGGGTAAAGTTCATCCCCGGCGGGAACCTTAGCCTTGGATTCGTTGAGGTAGTGCGACACCTGGGTGTAGCTCTCTTCGATTGAGGTCTTCTGAATCAACACACCCTCCACTTGCTGCATAAAAGCATTGGCCTCGTCCCTCAAGTAATCGAACTTCTCGCGCATCTGGCGAAGATCAGCGCGGATTCGCTCTCGGTTTTCAGGAGAAACTACGGGATATAGGGCCTCGCCGATATCCACAGCGTTGTTCAATAATATCTGTCCGTTATCGAAGGTCTTAATGTAGTTCTTCACAGTCTGCAACTGCTGAGCTGTGGCCGATGAAGATCCGGGCGAGCCCATGCGGGCCAGTTCCTGGAACTCGATCTTGGCATCACCGAACCAGTCGTTGAAGTCCTTGGCTGCCTTGGCAAAGTTGGCATTCGACAGCTGAGCGGTGCGGATCTTATCAATGTAGCCAGCCAGAGCTTTGGAGACTGTCTGATAACGCTGGACCAGATGGGTAACGAACTGTCCAATCCTGGCTTCAGGGTTCTTCTCAATCAACTGCTGCGATGTTGCCTCAAGGTTGTTAATTATGGGCTCATGTGCTAGTATATCCTGTTGGAGGACAGCCAGCTCCTGGAGCTTCTGAGGCACTTCAGGAAGATTCACTTGGCTACTTGTTTCGGCCTTAACACGGCCCTCGACATCTCGCAACCAGTTAGATATTTGTTCGTTCGATTGCTCGTACTGCGACCACAAGTCCACATTCTCATCGAGAATACCTTTAATTTTGTCAAAGCTGTCCTGTAAAGCCTTCATGTCATTGCTCAGTAGCTGGGCATCGCTGGTAAGTTCCGCCAGGTTTTGTGGGGATTCGACGGCCTTCAGCATCTCCAGGGATTTCAAGGTTTCGGCATGACGTGCCTTGCAGTCGTCAATGCTCTTGCTGACCTCCTGCAACGAGGATTTTTTCACATCCAGGTTGTATTTGTCACTGGAGGATTCTGGCTGACACCAGGCTACCTTTTCGCGTTGTGTGGCAATAATACGCTTCAGCATGCCCACTTTGTCGGCGTGGAACTTCTTGAGGAACTGCAGCAGCGAACCCTCGATCTTCTTGGCATAGAGATCTACGTTCTCATAGCGTTTCTGGACATTGTTCAGTTCCTTGGGGATGATGGACTCACTGAATGTGGGATACAAATTACGAAGCTCATCAACCTTCTGCTTAATGTTGTCGATTTCGTTTCCGCTCTTATCGAGCTCGGCTCTAATGGCACGGCACTGGAGCAGGCGTTCCATAATCTTATTGTTGTCGCCGGACATGTCGTCGCATTTGATGAGCTGTTCCCTGAGTTTGTTCACCTTCTCGCCAGCTTCCTTCGATCGCTTGCGGAGGTCCTGTTCCTGATCGTTGAACGAAGTGGTGACTGTGCTTAGACGATCAGCATTGTTGCTGACTTCCGCAAACTGTTCGTTCAGAAGTTGATTGAGAGCAGTGAGTGCTGGAATTTCGGCGCCATTATTGATCTTTACCAGATCATTGGTTTTCTCTGCAATTGTATCCTTCAGCGCCTGGTAGGAGGGCAGCTCAGTGCGGTACTTGCTCAAACGCATTGGGCCGAATTCGATCTCAATGGTGTTGTCAGCCGCATCACAAAGCCCCTGATTGGTCTCCGATAACCACGGCAACAAGTCCTTCTTGGCATCTTCGATCTGCGACCAAATGACTGCCTCCGTTTCATAGACATGTGCGTTTTTGGCGGTCTTGTCGTGCAGATCCTGCCATTTTTGTTTAGCAGCGGCCACTTCCTGAGGAACTTCCTGTGGAATGGGTTCTCCAATGGCACTAAAGAGCTTGGCGACATTGTTGCCACGACGCTCGAGCTCATCCAAATTGAGTTTGGACTTGCGCAGCTGCTCCATAGTTTTTTTGGTCTTCTCGGAAGCCACCTGAAGCTCGGTTTCATCGCGCGGTTGCTGAGGGATGGCACCAAAAAGATCCTCGGCCTTCTTGAGTTCCTTCGAGAATTTATCCTTCGAATCAGCATACTCCCTCAAAGCCTGGCTAATTAGGTTGTACTTCTGGATGCGATCAGCTATCTCATTTTGAAGTGAATCATAGTTCTTGTCCAGAACCAAGAGGCTCTCTTGGATGGCAGGCATACTGGCAATGTCCTCTCGCATTAGCAACGAGCCTTCATCGTGAATGCGATCCTTGAGGTCAGCCTGATACTTCAAGGCGTCATTCAGGGCCACCAGATCGGCGATAATCTGATCAATATTGTTCAACGTAGGGTGCTGTTTGAGAATCTCGTCCAGCTTGGCGCGATTCTCCTCCAGGGCCTTGCCAAAGTTATGTTCCAAAGCATGGAACTTGTCCTTGCGAACGGTCATCTGCTGGAGCTGTTGCTGTTGGTTTTGCGATCGCAGCTTAAGGTTCTCCAGCTTGTTCTCCACATCGTTTACAATCTGGGTGGCAATCAGCGGACGACGTGATAGGGCATCTCTCAGCTGGATGGCAGGATTCTCATCAATCTCCTTGGCCTGACCCTTCCAGTAGCTTAGACCCTGACCCAGGTGGCCTATCTCATCGATGACCTTGGTAAGCTCCTCGGCTGCAGGTCCTTCTGGTTTGTCCAGTTGGTGTTTAAGGTAGTTCAAGTGCGACTCGGTGTCGTTCTTCCAGCCTAGCAACTCGGTCCACTTCTCCAGGGCTGCCTTCTTCTGGAGCATATTGGTCTCCAAGTTCTGGTAGTTAACCACCAGTGCCGTGTAGGCATCGTTCAAGGCATTGGATTCCTCGGGCGTGGCGCCCAAGGCGAGTTGCTTCACTTCATCGTAGATGGCGTTAAAGCTGGGTTTTTTGTCGGCATGCTCCTGCAACAGGGCATGGATCACATGCAGACTGGTTTCCACCCGTTCCGGATTTATTTCTTCCACCTGGGAAACCTGGTTTCGGAGCTGCTCCATCCAGTTCGAGAAGTTCACCAGCTTGGCATTAAAGTCCTGCCGAGAGATGATCGCATCGGAAACCTCGTTGATGTGGCCCCGAGTGACCTCTGAAAGTTTCTGCAGCTTGCCCTTCATTTGGTTGACCCGATCCTTCAGAGCTGCTGCTCCCTCGGGCGCCAAATGCAAGCTGATTTGGTCGGCATTTTGTCCCAGAGTCACTAACTTGGCCTGTTGCTGGGAGATCTCGTTGTTGAAGGACTTCAGTTTGACCAGCTCCTTCTCCAGCTTGTCGATGTGCGGGGTGTTGAGGACGGCTGGACGCCGTGCCATCAGCTGCTCTCCCTGACCCACCCAATCCTCGAGCTTGGCGGCATCGGCGTCGAACGACTTCCAATTGGCCACCAACTTTTCGAGCTTGGCACTTGCCTGCTTGGCATTCTCGTGGACTGCCGTCCAGCGCGAATGCATGGCGTCCAGCTCGTCGGGTGCATTGGTCTTACACAACATTTTATGACTGATGTTGGATATGCCATGGAGCTTGTCCAACTGCTCCTGGCACTGTGTCTCGAATTGTTGGGCATTTTGTTGCATGGCAACGGCTTCTTCGAGGGATATGGGCTTAGAAACTACATTATTTACCTTGACTTCGCTCTGCTCCACGGCAGGCTTGATTTGCTGTAGTCCGGCCTGGAACTGTTGCCAGTTGACGAGGTCCTCCTGCACGGCCTGTGCCTGGTGGTCCACGTTGCGATTGATGGCGCTGAGGACTTCCTGCAGCTTGGTGATTTCTCCCTTCAGTCGCTTGGCCTCGGCAATGTTGCCCTCCTTGGGCGCCAGTTCGGAAGCATCGGCAGCCAGAAGATCCAGCTGCTTCATGCGGTCGCCAAGGATGCGCTTGAAGGCCTGCACCTTGACCACACGCTCCTCTGGGGTGAGGTCCTCGGATTGCAACGCTTCGATGTTCTTGGGAGCCACCTTGTTGGCCCACTCTTGCAGTTCGGCAAGGCGCGTTTTGTAGTTATTCCACTTGGCACTGTAGTCCTCCAGGTACCCGACTCGATCCTTCACGTGCTCCATGGTGTTGAAGAACATCTTCTCCACCTCGGTGACCTCCTTCTCCAGGATGGGGCGCTTGTCAGCGGCCGCCAGTGGAGCCAGCTCAGACTTGAGGGCGTGCAACTTGGGCAGCAGTTGGTGTGAAGCTTGCTGCAGTTGCACATTCAGATCTCTCTTGGACTTGAGATCCTGGCTGACGTTCTTAGGATCGGTTTGCAGTGGCGTCAAGGCCCGCAGTTCCGTTTCGGCCGTTTGCAGCATTGAGAAGATGTCGTTCTTCTGGTCGACGAAGTCGCTCCAAACAGCCTGGGTACCTTTGAGGGCCTGCAGCTTATCGGATGTCTCGGTGTAGGCCTGGTTCCAGCCGGTCTCCAGATTCTTGACCTCTGTATTGACGAAAGCCGGTGCATGAATATCTTTGCTGAGGTCACGGCCCCGCTGCAACATGGACATGATGTGCGGGCGCTGGTGATCCAGTTGGTTGATGGCGTACTGCTGCTCCTCGATCAAACGGTTCACTCGCTCCAGGCTGTCGGGCGCTGGGATGTTGGCCGTCTGGTCCTTGACCTTGGTCAGCAGGCACACAACCTCGTGAACTTCGCGTCGGTAGGTGTAGCACTTGGAGAACACCTCCGTCTTGACCATGGTGATTTCAATGGTAGGGATGAGGTTCTTGTAGCGGGCAATAAGGTCCTCTAGCTTCTTCTGTTCCAGATTGGCCTCATCCTCGGTGGCGTAGCTCAGCAACGAGTCCAGTGTCTTCACCAGCCATTTCATGTCCTCGCGCTTGTTGTCGGCATCTTGGCAGATTTTCTAGAGAAAAATGGAAAAACATTGTTAGTGAGATTGAAAATCCAAGAGTTGCCCTTTTAAGGGGACATTGTCCTTTGAAAAGTTGAAATATAAAAGCAGATTAGTTACCACTAGCTCCCTCAGCTTACGGCATGCATGCGAATGTTTAATGAGAAGATTATTTCAGGATGAATTTGGATGAAAAGTTTGGGATTTGTTTCTGGACTTTAACTCACCTGGAAGACCACCTTCTCCTTCTCGAATTCCTCCATGGTGTTTACTTCATTCACGATGTTCTTCAGGCTCTGATCCACGCCGTTCATCCATTGGACCATCTCGTTGAACTTCAAATGATAGCCCTGCCATTGGGCTGGGATCTGCTGAAGAGTCTGGCGCATGTCACCCAGCTTGTTGGACAGCAGCTCCCACTGGGACTTGGCGTTATCGTAAGCCTGGTCCAGACTGATGTCGCCGGGCTGTTGCTGTCTGTGGGCGTGGGCCAAACGTTGCATGTTTTGCAGGCAACGCTCCAGGCGGGGAACAGCGTCCTGTTGCATCAGGAACTGCTGGTTGCGCTGCAGAATCGAGTCTACATCCTCGTTCCGGTTGAGGGCCTGCTGCTCCAGTTGCAGCTCCTTCTCCACATCCTTCAGGGACTGATAGAAGGCGTTCTCGTCCAGTCTGAACTCCAGCTTCAGCAGATGCAGAGGTGCTTGGGACAGAACGTTCTTCCAGCGGGACTGCAGCTGCTCCACGCTCTGGACAACCGCAGGTTGCTCCTGGGCGGGCAACGTGGTCAGCAGTTGCTGGGCCGATGTTACAAGGTCGTTCATCCAACGATCGTTGACTTGCTCGAAGAAGTACTTCTGCGTTTCGATGGTGGTCTTCGACTCGATGTGCTTCTCCACCAGCATGGTTTCGGCCCGGGTGAGCCACTCGCTGACGACACGTTCATTGTCCTTGAAGTTGCTCCATCCTCCGGCTGCGGAGTCCAAACGCTGCTCCCATTGCTGGGCGCTCTGGATCACATAGTTGAAGCGATCGTTCAGCTGCTGCATCTGTTGCGAAGCTGGAGCCGTGTCGATCTTATCATCGGCTGCCACTGCCTTGAGGAGATTCTGGAACACCTTGTTCTTGCTCTCCAGCATGGACCGATAGTAGACAGTTCGTGAGAAGTAGGTCTTGTGCTTGTGCAGCTGCTCATTGATGGCATCTCGTCCTCCGGAAAGGTTGTGCGTTGCTAGAAGCTGCTCAGCCTCACTCAACCATTGGTGGATCTCCTTCTGTCCCGCCTCCAACGATTCCTGCTGAATCTGTAGTTGATGGAACAGATGCAACTTGGCCGGCAACTGAGCGCGAATGCGCACGAGGGATTCCTTCTCCTGCTTAAGCAGCTTCATCATCTTGTCGACTTCGTCACGTGACAGATCCTGGATGAGGGACTGGAAGTTCCGGCTGATGGTCTTGAACAGTTCCTCGTTGTCATCAATCTCGCTGGCCAGTTTCTGCAGCTGCAGACCATACTCTTTGATCTGGTCGCTGTTGCCAAGTACCTGTCGCTGATCCAAAATACTTTCAGCGCCTCGCAGCCACCTCGACAGCTGCTCGATGCCCGACTTGTATTCCTGGCGGGATCGGATGATGTCTCCGGCATGCATGTACTGCTTGGTGTTGGCAAACAGACGCTCGAAACGCTCGGCGAGGGCTCCGTGTCGTTGGCGCAGCTGCTGGGCAATGGGCTCCTCGCAGGAGGCAATCAAATAGTTGGCCGAGTTAGCAAGGGCATCGAATTTGTCCTTCCAAGCGGGTATGTCCTGGAAAAACTCCAGGCGCTCATCCTCGCTCTGGTTCAGCTTCTGCTCGGCCAGCAGCAGCCACTCCTCGCATGTGGGAGCCAACTGGTTCCAGTTTCTCCAGCAGTTCACCACCTCCTCGAGGGAGTTCTGGCAGCACTTCAATTCCATGGAGACGCGCTTCCAGCGCTCCTCCGTTTCGTACATGAAGCGGTCAATGTCGTTAATGTCCTTGCGAGGAACATTGCCCTCGCGTTTGTACTCCTCCACCACCTGTTGCATGTCGACGAATGCCTTTTGGAACTCCTGGAAGATCTTGTTGCGCGACACAAAGTTCCGGTACTGTTCCAATTGCTGGGCCACCTTTTCTTCGTGTCCGTATTTGCCAGTCCAGCCGCGCATCTTGTTCTCGACCAGATTGAGGAACGCAATCAGGCAGCACTTGTGCTCCAAGAACTTAAGCCGAATCCTGCGCTCCGCTGCTTTGGGTCCAACCTCTTGCAGGCGGCGCTCCATGTTGCGAAGCTGCTCCAGTGGCACCTGTTGGGCCAAGGGCGATCGCTTGGCATTGTCGAACATGGCCAAAATACGAGGCAGATCGGCGAAGAAGAGCTTGTGCTCCTCCAGTTTCCTGCTAATCACGGCAGCCGTCTCCTCATTCATAGCATTGGGTATCTCATTGTCCAGCAAAAGTTTCTCGGCTTCGGCCAGCCATTTTCCAACGGTGCCAAAGTCCCCGGGCAGCTCGGAATCCAGTAGCCAGAGCCAGTACATCATCTGGTACTGGAGGCGCTGCCACAGCTCGTTTATCTCCTCCCACGACTGACGAGAGACCTGCAGGAATCCGCTCTGGCTCTCAATCAGCTGCTTCAGACGGTTATACGCCGGCAAGTGGGCATCGACCTCGGAACGGGCCAGAAGATATTCACCAAAGTCACGCGGGAACGAACTCATCATGACCATGGGCTCGTACTCGGTGGTCTTCTCCACCAGGAAGCGGCGCAGCTCGTCCAGCTCTTGCTGCACGTGAGACTGATCGCGTGAAGCACCCTTATAGAAATCGGTGTTACTATTATTATTTTTTTGGAAGCTATATGATTTAAACTTACCTTTGGTTCAGGGTACTTGTGCAAGAATTGTGCCACATATGTCATGATACTCTTCTCGTCTGGCTTGGGTACGTCCACATCCTCAGCGTCCAGGAGCTTGGCAATGCCCAGCTTGCTTTCGGCCACATCGAAAGCAGTCTCCAAACGCTGACGGTTGCTGGTCTTCTTCAACTCAGCCAAGTTGACCAGGTTTGCCTTGATGGCATCGATAAGTGCGAGGAAAGCGACGCCGTCTCTCCAGCTGGCGCCGAAATCTTTCACCTCCACACCACTGTCTCTGTGGAAGATGAATATTTTATTTGAAATTCCATCCAATGGTTGAAGGAATACTTACTTTGGCAAAGCATTGGTCACCCAGTTGAGCAGGGTCTTTCGGGCACCCTGCTTCCACTTCTCAGCCTTAAGGTCGCCGTGCTTTTGATTGCCAACGCTGTCGAGGGAACTCACCGAACCGCCAATACCATGACCCAAATATTCTAGGTTGCGGCTGTTCTCCTCGATCTGGGAATAGGTTCAAGAATTAGTAAGCATTCGTAGTCGATGGAACATGCCAGGAAATGTAATGGTTAAACTTAAGATATGGATAGTGCCTCAAAAATTATAGCTACCAACTGAAAAGGTTTACGAGTATCTACCCAAAAAAAAAAACTGAATAATAATATGAAGTACAAACGAGACAACAACAATTACGTTCGAGTTGGACCCACCTGTGGCGTATAATTTATAACTACTACTAAGTTTTTCCGCCTCTTTTTACGAAGCTTGTTTACGTTTAAGGTTATGATTTCAATAAAATATATATAGAAAAGAAGGGTTCATAGGGTTAATTAGGTTCAAAGTATCAACATTCGTGTAAGTTTTGGACTTTGGGTGTACATCTCTACTTCTGGTGGTAGCCTTGTGAGAAGGTGTACAACTAGCAACCAATATTTTGTTCAATGGTGCGCTCAATTCGTGAACTCAGTGCACTCAGTGTCTTATTTGATTATTAATAGAGTGAATTTGGGAATAATTACCTGGAAGTACAAGATGATCGTCCATATCAAGCCCAGCACAACTGGTGGTCTCCCATCCACCAGATCTGCGGGATTAATATTGACCAACTTGATCCGTTTGCTGGCCAGAAATTGCAGGGCCGTATTGGCATTGCTGAGGAAATGTGGACGTCTCAGGACGCGGCCCTTCTCCACGGGCAGGCGTTCCCCAGACAGGACTTCGAGCAATGCAATTAGTTTTGTTCCGTCGCGCAAGTCATTGATTAAATCATCGATACGAAGTGGTGGAACTCGCTGAAAAGGGGTTTTGAAAAGATTTATTAATAACACATTACAGTTTATTACATTCAGAACTTGCACAACTCAGTTTATAATTAGTTTAGGCAGTAAAAGACAGCTTAAGAGCTAAATCTGTATATTTCTTTATAGAAAACTACGTTTTAAAATTGATCTGTCAGCAGTATGCCACTCAATGCAGTATTATGCTTTTTCAGTGTTGTACAAGTTCGTATTCCCCTTAGCTTTCTATCGATCTGCCAATCGATCTGCTTTCTATATGCCAATTATTTTAAGTCTTTTTTTGGGATTTATCAGTTATAACCAGCCTATCAGTTATATCAGTTATCATCATAACATCATAATATCATAAATATAATTATCGTTTCTTTTAAGCTTGTATCAAATATAGAACCATTTTTGTAGATTTCACTTTTTAACTTTTCAAGAATACCTTTTCAAGAAAAATCTGATTTTTCAAATATGCAGCGTTAACTGCAGCGTTAAAAAAGTATTCAAAATATTTTTAAATCTAACTTTGAATAAATCTTTACAAAGATAAACTTTAAAAAGAAACTCAAAGAAACTTCCTCTATTTCAAAACCCTCACCCAAAAATTAAACTTTCTTTAAACCACTTTAGACTTTTAGGGCAAAACCATAATGCATGAAAATGAAAAGCATTAATCTTTAATCAAAGTAACCACCGCTTTAGTTGTGGACTAACACTCTTAACGAGCACTTACTTGTGATTAAAGAGGTCAAAGTAGCCGGCAATTGCTTTCGAGTGCCTTCTGGTGTATTTTTTAATAGCACTTTTATGATGATATTACGTGCACTATGTGTATGCACCCACAACCCGTTGGATAAACAAACTTAATGGAGCGCACTGAACAGATTTAATGGTTTCTCTGTGACCAATTTTGGGGGCTCAGATGAGTTTGCATAAGTATTTTGAATTTTTTCGGTTAATCAATCAAATGCAACTCACGAATCATTCGCAACATTAAGGCGCATTAAATCAATTAAAATAGTTTAAATTGCTTTTGGCATAGCGATAATTTGTCGTGATACTTTTGTGCGAATCAAGACAAATTGGCAACTGGCACGAGCGGCCATTTAGCTTGGAGCCACCGCACAAGATTACGATTTTTAAGGTAATGCCATTAAGGCCGAAGCCGCAACGGAAGTGCCACCACAAAACCAGCAAACAACAGCCAAACAACGGAGCGAAGAAACTACTTTGTAATTGAGTGTAGCATTTAATTGAGCTTTCTTGTGGGCAAATACCATAGTTTCTGTACAACTTTTCTCAACTTTTCAACTATGGCCAACATGCAAAAGACAATGACAACGCCGGGATAAAGTTTTTCCAGCAAAAACTTTTCATTTTTGTGTGAATTCTTCTTCAGAACTGACATAGCGAAATCAATTTCAATGCTTCCGTTTCCTGTTTCTCCGACTACGCCTCTTTTTTCCATTTAGTTACTGAATTTTTGGTGTCATAGTGTTTTTATACAACAGTTTTTGCCTTTTTATTGTTTATTTCGGGCTGACATATGCCATTAAAGCCGTTGCCTGGGCCAGAGACCTTAATAATATTCCCCAAACATGACATCCAAAAGGGTCTTACACGCTAATCTCAAAGCGACTTCCCCGCCTGGATCAGAGCCGCTGAGCATTGTAATTATTTCCACTTAAGTTGAAGAGTTCCTTACTTAAATGCTTTAAAACCCCTTATTTTTATGTGATCCAAACTTACTAGGTTTGTCAGAGTCTTACTAAAGATTTGAATAATTCTACACCCAAATATAAAACTTTAGAAGTTCTCCGCCCATGACAGTGTCTGTCATCCAAGGTGATTTAGTGCTTATTCGATTGTAAATCTTTGTACTATCTTTTCCACTTATCACCTGTCAGAAACAATTAGATGAGCACCTGACGAGCGGTAGTGTTCGTAACCCACTTTCACACACCAGTATCCTTTCTAATTTAAGCACCTCAAATGGCTGGATCCTTTCACTTTGATTTTTCATCGGTTCGACATAAATCCCAATGCGGGAGACGTCGTTCGAAAGCCCCATCTCGTGCCGGGGCGTTGCCATCAATTATGTCATAAAGAAATAAAATGGGGCATCATTGGACATTGTGGGGCCACCGCTCAAAAATTGACCATCCAACATGCCTTTTGTCATTGCGACCCACCATGCTGATTCGAGCGTGTAAATTAATTCATAAATTTTAATCAAATTCTATGAAAGCCGAGCGTCCAGAGAGCGGGTTTTTGGGTCGCCAGCGAAACCAACCAAACACAACTGGTTAACCTTGAACTGAGCTTGAAATAAAACAAATACCAATTCAACATTTTGGCCCCGGCCTCTTCAAACCTTTGCCAGCAAGTGTGTATCTGTTGCTTACGATATAGGAACTGGAAGGTACTAATTGAAAGCTCAAACGAAGATTCGATAAATAGTTTCGTCGCAGGGGAAAAAAAGGGAATAAATCACTTTCTATTAGCATTGGCAGCAGCTATATTTCTAGCCCGTTTGAATTATTGCTTTAGTGTCAACCGATCGTTGTGCAATTGCAAAGACAGCCGCTGCAATTTGCCTTGTCATTATGTACATTAAATGACCCATTTGCATATTGCGTAACCCCATGTTGGTTGGATCTCCAAGCCGGCTCCTTGGGCGACTCAAATATACGACTTCAATCAGGAAAGCCGAGCCCACGCACTCTGGTATCCAATTCGGAGGGAGACCCTTGCATGTCTCCTGCTCCTTTCCCGTGAGCCAGTGAGCTTGTCATTCCCAGTCTTTTATATTTTCTCTGTCTTATCGAGTTGCAGTACCTGAGTTGAGGAACTGGTTTTCAATAGCTCTCCGGATTGGATTGTTGGGGAATAATTGCCGGCCGGCCGGCAACAGTTTTCAATCCAACATGCAAGCGGTTGCACGGTTGGGGTCAGAATAATAGTAATGGTCAATATAAATATTAATGGATTTTCAATTTACTTTATAGAGGTTTTAGCTATTGTCTTAGTACGTTGTATAAGGGATAATTCAGTTTATTACAAGATTTAGTCTTTTTATACTATATAGTTATAATAAGCCAAGAATCTACCTTTCTCTAACGTCCTTTACCATTAAGATAGGATACCATAGTCTCTAATCAGAACTAATTATTAAATTAACAGAAAAAATCCTAAATGTGGATAGCTTGATACTTATAAATGGCCATTTAATTAGGCAAAAAAAATAAAATTATCCTATTTATCAGGTTATTCTAAACACCGATATACTTCAATTTTGTAAGCCCTAATGCCCGGTGAGCCCTTAAAGCCTATATATTTATTCGAAAGAATAGATACCCTACTAAAAGTTAAGAACATCATGTATCTAATATACTGACAATGACTGTCAAGAGCCAGCTCATGTCTGCAGATTGCCGTTGGTATTAACAGATAACACATTAGAGCCACCATACGGCACATGGCTCACCCAATCTGCGACTCCGACTCGAACTCCGGGAAACGCCTGAAAAGTGCATTAAATCGACTTGCCGTAGTTGGGCCTGGGCCAAGAAAGTAAGTCAGTAGGCGTCGGTTTCTTGCGTGGGTTTCTTGCGGGTTAATGGCAATGCATTTGAAGGCCCCCAGCCAAACGATCCCGGCCAAAACGGAACTATCTCGGCGATACACTCGGCCCGGCATTAATGCAACTCTCTTGTTGGTGTTTGCTTTCAGGCCACCTCGGTTAGACAGGCCGTCAAGTACTTCTGGCTCTCTTTTGATTTTCCTTCCATTTCTTATTTATATCTATTTTTTGCATTGTTAACAGCCTGAAGTGGAGTTGGATGGAGAGCACCTAGACACATGCTTTGCGGAATTTCCAGCTGGTTACCTGGGTGCGTGCTCTGAAGATAGATTCTTGGAAGCCATCCGGCGAAGGAGAATGACTTGAATATGCTAAGACATGACAAATGTTTGCCGAGACTATGCTGGTATTTGCAGACACGAATGCTAATGAAAGATGTTGTGGACTCTATGAATCTTAGCCATGCCATAAGTCAACCATAAAACGTTGAGAAATGCAAAGACTGAATTTTAATTATCAAGCTAAGATTTCTCCTTCAAGGGGTTTAGCAGTAAAAAAAATTTATATATTCTTAGAAAAGCTATTTTGTATTATATAGAAAAATGATATAGTTTATCCTTAAATATTTTAAAATTCAATTTAACTGAGTCATTTGAAATACCCAAAAATACTTCAAATTTCATGGAATTTATGTTTAAAATTTAACAACAAATCTCAACAATTATTATCCGCTTATTATTTGAATGGTAATTACCCGAAAAAAATAAATTCCTAAATACGCTTATCACGCTAATTTCGGAATTTGTATTCAGAGTGACGGACATGTCACGCCCCTTAACCCATTTGTGTTTTTGGGTCAGTTTTGGTTTTTTTGTGGTTTTGGCATTAAAAAAGCAAATAGTCGAATACCTCTCACGCTTGGCTTATCTGAGGCAAATCAATATGCAAATTTCAATGGCAACTAGTGTAGACAAAATTCATTGGCGCTCTCAAGACGCCAGCTGAATCGATTGATGGGCTCGGCAGGTACACCAGATAGACTCACCTTCGATAGGTATGAATTAATCCAATTAGTGAATGTCTTCTTCTGCACACGTTCTTGCTCCTCTGAAAATGCGAAAAAATAGAAGAAAAGAAAACGTCAGTAAATGAGAAGTAAATACAATTCGTACATTTGCAATTAAGTGTCGGACAAGTGTCGGCAACCAAGATGGTAGAGACATAAAAGGCTAAATGGAGACATGACGGTACTACCAAAGATACCCAAAGGCAACCGATAAGATACATTTCTTAGTATGCACAATACACCTGTTTCTCGTTTTTACTTTTATTTTGCCTGTCCCTGCGGCATGTGTTTGCTTTAATTGAATTATCAGTTAAGTTGGGGTATAAAAAACGAAATTAACACCATGACATCATGTTATTTTAAGCGATAATATCACAGAGTTTATGGGTTATTTGCAAAAAGGGGGTACCCGTGCGAAAGTTTACTAAAACTTATATTCTTAGTTCTCTGATTGAAAAAAGCCTCTGATCATCTCTGATCATCAAAATTAAAATGATTCATTAATTCATAAAAATTATACTTAAATGTACGTATTCCTAGAACGATCCATAAAAAATAAACCGCTAAACATTTCAAAATTCCATTGACCCTTTCTCTGCGTCAATAGACAAGCCACAATTTGTAAACAAAAGTCCACAGATTGGCCAAAGCAAATATTTACTCATCTACCAGAATTTGTTGTGTGGCTTAATTACCTCAATTTAATTTCTGAGCCGACAAATCGAAATAATAAACAATGCGTTAAAAAACATCAATCTGTAAACAATTAACAAAATATACAGAAGGAGAGTCATTATGGAAAAGTGCAGCCGAAATGGAAATGGCAGCCAGCAGCTGTCTGGCCCCCCAAAATCAGCCCATTGGGACCACGTAGCTCCAAGAAATGGCCCAGTGCGTGGCCTATTCGTTCCGCTGGCATTTGGCCAAACGCATGCCAACAATGTGAAACGAAAATAGATTTCCCGTAATAAATAAAAAATCATCATTCTTCGAAAATGGAAAATTTTTACAGTTAGACGCGAAGAATGCTTGGAATAAGAATTATTACATAAAATAAATCGACAAGACCATGAAAGTGTCAAACGTCTTGCCAATTAGCCAACAATTTACAAAGTAAAAACACACCGTGTTAATTGTAAAAATGATTTAAGAAAATATATATTATCCTCTCGTATTATATCTCGCTTTTAAATGTCCATTTCAAAAATTATATGTATATTCATTCATTCAATGCGCCGCAGTGACGTAATTTTTCTGCTTGCTGCTGGCAATTTTTTGAAATGTTGACAAAAGATTATTTAAATAGAAATTAGTTCAAGGTTGAGCAATTTGCACAGCAACTGAAAGTCATGTATATATATATTAAACTTTCGTTAAAATTTGAATAAATAATTCTGACCACGAGGTGTTGCAACACTCGGTTAATGCAAGGTACTAGGATATAATTAAGTGAACTTGAGGCAAGGTTGCACACGAAATCAACCTAATGGTCATTTTAATGGCTTTTCTCAGACACTTTAAAATTCTCTAATGGCTTGTAAATATTTTATGTATCAGGTACCATCATAAATTAACACATAGCGCCCGAGATGTGCACTTCAATTTAAATTTTAAAACTTAAGTGTTTATATGTTTAAAAACAAACAATTGTGCAAGGAAAAATGTTGTATAGAAATATCTTATGAATCGAATGGTGTTTAAATTAATTAAATTCCTAGCAAAAGTTTCTCCCCAAATTCACTTTTATTTGACCAAAAATTACGGTGAAGTCTGGCTCGTCCCAAACAATTAAGTTGTTTTGGCCAAAACGCACAACGCCTCTTCAAAGAATCGTTTGGAGAAAACCTGATATTTTTGGTAACAGATCTTTTGATGTTTTCTGAATACATTAAATTGGTCAATAGAACTACCGCATTCGGCAAATAGAATAAATTTAGCAAAACGAGTTGGCTATAATGAGGTTGTGAATATATTTTTACCAAAACCAAAAATAAATGCATATACTAGACGTAGGTATACCTAAGATATGGACTGCGAAGATTAGTTAACGTTCTCGTCATAAATCATGTGAATTTTTGTTAATTTTGTTTCTCTTGAAATCTTTATGTCAACAAAAATATTTCGTAATTATTGCAAAGATAAGAGAATTGCACTCGAAAAAGAAAATTCGATAAGATACTGAATGGGGATATACCTATGGGTGTATAAAAATAGTCGAAGGAATACGGTACAAACTTATTTGAGAAACGTGCCTTTAAAATAGGTTTGCCCATAATACCATTCATTTTAAAAGGTAAAGATTAATATTTTAAACATTTTAACAGATTTTTGTTACTTATTTATTTTTATCTTAAAAAAGTGAAAAATTGCACTTTTATATAGAGCTCTAAAGTTGTGTAAACAAGTCACAAGGCTCCAATTAAAATCGAAGGTAATTATAACGCTTGAATTTGAGTGTGAAATAAGTGAAAATAATGATACTCTCACAAAAACTTAACAAAAATATAAAAAGTAAAAGCATATAAAAACTTGTTCAGGTCCTACAATAACCGATTCGTTCCACTCGATCGATATGTGGCCACCAGCCAATGCCAAGAACAATTAACAGGGCCCAAAATCAGGCCAAAGAGTAATGTTCAAGTTGAATGACTTTTCAGGTTTCGTTAATTTCAATTTCCATTTCAATAATGATGTATGAAATGATTACAAGAAACGACTTGTACCGCTAAAATATTGGCCCCCGGGCTACGAAAATTATAAATTCTTTAAAAATGAAAACAAAGAATCCCAGCACCGGTAAATTGTTTTTCTCATTTTGTACCATTTCTTCATATTTTTTTGTTGAATTGTTCAGTCAGTCAGTGAGTTAATGATGGTGATTATAATGATAAGTCGGTAGATTGTTATTTATGTTAGTTCGCCATTCCTGTTAGCCACTTAATGAGCGTGTCTAAACGGAGCTAGAAAAAATTCTTTCAAATAAATTTGTGGTTTTATGAATGAAACTTCCCCGGCTTTTTCTCCTTTTATTGAGCGTGAACTATTATCCACAATTACAGAAAATTTTAACAAGAAGTCAGGGCATTCGTCTCTAAATACGTGCCTTTTCTATTCCAGACGCCCCTTCGTCTGAGTTGGCCTAGTTACCCAGCATAAATAGAAACGAAGCTCAGACATTCATGTATTGTGGGAATGGAAAAAAAGTATTCGGTAGAAATAGATTATTTACTTTCACGCATAGCTAATTGTTTGGGTTTCCCTCCCAAAGAAAAAGGAAAAATATTCCCCTACATTTGCATAAACAAAAGGCAATCGAAGAGTTTTGGGGGGTTAGAACAAAAAACATGGGGAACGATATAGAGCATATGTTGGGTCATCCAACGGAAATGCGTCGAATAAAATGTTTGCGGTTGTAAGGCAGGGGATTTCCTTAATACCAGAACAGTGTGTGTTTATTTTGTTAATAATTTAGGCTACCAAAAATATAAATTTACTTCAATTCTGGGCTAAAGGTAGTCCCTAACTGACTGGTCATCACTCATCCGAGGTGTTATCGTTTAGGAAATGCCATTACTATCTTAAAAAACTTAAACTGACCCGCCACTTAATTTGATTACGCCCCGACTCGATAAGATTAACTATAAAATTATGACCTTACACTTCACCTGAGGCAGTCAGCCGCTTTATAATTATTGTATCAACTGTTTAAATTTCGTTTAAATTTAAATTTCAACATGATGACAACAGAGAGTACTGCGAAACCCAGTGGGGTGTGTCGAGAGGTGCACTTGTGGTTGTCACCTGGGGCGACAGGTGAGCAGCAAATAAGTCTGAAAATGCCGCATAAATTGCCTTCAGCCAATATGTTGAAGAGTCTTATAAATGGCATTACTTAACTTTACGCTCCATTGCCTTCAACGGCCGCCGCCCCCTTCCATCCCATTCCCTTTGCACATGTCATTAAGAGTATTTCGCAGCTACTCGAAAATATTAGATGCAAATATGATATGTTTGATGGGGAGGATTCATCCATATTCATACGGAGTCAAGTGGTGGGGATTGCGTCATGAACCACTAATATACCCACTGTTTGTTTACAGAAATCAAAAGGCGTGCGTGAGTTTATTTATTTTTGTCATTAATACCGCTCACTAAGCCAGTCAGCCAGCCAGCCTATCAGATACTCAAAACTAAATGATTGAGCACCTAAAAGTCTAAGAAAAATAAATAGCACAACAAAGAACAACTCGATAGCCAAAAAACTATATAATTTGTTTGGCAAAAATGGGCAAGAGGCTCCACAGTAACGAACTTCAAAAGATCTGCCCACGAGCAGAACTGAAGACTGAAGAGGAGGATGCCACGAAATTAAAATTTTTTAATTTCTTTGGCATATGAAGAACATCTGGATGGGGGACTCGATCAGCAGCACCCACATAAAAGAGTCTACTTTGTGGGCTAAGAGCAGATTTTGTGTGTACTTGAAGTTTGTGTTTTGGGGCAAACTTGTTTCGGTTCTTAGCTTACAAATCTCAGCAGCTCGGGTTTCGGTTTGAGGCGCCAACTTTTCTGGACCGCATTTTAGGCGTCAATTAAATGCCGCAAAAGTACATGGGCAATAAATATTAGAGCTGACAGATAACAACAAACTAGGAACGAACGACTACAATATTAGAATCAATAAATAACTCAACGATGATCTCAGTTGTACGGCTGCTGAGGGGCTTATTCCGTTTTGTGTGGATTACTTACAATGACGGAGAGATCAGTCGGATCGGGCCGATCGCCTGAGATAAGGCTAGTTGCCACTTTGTTTGCAAAACATTTTCATTTTCATTGAGCCAAGCATCAAATATCGCGATTCATAGTCAAATTCGGTTTTGAAATGCGGCTTGATGCTTGATGAGACTCTGTGTCCGATACCCCGTCACTAATCTAATAAATATTGAAAAGTTTTTCGTAGTTTTTTTGAACACCCATTAAAATGGCATTAATGATAATTGCTTGGAAAGTGGGGACAGTTCACCTCGACACGTACATATATAGAAATAGAGTCAAAAAGCCAACAATCAATAGTTCTCTATACTGCGTTCATGTGACTGTCATCAATTAGTGAACGCTTGACGTACTTTTGCTATTTTATAAATTTATGAAGTGCTCTCCCCCCATGTCTGTAAGCGATTGTGTGGGCTCTCCGGTACACCTGCCAATCGGTGGCACACATTTGAGGCAAAATTTCGCTGTTTTGTCAAACAAAATCCAGCCAGAGCCGAGTCGTAAAAGTTTGTTGAAACACGCAACATCAAAATATTTGACAGCGAACCGTTATGCCGACATTGACGATGATCCCAGAAGAGGAAAATATAATACTATGGCTCACGCAAACTTGATTTATGCTCACTAATTGTCTTATGAAGACGTTTAGAGGTTTTGGCTATCATTGAGTTTTCGAATACCCTAAAAACCCACTACTAATGTTTGCCAAAATCAATATGTTTTTTTTTCCACCTGTCACCCCTCATCAGAGCCTTTTAATCACCAATTAAAAAAACGACCCACAAAACTCACAGACCCCTAATAGCAAACATGGAAAATCAATTTTCCTAAAATATTCTTTGGGAATGGCGCTATTTCCCGATAATCCCCATATACTAAAGATAATGCCCGTATTATTAGTACTGGCAAACAAATGTCGAGCGTATCTATAGATACAAAGTATGTGTGTCTGAAAATATTTGCATATACCCGAGGCATATATAAAGTGCCTACCAATCGTCCGTCAAGTGCAGCCAAAAAATTTTGCTAGTCATTCAAAGGACAGACTGTTCGATCCACTCGGATCAACTCATTGGGACTGGGACAGAAATAGGGGCAGACAGGCAACCTGCCAGACACTTAATTGGTTGTTGTGCTTAACATAATAACAGCCGAGGAGGTCACATAATAGACACACCATCCATCCATCCAATGCAACCCCTCCAACCTGTCCTGGGGGTAGTTCGAGTGCCTTTCGACTGCCAATAGACTTATATTTTAGTTGGCTGGTCCGAAGGAAAGAGGTAACAAACTGCTTGCCAACAGTCGGTAGCACCGAATACATAACAAACGCACTGAGCACCAGTAGCCAGTATATAAATAATACAAATAGCCAGATAGAAGTTCTGGGCGCGACCAACCGACCGACTGACTTATAACAACGATAAAAAGCCTGCTAAACAACTTAAAGTTCGAAATGCGACGACAAGTGTCTAGAAGCGCCGGATGATGTCATTTTGGCAGTTTTATTATCGATTGTTTTTGTGTAATAATTAATTAAGCATTCGAATGTTTCTCGATTTGTCTGTCTGTAACCACAAAGTACCGCCAGCTGACCTTGAAATTCTATAGGATCATGTGTACCTAATACTTCCAAGGGGTATCTCTGTTGTGGAACGTCAAGTGCTTAAATTCCTCTTGCATTATCTTGGTGGGATTAGGGAAATAAAGATAAGATCCACACAGGTGACATTCGAATGTGGGTTAAATTAAAGAGAGACATAAAAGATCTAAAGCCCGACATTACTTACAAATCTTTCCCAGCACGTTCTTTCCAAAATATACTTTAACAAAACTGAAACCTAATATTAGAGTACCTTGAAAGCTATATTGGTTATACAAATTTTTTTGTTAAAAACAACCAGTTTAAATTTTTTTTTAAGTATAAATATCTTCTAAGATTGCAAACTTTTTTAAGAGTATCTTTATCTTTCTTATTCCCTATTTGAAAGATATCCCTATTCTTAAAGCCATTTTACCTCGTTTCTCCTTGATATGGCTGTCGTACTGGGAATTGCTGCGTGCGAAGTTGATCGACGCCATGGTGGACTGGAATTCGTGGTATTCCTGGTCACTGGGGGATTCGTTGCTGCGGCCACTTTGCGTTGCCAGAGTCTGATAATCCTGGCGCAGACTCTTGCTGAAAGTGCCGATGCCACTGAGGGCGTGGGCAGCTGATGCGGAGTGCGGAGTGCTAGGCGACGCGGATACCGGTGCGGATGCGGATACGGATGAGGTAGCGGATGCGGATGCGGAGGCCGGGGTTGTGGGTCGCGTGGGTGTGGACACAATCACTATACTGCTAGCGGGTCGACCCTCAGTATCTGAATCGTTATCGATGCCGGTTTCGTTTTCGTTGTCAGCCGCGGCGATATTTTCAATTCGTATCTGCGAGATATTCCCGGCGCCCGGCGACGTTTCGATTAGTTTGCGCGACGTCGAGGATGAGGATGAAGTGGATCTGGTCGTGGTGCTGGTTATCGTTCTGTGGCTTACAATTTTCCGTGACTCTTCCGACGAAGAACCGCTCAATTGGCACGTTGCAGCTGGACTAACCAGAGTGCCGGTTTGCGGTTGCTCCTTCGTGCCAATCGGCGTGGATGTTAGCAGGGTCTTCGTGGTGGTGCCCAGCGCCAGTTCTTTGGGCCTGGGCCTTTGCGGCGTCGACTCTGCGGTGGCGTTGCCACCCACCTGGACAGTTGTTTGTTGGTACAAACGCCGGCGGGGGTTGCTACCACCGCCCACGGTAATGTCAATGTTGCCGGTTGCCATGGGGATCTCCTGGCGACCAAACGAGTCGGTCTCGTCTCTCTGATAGTAGTCTGCCTCGGTCAGTTCCGATTCCTGTTCCAGCTTGATGAGAATTCTTCGGCCGCCGGCAGTCAGATCCACACTCCGCGGAGGAGTCACACTGGATCGCTCGCTGGAGTAGCTGGACCGGGACCAGGATGGCGAATCTCTGGGTGAGACATAGCCCTCGCCGTGGCGGTAGATCTTCTCCTCGGCATAGCCCCCATCGCTGGTCATTGAGGACGTGATGATGGTCCTTACTCCGTCGGCTGCGGGCACCTCTCTCACAGTTCTCTCGCCCTCAAGAAAGCGCTCCACCTCCTTAATGTCCTTTTTCTTGGTCCTGCGAGTGGTTCTCAGGGTCACATTAAACGGCGACAATTGCTCCTCCACGTTGCCCTGCTCGGCGCCAGGACTCATCCGGCTCGTGGTGCGGAGAGTGACGTTAAACGGGCTGGCCACCTGCTCGCTGGTGACTTCCACACGTCGCGGCGGAGTCGTATGCCGCAGCTGGACTTGCTGGAAGGCCAGCTTGGCTGCCTCCGCCTCGGCCAGGCCCCGCTGCCTCTCCTGTCGCAGCCGACGCTCGATTTCGTGGACATCAATCTCGAAAGGATTCTCGGCATCGTAGTCCTCCTGGTCGTCACCCAGACGCAACTCATCAGAGCTCTGCTCGGCGGGTCGCTTGGAAGGACTCGAACCATCGGACCATACCTTTTCGTACTGGGCCACCTTCTGGCGCAGTCTCTGCTGGTTGGGGGAGGGCGACTCCACCACAAACTCCTCACGGTTGGAGCTGCTCGACGTGGTCAGGGACGTGGTGATGGTTTTCATATATGTACGCGTCACCGTGGAGGTCTCCAGCTGTTGGTCCTGCACCTCCTCCTCCACGTGTTCTCTCGAGGACTTCTGCTCATGCGCACGACGCCGCCGAACAGCTGGGATAGGCGGTACGTCATCGCCGCCACCTCCACGCCCACCTTCTGCTCCTCCGCCGGCATCTATGATTGTTGGATCCCCTGGCTTGGATCCTGGATCTCCGCTATCAGCCATGATAGCATCGGTTTTTCTAGTTGTCCTTTGCTAAGCCAAATGGTCATCGGTTATGGGTTTGCCGTTCGGTTCGTCCTTTGTCCTCTCGCACGCCCGATTTCCACGCCCGTGTTTTCCACCCAAATGCAGAATTGATTTTTCTCACGCACCGCACACACACACACACTTTTCACCAGGCCTTTGCCGAATTTTCCTTTTTTGAACAACCCCTGAACGGCCTTCAGTTTATTTTTCGGCACGTAATTAAACTAGAATTTGTTTAAACGCAGAAACACGCTTCTTCCCTTTGATTATATTTGACACTGAAGCTTTCGGCTTTTCGGGGTTTTATTGCGAGACAATATAAAGTCGAGACCAGCCTGAGATTATCTCACGGGGCTGGGTTAGGTAAGAAATTTCGGATTTGTGCACACACTCTTCAAATTCTCACTACTCCCCGACCAACAAACATTCAAATTGGATTGAGTTTTGGGGTTTGGTTGGGTTTTTTTTCATTGCCTGGTGGGCAGGCGGCTTTATCACATTATGTCCGCCGATTCAGGCGTTCAGGGCGCTCCGCGATTCCAATCCGCAGTCGTAGAAAGCCGGTTCGATACTGACTAGCTGGATGGCTGAGCTCCCACCGACATCCAATATGCTACGCCTTGTCCAGTCCGAGCGCCGAGTCGTGAGATTCGTGAGGCCGGCAGAGAACCAGCTCCATCGCATAGTAATCGTAGTAAAGCTCATGTTACCCAGCAGCCTCTGTGGCTGTCTGTGTGTGTGGTGGTATTCGGTTCAAAGCCGTGAGAGTCCCGGAGAGCCAAGCCAAGAGACCAGGGTAGAACCGGCAGTGAGTGCTCAGAGTTTTATTTACGCATTTTGATGGATGTTGTTGTTACCACTCCGGCACATACTCACCAAGTTTAAAGCAACTGCTTGTCTTGTTATTATTTGGGGCTCAGAGGCGTAGTAGCCGGCTTTTGTCAAGGGGGGTTTTTGGGGGAATACTCCAAAATAGTTTCAGCGGAGTTAAAAATTAGAGTTCTACTTTCTTTTTATAAGATTTAGGCTAGTAAAAATATTAATTTAATATATTTAAGAAGACATTCCGATCACCATATAAAACTTTCAAAAACTTTATTTAAAACACCTATCAATTTTCATATAAAAAATCATAATTTAAGAATCTATTATTTTCAGTGTCGTTTTAAAAAAACGTTAATATTTAGCTTTCCTCAACTACGCAAAAGCTCCATTAAAAGGGTGGTGGTAGCACAACATTTACTGATAAGCCGCTCAGAGAATACCAGGTCTCTCCCTTTCTGGTAGTCTTAGGTTTTACATGAATGGGTGGCCGTTAACTGGGTGGCCTTTAAACACTGCGACCCTTTGTAATAATTGTAATTCCCTTGCACCTTCTCTGCATGACATCATAAAGCGTGAGAAAATATCAATTACACGGCCCTTGGGTGGTTGTTTGAGCCTATATGGATTATTATTATTTACACACAACCCTGGTGGATCGCTTTCAGTACCCGAGCTTTCGGGCTGCAGCTGAGAGCCACAGTGGCTGCACCACCCGAATGCCCGAATGTGGGTCAGCATGCGCCGTCCAAGCTCAAGTTACGGCGCTATGAATTAATGAAAGTCATTCATGAAAGTCGACCGGAGAGGGAAATCCAAACAAATGTTTGTTTTTTTTCTTTTCAGAGCCGAGCTTACATAATCACGAACAGAAAATAAACAAGTTTGCCGTGTATTTTGAAAAACAGACTAGTCTAATGACGTCACGCTTTGGTGATTGCATCTGATATGACCGACAGAGTGTTTGTTGACAAGCCTAGAAGTTAGCCTTGGAATCTGGAGTTGCACCTCAGACGGCCAAAAGCAATTTGCTGGCAAGGCAATTGAATTAGTAATGCATAGACAAATTAATATGCTAGACTGGACAAAAGGTCGAAAGCGAAAGATAACTAGATCTACTGCATCACTATTAGTGGCAATATCTCTCAAAGCGTTCCATCTCAATAATAACCCCACTTTTGACCGCCACTTGGGGCATCTTGTAAAATATAAATTACCGAAAAACATCCATAAGCCAAAAGTAAACATAAGTGGCAACAACAGCTGGCCCCTAAAATAGTGCCAACCCACAAAAAAAAAAACAAAAGAGGCAACCCAAAGTGGCGCCTTCTTGAGAGAATTCACATGTTCAATTTCATTTTACAGCATAATTTTGTTTACGAGCTGCCCTGGGTGTGAGCCACTGCAACGGTTGTAAATTGTAAAGTGGGTGCCACTTGAAAGGCAATAACTAATTAAGTTTAAACTTATGTAGATAAGTGTAAATACATAAGGGAGAAACATAAATTATAATTGGAAAGTCTAATAAAAATATTGAGAAAGAGATTTACATTAGGTAAAATTCCAATAAATTCCAAATTCAAATAAATAGAACCCTTTCAAATATATAGAACCAACCATTCAAATATATGAAATTGTAGAAACACTTTTATAAAAATGTTTTTTAAATAAAGGGTTATAGAGGGTATTTATCTACTATACTACACTATACCTTACTTTACCATGCTACTTTATGGTACCATACTACTGCACCATTACCTTGAAACCAACATAATAGCTAAATTAGGTAACTAGGACTATAAAATAGTAATAAAGGAATTCATATGTATGTAAGTTTTACAAAACATATATTAACTTCCCAAAGAATCTCAATTTTTACTTTTTTCTTTACCAAAAATGATTGCAACATCTCTAGGTTACTTCTCAAAAATCAGAACCAAATCTCCTATTTGCTAAACCACAAATAGCATTAAAATTGGTTAACCTCAAACGCAGTCAACTGATACCCTCAATATGTAAACTTATGACCTAGAAGAAAATATGTATTCCAATGCCTAATTTTAGACTGTCTATATTTATATCTCAATCCTCCAGCACTCAATTGGACTTTGGAGCAAACATTTCGCATAAACAATTATTTCCGTTCCCGAAAAGTTCGATTTTTAGCACTTTCAATATTTCTTTTCCCCCACGATGTATTCAATGTTATCCGTTTATTTCACACCTAGCCATAAACTTGCTCACTTTAATGGAATGGCAAACGAAAAAGGCTTCTTGATCTTCAAATATTGACTTCAAGGCACCACAATCGTTTCTTTAAACAGAAATTCATCTAGTGGAAAGATTTCCAAAAATATATATAGTATGTAGTTCTACGGTTAAAGCTATGGGTCTCTTTAAGAGGCAATTAAAGGCATTCAAATTTCTTTAAAGATCGGGCCAAGAAAGTTTATTTGCGAAAAAATTAAGCTATGTAAACGACATAAACTATTAGCTATACACAAATACAAATATTTCAACCGACCGGACCTCGGATAAGTCGAAAAGCAATTAAAATAATGCGAACTGGGCAACTGTCAACGATTTGATTTGTTTGAATTGCGGAATTTGCATATGTCTAGATATCATCATCCGTGCCCGATTTCTACGTGCGAAAAATTATAAAATTATTTTCGAAAATCCGTATTTTTAGCTATCCTACGCCTACGTATATACCCCGATATATATCCAACTAACTCATATGTTTCGCATTTGATGAAGGCGCGTGGGTGTTCGACAAAAACGTTTATTGTAAGATACAAAATAGTCGTATATATTTGCAAACATTTTGATCAAAATTTATAGTGTTGGAATTTTGTATCATTTTATTTCGGATTTTATTGGCACAGGATTTGTGGAATTATATAAAATCTCTATGTTAAGGCTGTCAAATAGATTTAGATTATTACACCTAAACATGACAGGCGATTAAAATTTATAAATATTACAACAAACATAAAGAATATCCGAGATATTAAGACTAAATGACATCAACTACCAGATAGAATGCATCATCTTTTCGTCTACTAATCTTTGTAGAGGTAATTAATCATTTAAATGTATGTCCTATTTGTTTTAAAAATAAATAAGTGTATACACACAAGTCCCATAAACAAGCAACCAAAACGATGCAACTGAAAACCCAGAAACTCTGAAACTCTATTTTTAATCGCATTTATCCCCGTGACAAGACAAGTTCGAGTAGAGCAAGCCAAAAAATAAGTTAACTAAAAAGAAAAATGCTGCTAAATTTGAAAATAAACCCAAAAGCAGGGCGAGAAAATTATACGAAAATAGCCCAGCCAGCCCAGTCCCATCCCGTAGCGTCCCTTGAGATATTTCATACGAAACAAGCCCCTAAAAATAGTATAGCCCAAAAGTGAATCAAGCGGCAAGATGCAGCCAAGTTTGTTGTCGGGAAACTTTGGGGCCTAACAAGACAATGGGATTGAAACCAGACAGAACAAATGCAATTTATAAATAACAGAATGAAGCCATTTCCACTGTGACATCAGCACCGGACCTGGCATCATCACCGCACTAGTACACCGGATTGGAACATAAAAAGGCATTCACACCGCGTTGTGCTTTTGTCTATAAACAACTTTTCCGAATAATCGAGGCAATACTCGTTGCGTTTCAATATAAAAAGTGATCTCATTGGTGGTTTCACTCGTCGGGCTAAGTACGCAAAACAAAAGGCTCAAACCTTGTCTATCAGCTTGCAACAAAAAGCGATCACACGCCGCTCAATCAATTATATTCGACTTGTGCCAGTAATTGCAGGCCAAAGGAAATGGCTTTTTTGCATTGTCCTAGGCAAAAATAGGCTTATAATAAAATATAAATATTTTAAACTTATGGTATTTGTACTTATCGGTTAACCAGAGGCAGGCGATCGAATTAAGAAAAAGCATAATCAGTACCAGTAAAAGAAAACCTCAGAACTTTAATGTAAAACTTTAAGCTTTTAAGTATACAAGATTCAAATCTGCTTAATGTTAGAAAAAGAATAGATTTCAAATACCTTCAAGAAACCCTCAACTAAACAAACTGACAGCTAGATTGATAAATGATTTAAATATAAAAACCAAATATTTTCTTGCACCACCCCCATACGTGAAAAATATTAAATAACAATGATTATCTCATTCTCAACACTTGCCAATTGCTAAAAGCCACAAACATATTCCCAGATCTATACACAATGTATGAGTGGATAACAATTCATCGATTCGTTTGGCATTCAATGGTTTTGGTCGGTATTGGCGATTGCAATTTGCACGATTGCCAAAAAAATTTATATTCAGCTTCCATTTTGGCGACAACATTATGTCATTACCTTTGACTGAGCGCACCTAAACCCAAAAACCGAAAATAGCCAACAAATAGTGTTCGAACCAAGCGGCGAAAGGTGAAATAAAGACCAAGAATCTAGGGCATAGTCTACTTTCGAGCGATGATGTCAGTAGGACGGGCTGGGCCAGTGCTGTTGATGCGGATACGGATGATGGCAGACGTGGGCCGATGGCGGTGTCTGGGTCAAGTTCGGTTGACATTTTACAATAAACAAAAAGCACATCGCTCTGATTCAACAAAGTTCAATGCTTTGCCAAGAGAAAATCAAATAATTTACACGTTATTTGTGTGTTGAAGGGGACGAGCTGATAGATGTCACCTTAAAGAATTCAGCAATGACTCACACACGGCACCCAGAAAGACCTAGACCAAGAGTATTAGGAATCAGTATCAATAAGATCTTACCTTGCAGCTGCAATATCGTCATCTGATATTCGGCAAGCTTCTCGTCGATATAGTCCTGCGATTGATTCGCAATGATTTCGGCTGTTGACGGGCCAAACTCCTCTTCGTCATCGTAAATCACATAGGATTTAGGTTGCGGAGGCTCCAATGGCACGCCCACGAAATCGATCTGGTCCTGGGCCAGTCCTCCGTGTGCTCCCTGTCCTCCGTGTTGTCTCGGTTGTGGTGGTATGAGCGGTGCCCCCTGCTGCTGGTAATACTGCTGCGGGGGAGCCGGCTGTGATGGTTGGTACTGATGATGGGACAGCGGCGTCTGTCGATTGCTGTAGTTGAAGTCCGAGCTCGGAGTCTGGCATACGATGGGCGATGGGGTTGGGGACAGCTGGAACGAGCTGGTCGGCTGACCGTACGAGTTCTGGTGCTGCAGCGGCGCCGGACGGAAAGGACGCGGTGCCGGCGATGCTCCTCCATAGCCGTACCCGGCTGCCGGTGGCTGTTGGTAGGGAGCCGGCGATTGATTGCCACCCGGCCACTGGGGACGGGGGTGCGGGATGTTGGTGCTGCCGCGCTGACCCCTCACCTGGTTAATCGGTGCCGGTGACATCGCATGACCGTAGGGCCTGGGTCCGGAAATAATTGGTGGCGGACTGGGCGCCGTTGTCCACGGCGAGGGCGGACGATACAAGAAGGACGAGGGCGACGGAGAGGCAGGATTGGGGGCCCGTGGATTCCAGCCACGTGGCCCGTTCCCGTACGGCGGCGGTTGCTGCCCGGACATCTTCACGGCAATCGGTTAACGCGATCGAAGGTAAAGTATTGATTTTTTGCGGGTTTACGATTTAGATTTTGGTATTATGGCACAAAGACTTTTGGACGGGGCTATGGCGTTTAATTTAACATATTACACTGCCGAAAAAAATTGCAAAAAGCAAATTAGCACTAAAATTATATAAAATATTTTTTCTTTCAAAAAAGATGATGTATCACATGTTCATTAGCACAAAACAATCACCTGAACGTCCAACCTAATTATGTCAAGTGGACAAAATAGCATAAAAAATACGCAACTGAAACATAAATAAATCATGACCTATTCTCGAAAGGCGGTACCTAGCCAATTTCACCAGACTATATACACTATATCTATATGATCTCTAACGGAAGTGGTCGAAACATTTATACAATCTTTTTAAAAATGGCTCTGACGTTAGAGCGGGAAGACTGAGAGGTTTCCAAAAGAGTGTTCAGTAAGATGTCACATATATTAGTCGAAATATATATCTTGAACAGGCTCATAATTTACAATGTATGAAAATTACCATTATGCTATATAGATTGAAAAAAGCAAGAGCATCATGGAAAAAAGGAGACCAGCACGCGGATTAGCTTCTGTCAAAATTGTTTGAAGGCCTCAAAAGTCTGAGGTATATATTCTTGGCAGAGTGTACACAGGAACCTTGAGAATGTCTCATAACATTGATAGTATTGGATGCTCAGTGAAAGTGAAATTAGCTTTCTATATGTATGAGTTGGTTTAAGAAAATAATTGAAAGTTTTTCAAAGTAAACAAAATAAATCAAGAATAGAATCATAAATCACTTGAATAATAGAAGTAATGAAAGATTAATAAACATCCTATAAACATTTTTTTGAGGAATTTAAGTCTATACAACTTTTAATAAAACTGGAAAAAAAAACTGAAAAATGAAAAAATGTCAACTCTTAAAATTTCTTAAAAAAATAAATGAAGATATTTCCAGAAACATTTTTGCATATTTTTGCTAAGAAACTGTTCGTCATCTGCTTCCAATATTTCAATTCATTTATGGATTGTCCAAAAAACCAAAAATTGCACAGTGTAGGCGGATGGGATGGGATCTGAATCAGTGTCGGTCCACCAGGGGCACCACTTAAAAGCACACGTCCCCCATCGCACCACTGCCAAGAAGAAAACTCATGCAGACTTTTCACTTTGCGGCGGCGGTTTTTGGTTGTTGCTTTCGAATTATTCAAAAATAGAAATGAACTCAGTTCGTTAAACTTTTGGTCGGAAACCATGCCGAGAGCAGAGAAAAGATGCCAACGTTCCGAGTGCAGCCTCGCATGCTTCACTTTATTCTGGGACCACTTTTAATTGCCATCCACTTTATGGCACTATCTCTTTTTTTTACATCCAGCGATATTAGTTCATCCTTAGGTTGAAGCACTTTCTATAATATTTATTTCCCGCACCGGAAAACGTGGAAAAACACGTTTTTTCTCAAATCCCAAAGCACTTCACTGTCGATTATGTAATCCATTGAAAATTGGTAATTATTTGGCAAAAATTCATTGAAATCTTCACCAATCGTTTAAGACACAAAGCCAGAAAGGCAAATTACTTTGTAACGTTACACACCGTATATTTGCTTTGATTTCACGCTACAATTCTTTGCGCGAACAATTCCAATTGAATTTCTATATATTCAGATATATATATAGATGAACGTGTATATATGCGTGGATGGCAGGAAAGAAGACTTTTCAATGAAAAACTTTAGATGTTAGAGGAAGAACCGAGAACAACACTCGACGAGCACGAAACACTAACTGAATCGCAGGAGCCAACTAGCCGCCGATCTTTGGGAAATTTCGAAAATTTTCGAAACGATTCGATACGATCGGCACTCGGAAAAATCTGCCGGCTTTTTTTTTGGAGCATGCGCCCTTGAGTAAATTGTGCTCCTCTTTGTTTTTGTTTTGATCAGTTCATTCTAAACAAGGCTAATGGGGAAAAAAGGGGGCGATAAAGTATCTTGAAGAACGCAGTACACAAAAGTTGGCGTCCCAAGCGATGAAAGAAGAAATGAATGATTTTGCAAATAAATAATTCAAAACGAACCACTACCAAAGTGTATATATTTTATATGTTCTAACAACAACAAAATAATTACAACAACCGACGAAAACAAAAACAAAAAAAAATATTTAAAAACAAAATTTATTAATTTTTTTTCGGGCTTGCTTAGGTGATACCTATGAGAATCGAGGAGGAGGGCACTATTTTTTAAATTAATTGTTTTTAAAAATTTTATTTTATTACGACCAAAGTAAACCATCTTCTGGAATATCGTCATACGCAAAAAAATGGTAAGGGCTTACTCTTTATTAGCATCCGACCATAAGGTGCCCATAAAAGTAGGCAATGAATATATGAGTGTTTACATTTTCAGATTTATAATTTATTAATTTATTTATAATTTATTATTTTATTTATTTATTAATTTTATAACTTATATTTTATATGTAATAAAACAACAAAATAATTACAACAACCAACAAAAACAAAAAAAAACAAAAATATTAAAAAAAAAAATAAATAATTTTTTTGACTTTTCGGGCATACTTAGGTGCAACCTATGAGAATCGAGGAGGAGGGCGCTATTTTTAAGATTAATTATTTTTAAAAATTTTATTAAATTATGTCCAAAGTAAACCATCTTCTGGAATAATATCATACGCAACAAAATGATAAGGGTTTACTAATTATTACTATACAACTACTAGGTGCCCTTAACAGTAGGCAATGGATATATGAGTATTTACATTTTCAGGTTTATAATTTATAAAAAATCAATTTTTCCTTTAAAAACTATCAAAGATTTAAGTTAATTAGGGGTGTAAGGAAGGTTATAAGTATTTAAGGATTTTATGAAATTATTATAGGAATTTTAGTATGTAACCAATAGGGTATAAAGTGAATTTTGAAAAAAGGCCCAAGTCCTTATCTGCATTATTATAAAGGAAATAACATCTATGGTCGTTCGATGATATGACACCTATAGGATATAGTCCGCCGATTCTTATGAAATTTTACAGCACACCACGTGCTGTAAAGCGCAACTGTAAAGCGAAAAAACTGTTAAGCTACAGCTGGTCTGTTAAACAAACAGCTGTTGCTCACAGGGTGCCTCTTGTCAAAATATATTTGTGAACAAATTTTCGGTAAAAATAATGGCCAGCAAGCAATTGGTAAACAAATTGGCCAACCTTGGCCGCCCATGTCAAACATGGATGGCACCATTGGCCGCCGTTCGCCACAAAAGCTCTCGGTGCGATATCGAGAAGGTCACTCACACCGGCCAGGTAAGAAAATAGCTGGGCACTCGGAACCCATCCTGCGATTACGCAAACATTTCGAATAAGTAAACATTTAATTGGTTTCCCCCTAGGTTTTCGACAAGGATGACTACCGCAACGTGCGTTTCACCAACGCCACACGTTATGTGAACGACAACTGGGGCATCAAGCTGATCGAGGAGGTGCCTCCCAAGGAGTGCACCGAACGCGTGGTGTTCTGTGATGGCGGCGATGGTCCCCTTGGCCATCCCAAGGTGTACATCAACCTGGTGAGTTAATCTAAACCATTCAATGACCTATCAATTATTGATTATGCTTATTTTAGGACAAGCCCGGAAATCACACCTGCGGCTACTGTGGCCTGCGTTTTGTTAAGAAGGATGAGCATCATTAGGCCATGACTTTTGGCTCCTAAGCATCTTAAGATCCTGTCTATCCTGTTGCTCTAGCTTAAATTTTAACCTGAATAAAATTACACCTCAAAATGGCCACGACAAGAGAGACTCGAAATCCTTATCAGCCAAGTTTGGCTTTGCTTTTGGGAAACACCTCTAGAAAGATCAGTTTCATTTAGTTACCCCAAGAAGAAAGGACATTTTATTGCACAACACTTTATTTGCATGTTTCTTAAATGATTTGTAATGCTTTGTTGCATTGTGTCCTATGTAAAAGTTAGATAAATCAACTTAACATTAAAGATTAGTTAAACTAAGAAACTGAAAAAAAAGAAAAAAAATTGAATTCCGATTCAAAATACTGTGAGTTGAACTCTACTGCCTGGACAGGGAGCGGATCAATTCACCGCAGGGTGGGTGTATAAATGTTTCAAGGGTGTATAATTAACAAAACTAACTCATATAGCGTATAGTATACATATTTGTTTGCCTGGTAAGCGGTAATATATTGTATGGTGGTTTGATATTTTTTTCGTTTTGCTGCTAAATCACTACGGGCACTTTAGATGCTGACGATCGCAGCATTGAGACACAGACAGTACCACGAGGAATCAATACAATAATACACACAATATCTGCCGCCGTTTCGGCGACTGTTGGTTGGTTGGTTGGTTGGATGCCAGCACTCAGGGGATTGGAATGACCATCAGGGGATCATTGCAATCCGGCTGGACTGCTCTCAAACTCAAAAATGTCACGTTTGCGCCGTTCAACGTGAGCCTGCAATTGCTGGTGCAATCGCCCATGCATCTTTCCGTCTCCATCGCAATCTGGGAGATGTTGCCACCTCCTGAATCGAGCTTGGCCTGCAGAGAGCCCTGGATCGGGGAAATGAAAGTGGGGCACCACCCATCTGGATGGTGGACCCATCTCACAATATATATATGCCCAACGATGGTCACAAGCCAATCGCCAGTCAATAAAATCATGGTCAATAATCGTCGTCATCTGTTGTCTCAAGTGCGTTTCATCTAAAACACCAAACACTAAGGAGAATGTAAACTAAAATGTAGTAGGTTCTAATTTGGATGTTGTGTGGATGCGGTACTATGTTGCCGACGAATCGCCTTAGCCTATCTTCATACTGTTGCTGTTGTTTCTGTTGCTGCAGCAGAGATCGCTTATCTTGATTGGGGCAATAGTTGTTCACCACTGGTCACCAGAGGTTCCGTGGCATGGCATAGCCTTCTTTTGTCACGAATATGTTGCGATCGCCATGGGGCGCCGCAGCACGCTTCTGCTCCCTCTCCTGGGATGACCAAGTTCTCGGTCCCTTACCCATCCCGGGCGAAGTGTCAGCGCCCTCGTGAGTAACGGTGGTCTCCTTGCGCCCGTCTATCATCCTGGTAACAGTGGTGGTCTTATTGCCAGAAGAGTCCTGAGCTACCTTGGTGGTCTCATAGCTGCCGTCCGGCTTGCGCACCGTCTTCGTCATAACACTCTGGCTGAACATCTTCGGACCCTATTTTAACAAAATAAGTGTTTTTAGTTGATGAATCATAGTCACTTGCTTCCAATGGTTTTCACCTGATAGTTGCCATCAAAAACACCACCAAAGGGAGTCATGCCACTTCGCGGCAACATCGGGGTCATGGGAGTCATCATGTCCGGCTTGTTGTTCCTCGGAGGACGTTGGGCGCGAGCGAATGACTTAATCTCTCCATCGGCGGATATGGTGCCATGAATACGTCCCATGATCAGCTCCTCATCCGAAAGCTTTGCGTGCTGATGAGTCCTACGGTAACCTCGTTGATTCGAAGGCAAAATATTGCCCACTTCCGGTTCGCTTGCTTCAACCTTCTCTCCGGGATTCAGACGCTGGATTAACGAGTGCAGCTGATCAGCATAGATCCTAGGTGAAGGCAAAATGAGTTTCTCTCATAAACACTTTTGAGTTTAAGTCAACTTACTCGCCGTCCAAATCAGTGTCCAATGAGATGTCCTTTTGCTGCTCAAATTGCTTCAGAATCTTGCTTTCGAAGCCCGGTTTCAAAAAGTCCTCCTTTAAGTCCCGCTCAAAGCCATCTGAAGGGAGTTTAAAGTAAATAGATATAAATAAATTACATTAAAGCTTATAAACTAAACTTACCATCATTATCGTTCAGCGATTCCAGAAGCCGTTGCAGCTGGCGCTCGAAATGCTTCTGCATCTCCAAAGGACTGGTGAAGACCTGGATGGCGAACTTGCGATCATCGTCGAAGAGCTCGTCATCGGTCTCCGCCTCCTCGAACCACTGCGGCTTCCTGAACTCATCCTTGTTGGAAGCAGACGTCGAAGAGCTGATGGGTGAGAGGAGAAAAGTGAGGGGTAGGATGAGAAATAAATTTCCACCCTTCGGGCCCAATACGCAGCCTCCGAGCACACACACACACATACGAAAAGAAAAAGCAGCCCACACACTGCCAGGCGCTTTTCCGTTCGGTGTGCGTGTGTGTATCCTGGCAAAAATGTATCTATCATGGCAGGTGCCTGGTTATCGATCCGTCGGTGGAAAACGCCGCAGTGCCGCAACTTTTGCCCCATTATTTTTAGACTTGCAATGTAATTAGCTTGCATAATACAGCATTTTAGCTTTGCATTCGACTACTCACTCCTGCTCCTTGGCCGTCTCGGACTGGAACATTTTCTTGAGTATGTCCATTCTAATAGCTCCGCTGCTGATAATTGTTAGAAGATAACTTAAACGCTTGACAGGGCGCAAAGCAAAGTGGTTAAAGGAAACTAAAAGAACCAAAACTACGCAAATGTTTACAGATCTCAGCGATTCCTGTTCGGCGCTTTTATTCTTGTTTTTTTATGGTTTTTTATTTTGCACAACCGTACACGACACCACGACCAAAATTTTTGCCCGAAAAAAACTGTCAACAAAACTGGCAGTTGACAGCCGATCAGCTGACTTCGTGAGCAGTGGCCCGTTCGTGAAATAGTTTCGAGGTCCTGCCAGCTGGTCACACTGTTTGGCGCTTAAATTTAAATTTTAAGTTAATATTCTCAAAAAGTTATGCAAAATACAAAAGAATTTATAAATATGGTGATTGTAAATGTTCAGTTACTGAGATGCTAAGAAAATTCTTCTTTTTTTTAGATGTTTAAAATCTTAATTCTTAAACCGAAGCTAAGTTTATTTTATTTCACATATTTCCCTATTTTTAGATTTTATTGATTTAATTTTTATAAATAGTTTATGGCTGCATTCAGTGTCATATTTTGGCACACATTCATTTTAAATTCCGGTTAGAGTTGATCCGAATTTCGGCCAATTGTTTCCTGGTCTTGGTTCGGTGGGTCATTTTATCTGCTCGGCTTATCAACCAGTTATTGCGGTGACTGTCTTGTTTGTCGTTTTGTTGTGTTGTGTGTGACCGCAAATTGTCTGATAAGTGATAACCGAGCGTAAGAATCGGCACACCGCAGATCTGGGCTCCCAAATAATTCCCCAACTGCCGTATGTAAATGAACACAGAGACTATCCACGATTTATGGAGGCACAGGTCTGAGTTGGAGCCCTACTAACTGCCATTCCCCTAGCTTATCAGCACGTAATCCACCCCATTCCGGACTTATCTCCATATAGTATATAACCATGACCGATAATAAACTCCCGCCACAACGATAAACAAAAGGCTTTGTTATTATATATTCCTTTTTTTTTTTAATTATTAAAAGTGTAGAGGTTATATGTGAGGTGACCACAAAAGCACTTGCCATAATAATATTTATACAAAGAACACGCACGAAGCATATAAATCTCATCAGTAGAGCTCGACAGGAATCGGGATGGGGTTGGGGGTATTTATGTGGACCATAACAATAATTTCGAAATAAACAACAGTACTGGCTTCTAATCATCTGGTTTTCACTTTAACGGCCCTTGTCAACAAAGGGGTATTGGTTGTGGGATAACAATTGATGCAGTGACTCCTGGACTAGCTGGCGGCAGGCTCGAACTTGCATATGACGGCGAACATCGCCTCGCCACCCAGGTACTTGGCCAGCCAGCGGTTCTTAATCACGGCCAGCTTCAGGGTCTCGCAGCCGAAGCGGGCGTTTAAGTTTGTGTGCAGTGCACGGCCCATGCCCTCGATCACGAGCAGGTCAGTCTCATTGGCGGCGATGGCGTCGCACAGCTCAGGCGGCAGGGTGCGCATGTCCAGGCAAGGACCAGACTGCCCGTTGGCGTACACTAGCAGTCGTCTGCTTCTCCAGGCCTCCGATAGCACCTCACACTCTCGCGAGCACTCCTCCAGAAGCGACTCCAACTCTCGACTCGTTACATCATTGAGCGATGGCTCGCTATTGGCGCAGAGTATCACTTTGGTACCTCGTTTAATCAGCTCCCTGGCGAAGGGTAGCACTCCTAGTACCACATCCACACCGCTATTGTCCACAAATACCACAGCGCATTTATGCGGTTCGCCCTTGAGACGCTGCAACCAGTTATCCAGGTTGTCCAGCAGCCAGGGTCTTTGCTCTATGCGGTCCAAGGCGGAGTGTAGTCCAAAATTACTGTCTTGCTCCAGGATATTGGCTATAGCCTGGGCGCCCCAGTCAAACATATTGCCGGCCAGCACCCCTCGCACCAATTCCGTCCATTTGGCATCCTGATCCTGCAACGAATCCAGTTCCTGGAGCCGCTGCTTCAGCTTGGATACGGCGGAGGCGTTCTCCAGTTTCTTCTGGGTGAGCCAGGGATCTGTGAATCCATAACGCCGTAGCATAGTTTCGTTGAGTTTGAGGAGCTCACTGGTCCCTAGGACCACTTTGCCGCTGTTCTGCGGAATGTTCCTTTGGTGCTCCTCAAGCCGCTGAATGTAGGCTTCGCGAAACTGCTCCGCCCTCTGGGCGGCTGTGGTATCCTCTGCAGCCTGAGACTTCTCAGCCACTTTGGCGAACTTTGTAGCCAGATCCCGGAAGCAGGCGAACCAATAGTCGGCCGCTTTGGCATCCGTGTTCAGGTCCAGCGTGTCCGGCTGGTAAACAGCCGGATCCGGCAGCAGGCTGCAGCTATGCATAGCGGCGCGTGTTGACGACGCAAAGCGAGTGAATTTTAGCGCAGAATTTGTCGCCGTTTTTGTAATAATTACAAGTTGGGGTAGGGTTGTTGAGAGCATATCGTATCGACACGAATGTTTATCGGTTAAGTTTGTGAATGATGACAACACTGGACTGGGCGGCAACACAGGTTGACAGTTCCTGGGTTTCTAAACAGCTGTGACGTGTAACGGTTTATCTAAAGTAAATAAAAATAATACAAGATATTAACGTTGGTCAGGTTTTTTTTAATTTATGATGCTACAGTTATTAAGAATTAATATTAGCAATCAAATTTGATTTCTTAGCGAACTGAAGTAGAGCCAGTAGAAAGACGAATACTCCCCTCAGTTAAGAGGAAGCCATTTTTACCATAAAAACTCATGTATATTCAGATTCAAAAAGTATTTTTATGATTTTAGACACACTTCCAGCATTTACTTTGGTTCACAGAGCCTATATTAAACCACGGTAGAAAGCACAGGATATATAATAAAAAATTCGATATCCATTCGATATTAGAAAATGGATCCATGAAAGTGCAGAGAGAAAGTAAATTGAATATCAATTAAAATTGATAAAAATAAAAATTGATAAAATTTGTTTCATTTTCCCGCCAAAGCCCGCAGATTTTAAATTTTAAGCTTTTTCACAAAAAAATTTAAAAATACCAAAAACTACCAGAATCAAAGCTCTTTATTTAAAATTTTTGTAGTGTGACCAAATTTTTATGAAAAAAATCAAGACAAAGATAAATAAAAATTGGGCACATCGATACCCGAGTAGCTGGTCACATTACACATTCAAGATTTTTTATGCATAAAACACTACAATTGGCCACTGCAACTAAGAGCAGGAACCGTGAACTACAATAGAACAAAGTGCGTGTGTTTTTGTACCGAGACCAATCGAGCCAGGTAAATTGCACTCTAAGTCATAAGTCGAGCGAAAGACGCTAAAATAAATTTAAAATCCTAAGCCAAGCCTTGCAGACGGCTTGCGCTTGTTGAGTGTGTGTGTGTGTGCGTGAGTGGTGCTACTTTTGAAATTCTGTATACCCGCTCTGGGTCCGCGTCAGTTTTAAGGAGGGAATTGTGACTTAAATTCAAACAAAGACAAGATTCTGTCCAGTGTTTAGTGTCTAAATAGTTAGATGCTCTTCGATACAGTATGGTACAAGTGCGGCAGACGCCGCCGACGCACACACATACACAGGCAGCAGCCGCACACATCCAAGCAGGCGAAAAGGACGCCATGGCTAAGTGTGGGAAGATCTTTCGAAATTCGATGAAAACCTCCATTGTTTGGCGTAAAAATGAAGAAAAGTTAGATGAAAGATGTTTCTTGGTAGACGCACCCAACCCCCGCATAATATCCTATTTTAAATTTCACCATATTTTTGAGTTGCCTTTTCACAATTTTTGGGTGTGCCGCCTTCAATGCGTCGGCGTTGCCACCACGTCGGCGTCCGCAGCAGCAGCGCAGGCAGCGTCGCCGGCAGAACCATGCCGGTGTGGCTGGCTTTGTATCCGTTTCGCCCTCTCTTGGCTTGTTCTCTCTCGGTTGGCGGTTGGCGGTTAGTTTCGCTCTCCTTGCCTGTTCTCCGTTTTAGTCCTGTGTCCGCTTTGTGCGTTTGCTTCGCCTGGCTGCCTGGCTGCCTTGCCTTGCCTTGACTTCTGGTTCTTTGTCGTTGTCTCCTCTTTGTTTGCATTGTACGCCCGATTACACTTGCCAGCAAGTTTCTCGCTCGAATATCCTTGTGCAAGGTGCGCATGCCAGTGTTCACTGTTGCTCTGTTATCCCCTCCCCCCCTGGTAGACTAGTAGAAATGTGCATGTGAGCGACTGCTGTTCCCGTTTTGCGTTTCACTTTGGTAGCTGGCTGAGATTATCATGATCGAACACGAGGATCGGATCGGATCGCATCGAATCGTCTTTATTTATTCTGCACTTTTGTTACGAAAAACTGCGACGCAGCTGTATTCGTTCGGTCGTCAGTCACTCAATCGCCGGCTGGGAGACAGCCAGCCACCGCCCTAACTGGCGTCGCCTACATGCCTTTGTATGGGTATGTACTTGCGTGCCCCCCTATACGTGTGTCGTCGCCATCCGAATGTATTGGTCCTTCAGCCAATAAAGTGGGTGGGCAGCAGAAGGTGAAGAAACAAAGTACCATGTCTTGATTGCCACTGCATTTATTTATTATTTATTGAACAGAAGAATTATTTAAAAGAGGGAGCTTGGCATTGAGGAATTTATAGTTACTAGGGACTCAATGGGTATACCAATCCTAAAAATCCGAATTCTGCTGAGAAGGCCATTGCCCCTCCCTCCTCCATTGAGAACTTGTCGGAGGCTTCCCTTGAAGTGGTCTCCGATTACCACCAGAATGTATACAATATTTGCTCGTCGATCACTGAGGACGAGGGTAGAGCTGGTGCTATGCCTTTATTGGTGAATTTGTCAAGTAAACATTGTGGAGCGTTAGGGGCTGGGATGACAAACATACCGTTGCCTCAAGTGCGAATTGCGGTTGGCTTTCTGAGTCTCAAAAGCCACAATTGACCTTAAATTTTTCGCTTGAGTTCAACATATAGTGATTGCTTGCTAAAGTGACTGTTCCGGATAAGATTGACTAACTTTTAGGATTCTAAACAAAGATTTTACATTTTAAGTTCATGAGAACTCAAGAAATCCCAGTGTATTCAAAGGTATCGAATGCTTTCTATTGTGGGGAACAGAACCAATCTTTTTTTTAATAATGGAGAGAAGTCTGGCTGGCCATATGCAGCTCAAAGTCCGAAGCTCAATTGGGGGGCCTGGGTTGGGAGCTGGGTGTAAGCGAGGCAGAGTGTTGAAAAGTCTCTTGTCACCGATACCGCGCGACACACACATATGGCCACAAAGCGGGCGAATTTCTCGTTTAATATGCAAACATCTGTGTGAAAGATGTTTCGTAGCTCGCAGAGCAGATTTTCTTTCAGAGTTTTCTTAACGAAAATTGGATCCCCTCCCCTACCCACCCCAACAGCTTCAGGCCACTTGAATCCGGCCACTAATTCCCCTGGAATGTTCAGGCACAAGCATAATTGCTTCAGTGCCCACATTACTCGTTGTTGTGCGGCATTTGGCGTGGCGAATGGGCATTGTTTTAATGCCAAATCAACAGAAATATGAAATATATTTGTTGTAGACCGCCGCCTCACCGAAAATCAATCGCAGTAGCGCCCCGGCTACAAAAATAAACAAAAGAATCATCATCGGGGCTGGGGAGATGATAATCGTCCGGCACTGAAGACGATCCAATTCTGGGATCCGATCTTTTCGCACCCCACTACACCCACTGCCCACACAGACCCCGCCTTGGTCCGAGAACTTTATTTAAATTTAAGCTCTTGGAGGCATTCAATTTCGTTGTTGCGGTTTTCTGAGTTGCCTTTGTTGCTTATCAATGCCTCAATTTGTTCCCATATCTCGCAGATACATATATAAGTATCTCCAGAGGTACAGTGAATATTCAAATAATAACACCCGGATGGATCGACTCACTTTCTCGCCAGAATCCTATCTCGTTTTATCACCATCTTACATTCTATTACAAGTTCCATTAACCTCGCGACCACAGCAGCGATTTATCTTGAATTGGAGTGGATTGGAGTTGGAGAGTGGTGTGGTATGGTATGGATAGTGGAGAGAGTACCCCCACAATTGGCGCTGCATGCGTTCTGATACACAATTACTTTCCCATCCGAGGGCACAATAATTAAATAACAATGCCGGGAATCCGTTCAATGTTGCACCATAAAAGGCGCAGCCCAAATATTTCGTTGATTCTTCACGCCTCTCCTTGGTGGATGTGTGTGTGTGTGCATATTGTTTACTCCGCCAACCCCTCCCCTCCACTCCTGCATCTTCTGCAGCAGCTACTGTGGCATGTGGGGTCATTGTGTGTAGAATGGTAGCAGCAAAATAAAGCAATAAAGCATACGCATCGACGCCGCCAAGGCTCATTAGTTTGTTATTGACTAGGGCCTGGGTCTGCAAGGAGGGGAGGGGTAACAGAACGTAAGAAAGGCAGGAGCCTTTATCGGACGCCCGCATTTCTCTGTTGCTGCTTCTGTCGACGCCTCTGGCTTTGCTTCCGGCTGGCGTCGCTGCTGCTGCTGCCTCTGTCGACAGTCTCTGCAAGAGAAGTTGCTGCTTCTGCCATTGATCGAGCGAGGCACTCTCTCGCAGTCTTCGTTTCACGCTCGACTTTAACGGTTCATTTGGGGACTACTGCATCCTAGAGACGATCAAGGCGCGAGTGCTAAACGGTTCTATTACTCTCGCTAGTTAAAAGAGGTGTTAGTTACAGAGTGAGAGAGAGAGAGAGTAGAGTGTGTGCAAAATTGTGACGGAGGGACCACCCGCGTTAGCCAGAAATAGTAAGTAAGTACCGGAAGTTAGAAGAAAACGCTACGCTTTGTCTGATGAATTATGTATTAAAGTGTCGTTTACACTGTGAATTTCTAATCAGAAAAGCCGAGACTCAATACGCTTGGGGGGAAATGCCAATTCCCCGCGAGACGAGGCGACTAATTGGCCAGGCTACCTTATTTGTTGCTGTTACTACTTTTTAATACACAACTTACAACTGTCGCACGCCTCTCGGAGTTTTAATTAACCGCAACGGTAGAGAGAGAGACAGAGAGAGAGCGAAAGAAAGGTAAAGACCAGCAAAAAATAAAGAGACCTGGAGAACAAGAAGACTGAGGAACCGGTTTGGTGGACTTGCCCACATTGCCGTTATTGTTGTTGTTGTTGTACCTTTTCGACTTACTTTGTATCTGTGTTACTGTGTGTGAGTGTCGTTTATCCTTTTTCTCCACCAAGCGAACGAGAAGAAGAAGAGGCAGAAGGCAGTTGGGTCTGCGTGGGCAGGCGACAAATTTATTGGCACTTACCTCGCTGTTGGCCCCCCTCCGACTTTGTATCCAAACCCCCAAATAGTTCTAGAAAAGGAAGCAGAGCTTTGAATATTCAAATATTTATTGTAATTATTTTCAACACCCGGCATTGATTTAAGAGCTCGCTTTGAAGATACCCTGTAGTTGTGAAGGGTATGTCTTCTTCAATATCTTAGTTGGCCTAGTGACAGTTTTGGGTCTTACTATCTTAGGTTCTCCAAAGATAAGATTATGTCTGGGGAGATGTCGGATTAGAAAGTACTTATCATCTCTTCTTATAAACATTAAAAGCCTCCTGCAGAATGCCAGGTATTCCTACAGCCGGAAACCTTGATTTCTCCCACTATTGGACACTTGGCCGTGGCCGAATACATTGTTGAAATATTTTCGAGTGGCACAAGTACTCCCATACGCATACCAGAAGGCATTTATGGAAGTGCCTTGCGAAAAGAAGTCTGAGGCTTACCACCACACAGATTTCAGAATTCAAATGCGTATTGGACGTTCTCAACGAGCCCATTAAATTTTACGGTTCTTGCTGATGATTTTATGCGTTTTGGGCCTCATTATATTTCATACATACGAATACGTATCCGTAGATGTGGATGTTGTTGGGTCTGTTTTGATAGTTTTTGAATGGCAGGCCAAGAGGAAGAAGATATTTTCAAGTGCGTCTAATTTTACGATCGATGCCCCATACACCATACCCCCATTATTCACAGTCGTGTGTCTGTGTGGCAGTCAAGTGAAGTACGTCGACGAGTATATGTATCTTGAAGATATGATAAAAACCGGCTAGATAAGCCGGTCCGGTTGTCGGTGGAAAACTTGACTGCAGCACGTCTCTACAATGTTTAAATTCAGCAAGTGCTGTTCTTCGTTTTGTGGAGCAGGTAATTGCTTGCCCTCCAAGATCACCCAACTTCCCAAACATGCCTATTTTCAGATGAAATGTTTGCCTAAAAAAAACCTCCGACGAACAAACGTAGATCACGTAGCACCCGCACTTTGGTGGGCCGTCAGTAAACCCCCTTTTTTTAGCCGAGACCCGTTCTCTGAATCACTGGCACTTGCAACTGATATGGATTTTCTTTGTTCCCAACACACTTTATCAATTTATTAAGCATGTTCCTGTGGATTCAACTTCCTCATAGAGTTTATTTTTATTGTTGTGAGCTCAGAACTAGGAAAACATGGTTCTTGGTACCGTTAACAATGAATCCCATTTTATTTTCGGCCATTCGAATGTATCCATATCAAAAGCGATTGTATAGAGACCCTATAGACAGAGGGAGGTTACTTGTCCGTTGTCCACTGTCCACTGTCCACCCAGAACATTCCGAATTGACCGGAAATGATAATTGAAAAAATATTTTCTCTTTTCTTTGGGCCTCTTGTCAACTCTGGGCATGCGTGTATGCGTGTGAGTGTACTTGCTACTAATTATGGAATGCATTCATTTTACGTATCGTATCGTATCATTTTCATTTTACCACAACTTGCGTACGACATACAGAGCTCTCAACCCGGCAACAACAATTATATCCGGTGGTTACTTGAGACACTGCTGACTCCTCTCCTTCTTGGTTGTCGATGTTGCCTTTAAGTCTTCTCGATCTCGATGGGTCTTGATGTTGTTATTCTTTCCTGTTTATTTTCCCCCAAAACCCCAAAGAACCCGAAAGATCGAAACCTGAGAAAGCAAAATATTTTGCCAGATTTTCAGAGGCGCAATTTTTGTGCCAGACATCTCTATTCATAGGAAGTACAGCCTCCAATCTGATAGATCTACAGATTAAAAACGAGAGTTCAATGATTAAGATTAAAATACTGTTTATTTTTAATCTTAAATAATAAAGCTAAGCTTCTGATAGAAGTACATCCCAGAGTTGGTGATATTTTTAGCAAGCCCATGCCTCGAGATACTCTGTTTTCGCAACAAAGAGCATGTTCATTTTTTTGCGTGGGATGCTCCAACAAGAAGGCTTCCTGAGGACAATTAAAGTGGACCTGCACACACAGATGCACTGGGGCCTGATTGCGGCTTAGGCGTGGCTTATCAGCAACAGCGGCATGCCCAACACAATGCCCCAAGAAATGCACTCCCACTCGTACTTACGCACACTTGAGCCTGATTGAGGGAAACTTTCCACTCAATTGTGAGCCAAGGCGGTGGAGGAGGAGGAGGAGCTGACTGGACGGCTAGATGGATGGCTGTTTGATGTGTGTGAGCGATGCCATTAACGATCCCCCTTGATTAGTTTATAAAAGTTCAATTGCACTCTTCTGGGGCTTGCTATTGTCCCTACAAAGCCACCACCCAGGCTATAAATGGTGAAACTTTTCAATTTTAATTGCCCAACAATGTACATGCCACTGATCTTGGGAGGGAATGGAATGCTCATGTTCATGCTCTGCGCCTGCGCTTTAACAAGCTACCCAACTGCCGGCTTCGCTTCCCAACAGAAATTAATGTTTGACCAGCCGGCAGGCTAGACATTCAGACAGTCATCCAGCCATCCAGCCGGCACATTCCACACAATCAATTTAATTTACGTATCAAAACGTCTCATCTCCATATCCCAGGCACTGCAGTCCGATAGAAAGTCGGGGGGCAGGGGCCATCAGAGGTGTTCATCTGGATGGGTTTTTAAAGAGCCATTAAAAGGCTAATAAATGATGTAGTTGATGATCTGATTTGCTATATTTTATAGCTTCTAATAGTAGAGATCCTTTCTATTTTTATAGTTTTTTGAATATTTAATAGACTAGCCTTGTAGTGCCTCTATTCTCGCCTTTCTCCGGCAGCAGCTCTGACAGTGATACCCAACAGCCTGAAGTGTCAAAATTGATGGCCCAGCCACCGAGGAGGGGGGGAAAGGCATTGAAGCTCGCACTCACACTTGCACTTACTCTGCCTGACTGACTGGCTCTTTGTGTCGAGCTGTTGCTTCTTTTTTTTTTTTTTTTGCTTGGAACACTCCATTGTTGATAAATGCGCTTTTATTTATAGATCGCGGCTGCTGTTGTGTGAGCTCGGAGCCGGAGCTGGGGAGCCCTGCTCCGCGTCTTCTTTTGTCCAGCAGCCTGCTGGTGTAGAAGGGGGAGGGGGACTGCGTGTGAAAGCAGCGGGCCCACATGTCAAAAGTCATGTTTAAATTGAATTAAACTAATAAAATACCAAGACACAAAGGCCCCGAAACTGTCGCTGATTACAAATTTGGACGTCAGTTCGGGGACCAAAAGGTTCCGGGGGTTAGACCTCTGAAATAATTGAAAAAAATACAGTATCACTTCCTAGAAGGGCAATCAACATGGTATAAAGCTTATTTCATACAAAGCTTCCTCCAGGAGGACTGGACGCCCAGTTATTTTCACACGCCCCACAGCAACCTAACCTCGTGGCTGTTGCCAAGTTGTCCTGCCAACGTGCAATGACCAGACCCTTTAGGGCAACCCTCTAGTCCTTTTTCCTTGATGCGTCATGCGCGTGCGACATTGCGACTTACGCTTCTATTTAACAAAGAGGGTTGTGTGCCCTACCCTGCCCGCGTTTTTTGGACATTACTCATCCAGTTTGGATAGGCCAGGGAATAATAGCAGTCTTAGTCTCTTTCACTTTGGCGGCCAAATGCGGCATCGAATTCGGCTTCAGCTTATCATTCCGATCGAAATACATAACATAACTCCGATGAGCTTCAGTTGCCCTGCCCGCCTCCCGCCACCAGGCCATTGTTGTATTAATTGCTGTCGGGGGGGTTCGTTGAACCCACTCTGGAAGAGTCTTGAAACTTGATGTCTCTTCCATGTTACGTATTTAAATTGAAATGATGATATATTCGAGTGTCGACAGCTAGTGTGTGTGTGTGGGTATGGGATTGTGCAAATTCTTGGCCCTATTTGGTGCTGGAATCCTTATCATTTATGGGAGGGGTCTGTGTTTGCGATTACGATTCTTCAAGGCAGAAGAACAGATATTGTATTTGGGTCATAATATATTATTTTTGATGTTTTCCGAGGAATATATCAATGACTGCCACTGGGTTTAGTAGTGACTCACCAAAGATGACTCCTAGGTACTTCCAATTTCCTATCGATAACTTGCATCGCTTCCTGTCTCTACGCCTTTGACTCACTTCCACTAACTAGGCAACAATAAATTTCAGCTAATGACTCACTGATGGATTCTCGGAGAATTCTTGATTTGCATGTGCCGGCCACCACGTGCCATGTGCCATGTTGGTGGTGGGCTGGACTAGGTTGGCCTTCCACAGATGGGGCGGATGTGAGAGAGGCTGTTGATTCAGCGGGGCTAGATATCGATGCAGAAACAGCTGCTGTGTCGTTGTGGGCCTTTGTTGCCGCCATTTTTTTCTTTCCAAAGGCAAGCCGGCAATTGAACCCACACACATATAGCACACACACACACTCACACAACACACCTTGGCTCCTTTTTAATGGCACTTGCAACCCCTAAAAAATGCAAACTTTTTGTGCCACCTCACCTCCCCAACCGGGTTCTTTGCTACGGTTTCTGTTTCATTCACTCTGGCAACAGAATTTTTGTGTGTAATTCGATTTTCTTCAAAATGACGCATTGCATGTTAAAACAGCCCTCCTGTTCCACAGCCCAGTGGTGCGGGGAGGTGTCTGTTTCGTTGTTTCATATAAAGTTCTCTTTAAAAAAAAACATTCAAGTGCCGATGATTCATGGGAGGCGTTCGAAATTCGAATTGTTTACGATTACGGCAGTCTGGGCCAGCAGTCGCGCAGTGCTCTCCCGGTAACTGGAGCCTCCAGATGATAGTCTCTATTCGCTAGAACTTGTAGGTGCCATTCGGAATCAGGTATCAGTGACTATAATTTAAAACTATGGCCGTCTGATAAGCTCGAGATGCAATCGCGTAGATCCTTAATGGGGTCATCGAATTGCAATGAAAGATAGATCGAGTGCATTCGACTGAAAATGTCAACTACAAAAATAGGAAAAGCACACCAGCTATAAATAGTCGTCTGGCGTCGCACTTGTGCCATTTCCCACTCAGCTCCCAATAATGTTCCGCATTTAATTAATCCGAATCTACGCACTATTTGTTTTTCAGTTTTTACTAGCGACTAAAGGAATATAAACAGGAAAAATGGGTAAAGCTCAGAGCAAGCGTTCCATCGACATCACCACCGATCCCAAGAAAGTGGCCGAGGGCGATGAGGTGGCAGGCAAGGTGGAGAAAATTGACGTAGACCAGAAGGCCGACGCGCCGGCGGTCAACGGAGATGCAGCCACTCCGAAGGAGGGCGGCGATGAAGCTGCGGCTGGAGAGGTAAGACTTGAACACTTCCTTATTTTGAAAAACTTCCTCTCAATGGGAATGTTCTTACAGAAAAAGGAAACCGAGGAGAGCTCTGAGAACGACAAAGATCTGACCACCGAGAAGAGTGCTACTGCTGAGGCTGGTGCCTCTGGAGATGCTGCTGCCGAGACGCCAAAGGCCGAGGAGGGCTCCCCCAAAGAGGCTGCTGCCGGCGAAGAGATCACCCCGCTCGCGGACGAGAGCATCAAGTCCAAGTCCAAGAAAGACAAGGTCAAGAAGAAGTGGTCCTTCCGCAGCATCTCGTTTGGCAAGAAGGACAAACAGAAGCCAGCCAAGTCGGAGGATGCCGTGTCGCCAACTTCAGCCACAACGTCGCCCACGACGGCCGAGCCAGCAGCCGCCACAAATGGCGAAGCCGAGAAGCCAGCCGAGGTATGACGATCTTCCAAACTCCCAACTAGAATATCCTTTTATCGTGTGTTTTGTGCAGGCATCTGGAAGCGAGGCGGCGTCCAAGGACGAAGTGAAGCCAACTGAGAACGGATCAGCGACCGAACAGGAGAAACAAGCCAACGGAGAGGCCGAAGTTTCGGCGCCAGCACCAGCCACAGTTGAGGAAGCGGCGCAGCCCAAACCAGCTGAAGAAACACCCACTGCCACTGTTACTGCCAGCACCACCGAGACGACCACCGCCGCCGCTCCCACTGAAGAGGTCAAGGAAGCCGTCAAAGAAAGCCAGCCCGAGCCAGCTGAGGTCGTGACCAATGGTCATGGCGCCGGCGATGCAGAGGCCCTGACAAATGGATCCAGCAACGGACTGACCGAGTCTCCAGTGGCCGAAACGGCTCCAGCAGCTGACAACATTCCAAGCAACGATGATGAGAAGCCTCACCAGAACGGCACCAACGGCACCGCCACGCCCCCGCCGACTCCAGTGGCCGTCGAATCCGAGAAAGGACAACCAATCGAGGTAAAGCACTTAACAAATGACTGCACTACACCCAACCACAACAACAATAAACACAACACTGTAAATACCAGTACAACAATAACCGCCACAGAAATCACTGAGAACATTGCACAAAGAATAACCCGAACCCGTACCAGAACAGTACCAGAAACAGAAACCATAACAGGGACTGAGACAGAGACTACAACTAGCACTGAGACAGAGACTGTTGCAGCAGCCGCAGAGTTAGTTCAGACCCAAGCAATCCTAACCAAAACAACCAACACGATCCTTCCCAACTCCCTCACGCAGGCCGACGATGACGTGAAAGCGGAAGCCGTTACTGTCCCCAGTCAAGCCGAGGAGGAAGTTGTAGCGGCCATCATTCGAGCAGTTAGCAGTGAGCCCGAGGCTGAGGCTGAAGCGGAGGCGGAGGGATTTGTGGTGGTTGCCCCTGTGCCCACTGAAATCGAATCTCCCGTGTCCAATGCCCCTGCTGTCGCATCCGAATCTGTAGCCCAACCCGAAATCGTTCCTGAAACTGAAGTTGAAGCTGAATCTGTTGTAGCCGAGGTGACCAGCAGCAGCCCGCCCCCATTGCCCAAGTCCCCGCCTCCGTCTCGAGTGTCCGCTTTTGTTCTGTCCGAGGACACGATCGAAGATCAGCCCGTTCCAGCGGTTACTCCCATCGACAACGACCGTGTCGAGATCGAGCAGCAGGCCGTCAGTATTGTGGCCGAGATTACCGAACAGGCTGCTGACATTCTCACCGAAAGGAAGCAGCAAGATGAGGAGGAGAAGGACCTGCCTGTTCCAGCTGTCGAAGAATCGGTTGTTTCTCCGCCTCTCGAACAGGTTTCAGCTCCCTCTCCCACCTTTGAGGAATCCCCTTTAAAGTCGGTTGATGAGGAAATCCCAACCGAAGTGGTTGAGGAAAGTCTCCCAGCTCCCGTTGTAGAGGAAGAACCTGCGGTAGTTGCATCTTCCGAGGAAGAGAATATTCCAGAAGACAACAAGGAAGTAGCTTCCCAGGAAACCAACGATACAGAAGTCTCTGCCGAGCAGGTTAAAGTAGAGTCCCCAGAAGAAACCTTCGCCTCCACGGAAGAACAGTCTGCTGAGCAGTCGCATGTAGAGCCACTTCCAGACCTCGTCAGTAGAGAAAGCCTTCCAGCTGAAACTGAAGAAACAACTGCTGAGCAGAAACCAGAGACACTCCCCGAACCAGTCCAGGCTGAACAGCTGGAGGAAGTTAAACCCGAGGCAGCCCTTGAGGAAGAGCCAGAACCCAAGCAAGAGCAAGTAGTTGTATCGGAGGATGCGCATAGCGACAGCGATAACGATAAGGAGAACGACCTGGTCGGAAACATCATTAGCGATCTGGATGCGCCCGTTAGCAAGTCGGGCCATGACCTGCTGACGGAGCTGGATGTGATACCTTCGCCCGCTGCAGAGGAGGCCGAGAGCAACAACAAGGTGAATAGCCACTGGCAGTGAGTCAGACCTCAGCGCGTCACCAACACACGTGCCATTCTTGCATTGGAACTATGTCCTGGGCGTGCTTCTCCTGCTTATTCCACTCTCTCTCTCTCTGTGTGTGTGTGTCCCATTCGAGTTGCATCAGTTGTTGTGTTGCTGGTAGCGTAGTTAATACGCTTGTTGCCGTAGTTAATACGTAGTGTTAGTCTTGGTACTTTGATATTGGTATTGATTGATTGATTGATTGCTGGGGAGTGCATGATATGTTGGTGATGTATAGCGAATGATGTACGTTCTACTAAACAGAGGATAAGTGACTGCATTTTGGTGTATTAACAAATAAACACAACTCAAAACCACATTCATCCTAATCCACACACCACCTCCAAAGCACACATGACACCACTCGAACACCGATCCCATCTACCGCTCCGCTCTAACCAAAATCAGTCTGGCTGCCGTAACTCTTGCGCTCTAACTAAACTAAAAAAAGACCATAAATACACAACTGTACCTAAATGTTGAACACAAACTCTCGCTTACACACATTTTTTGGTTTAAATTTTTATTATTTTTTTTTAAAGGCCGACAAAATGCCTTGTTTATTGTCGCCTTTTTAATTCTTTATTGTTGTTGTGCTCTCAGTTCTCATTATTTTGCATACGACACAGTCTATAGCACCTTCCATTTGTAACCCTTACTAATAGAGCCCATGTCCTTTATTTCACAGGTGGATCTCGCCAAGGATCTGAAGGAGAAGAACGCCGCGGCAGAGGTTACAACACAGGAACAGCTGCCCGTTACATGCGAATAATCCTACTCATAATTATTATATATAATATTACATATTATTAAAAACAAAACAACAAACGATACAAGCAACAACAAAAGAACGCAACGTAAAACAGCAAACAATTACAAGATAAAAACAAAACAAACAAAAAAAACAAAACGAAAACAAGTAAAAATACATTTTTTAATATTTACATATTTTAATAATTTTTGTACGAACTTCATATCCCTAATTCATGATATTATGCAAACAAGAGTCAAAGTTACAAGTGACACAACAACCACCATCCACACCCACTCCACCACCACCACCACCACCCACTTATAGCCGCCAATAGTTTTGTATTGGTGTCCATGAATTTCGAAAAGGACGGGGAGTCCCCTCAATTCACATCCATCACCCATCATGCACACACACACGCGATTACATACCATTCTCATATTGATGATCTTGATCGAAAATACATCAGCAGCAAAAAATCATACATACGATGATGAAATGATGAAAGTGAGATGAATTTTTTGAATAATTTCTACTATACATTTAACTGTAAGTTCGAAGAAATTTGTAAAGAATTTTTGGACGAAATATTGGATAAAATATATATTATAAAATATAAAACCCCCCTCCCAAGCGTGCTTCACTTTCCAACGGCTGGAAAACACTAAGACCCCGATTAAATAGAAAATAGAAAAACACACACAATTTTGAATATTTTTTTTAGTTTCGAGTCCCGTTTTTTTTTTTTTTAATTTTTTCTCTTTAATGGTCTCTATAAACAAAAGTTTATACATTGTACAAGATGTAACCGAGTGTTACAAAAATAACCACTTGTCTGGGTTAATTGGAGTAAGCGCTAAGATTATGTTCTAAGTACGTTCTTAATATTTCATAATGGTTAATTAAACGTAACAAAATGTTACAACAAACGAACTACAAAAGCTCCAACGAAAGCTTCCAAAGCGAAACAAACAAAAAGAAATCAGTAAAGAAACGAAGAAAAGAAAAGAAAATAGTAATCGTGCGTCTTTTGCAACTAAATAGAAAATCCTACTAAGAAAACTAAATGTATTCAATAAATTAAAGCGCCAACGTTTACGTTGCGCGCCACATCATGAAACATGGTCAACATAGAATTCAACAAAAAAAAAAAACGAAAAAAATTATGAATCCCAATACAAGTGAAACCAAAATTGTTTCCAAAACAAAGTACATATCGGAGCCGGAGCCGGAGCCGGAGCCTGCTGGAGGACTCTGCTCTGGAGGCATATCTAACACCTAACAAAAAAGCGCTGTTTGCGCAGATGCAACTGCTGCTGTTTCTGGCGATAGTCCGGCACGTTCCGGAGCATGAATACGGCTGCGAAGAGCACGTAAAGGGACGAGAGCATGATGAGCACGGGGAAGGAGAAGACGATGTGCGCCATCCGGACCTTGCGTTTTTCAATCGGTGGTGCGTAGACGAAGCCACCTGCAAGGACAATATTTAGAAATTCAGATTCTTAAGCGGGGTTCCTACAGCCCAATCTTACCATTCCAGTTCTTGTACTCGCACCTTTCTCCAACGTAGTCGTCTTTGCAGAGGCACGAGTGCAGGACCGTGCTGTTGACCATCGGATGGTGGAAGCAGCGTCCCCCGTTCAGGCAAAAGTTCGCCTTGTATTCCTCGCTGCACGGCAGTAGCAGCACCTCGGTGACGTTCTTCCTCTTGTCCTCGTCTACGGATGGTAAGGTGGTTGGGTTCACGGCGAACGTACTCGAGGTGCTCTGGTCGGGTGGCGGCTCTCCAGTGTGCGTCACTGTGGTGGATGGCGTAGTCGTTATCTCGGTGGTGACGGGTGTGCTGCTGTCAGCGGCTGACCAGGTTTCAGTGCTGGAGCTGGGGATTTCGGAAGCCAAGCTGGACTCGGTAGACGTCTCTACCAACTGAGCCCTGAATGGATCTATATTTTGGTCCAGATCAGTGTTGGCTTCCATGGCAGCCTCTTGGGCTGCTGCTTCCAGCTGTTGTTGCTCCTGGAGTTGTTGCAGCTCCCACTGGCTGGCAAAGGCCATCTCCTGCTGCTGCAGCTCGTGAGCGTGCTCGTGGAGGTGATTGTGCTGATGCTGCACAATATTAAGCGTATGCTCTCGTAGTAGTAAGATCCGGCTCGAACAACAATCTAAAGGATGTTGAAAGTAGTGACAAGAAAGATATGATTAACATTTAGATATATCCATTTTAACAATCTATTAAATTCTAAAGCTTACAGTTAAATATTTTCTCTAAACATTAATCACTAGAAAGAAAATCACTAAAGATTCATTTTTATAGACCGTATTCCACTTCCTCTTTTAGATGTATTTATTTTGAAAAGGAAATAAAACAGTCAAAGACGGATGTTTTAAATGTGTTCTTTTTGCCGCCAAAATAGCTTTCAATAGAGACCTGGCAATACTGACGTCTCTGGCGTATTATTGGAAGCCCGAAATTCCATTGGAATAGCTTACCTGTGACGGCGACAATTGTTGAGAGCACGAAAATTACTTTGATTATTTGAAGAATTGGGATTGGCATCATTGGAAAACGCTGGCTAGCGTTGAAAAGTGGGTGGACCGATTATCCACAAAACAGGAAAATTATATATTGTTGGAGAGTATAGACGATCTAGGGATCGAGCGGCGTGCTGGCCGCAAATGCAATTTGGCGTCGCAACAGAAACAGAAACATATTACACACTTGCATCTCCTTGGGGGACTCTAGCGCTTGTGGATTTTACTGCAAAATAAAAATAGAACATTTTAGCGCCCCACACTTTCTGTCACACGATCACGATCGCGCACACACATCACACAAACAAATAACAAAACCACACAAATCTTATGAACCAAGAGCTTAATATAGAACAACGTACTGGAAGGGCAATCCAGCCGCCGAAAGGCTCAAACATTATAATTGCTATTAGGATTCGTGAATCATTTTAATTATATTGGAAATTAGTTAGTTAGACTAGGCGGCAGCACGGCGCGGGAAGCGGGCTCTTCTGCTTTGCCTTGGGTTTACGAAGGTGTTGTTGCGCGCACGTCGGAAAAGAGACTGGGGACTGGGGAAAACAGATGAAACACGGAGAACCAGAAACAGATGGACCGCCGCCATGAATGAAATCGAACGACGAGGGGGGCTGCTAAGAGAGCGCCCCAGAGATGTGCAGTTGCGAATAATTCACCAGGGAGAGGATATGCAAATTGTTCAGCAGCCCCCTTGGAAGAGAACTCTAAGAGAATAAGGAAACCGTTAGGATCTCTAAAGAAGACCATCATTAGAGTGGGTGCTTACAGTTGCCTACTTCTAGGGGAATGAAACTCTTTGCAATAATATTTAATATATTTTTAATTTAAAATGTTTATACAATTAAATTATTAATAAATTTCACAATCAATATAAAAAATTCCTTAATTTATTTCCTAAATTATAGCTTATCGAGTACAATTAGATATTTTCTAATATCCCAGCACTTTTTGAACTATTACGTTTGAGGATAAAATCAATTCAACAGACTATGGCATCCACTTATCAGGTGCGTGGCTCCATAGAAGCCACACCAAGGTGACTGTTTCCCAAGAAGTCCAGTTCGGAGCACTGGCTTATCACCCGTCCGATGTCATGAGGTAGCAGACACAGAGAAGCATTCGCCGCCGCTGGGGGCAGCTCATCCACAGAGTCTAGCTGGAGTTTAGCAGCCACCGAGCGCCGAACCAACTTTTCTACAAAGGTGCGAAGTAGGTGGGCGAGCAGTGTGAGGGCCAGTGGCTGAGATACACCGGACAGCGACTCTTCGGACCGCAGGTTGATGTTGATGTCCTTGCACATGTCCTGCACCAACTGGGAAGCCGAATCTAGACGCTCCGGTGATGGCAGGCTAAGAAGTTGCCGATTGCTTCCAACATGGAGCGATCTATTCGCTCGTTGCATTCCTTTTAGCGTTCCAGCAGGATGCGATTCCATGCCAAGGACATCGATAAACTCCCGAGCATCTACCTTGTGCTCGAATCCCAGCAAGCGCCGGGACTGTTTAGCAATCCAGGTTTCCAGTCTGCTGCCAGAACTTAGGCTACAGAAGGCCGACAGCTGCCGTTGTGATCCCTCCTTCAACTGTTCCTGCACTAGCTGGGCTAGTTGATCCTCAGTTTCGGACTTTTGTTTTCCAATTTTGGGGTCTCTTTCCTCGCTGGATGTGGGCATTTTTAGCACCGGCGTGTAGCCAAAGACTCTCGCAAATCCTGCAATCTCGCGCACACTCCAATACCGCTCCCTTCCACTGACATTCAGTTGGTGCAGCCTGGGATGGTGCGTCATACACCGCCGCAGAAACCGGGCACGCAGATACTCGTAACACCGCTGTTTAATGGCAGGCTTTTTTGGAACGTTTCGATGCTGTTGCATGTGAATGGATACTCCTCTCTGTGCACTGGAACTCCCACCAACGGCAGGCGACGCAAAAGAAACTCAACAGCTTCACGCATGCCACGGAACTGTGAACTGACAAAGATCTGCTCCAACCGACGCGGTCGCATCCTCGCAGTCTCGGTAACCTCATTGGGAGGCGTGCGAGCTCTCAGCACTTCCGGCTCCATGCTCATATTTGCGTAGCCATGGTCGTGCTGGATGCACTGCAGCATGTGCCATCTGCTTATCGTTGGGGGCTTTAACAGACTCAGCTGAGGCTTTAGTAACGATTGCTGCTTCACGGCCTTTTTAAGTTTCCGTTGAAGGGGGTCGATGATATACAGCTTTCCGGCTTTCTGAAAAACAACATTCTTGTTGTTGTGATGGCCATTCCTAACTGGCTTAATTGGTCGCTCTGACGATGACTCCGGCCAACGTCTCTCGAGGAAGCATGAAGAAAGGAGTTCGTGGCGCAGACCCACTGCCGAAGGCTCCTGCTTCACCTTTTCCAGAACCGAATCGTGTTTCGGACTTCTACCATTAACCGGCAGGTACACAACAGAGGGCCGAGATGCTATCACTGGAGCCGCATTCAACCGAAATTGTGGCCTCGGAGAATTTGTTGGTGGGGGAGGTTGCTTTTTGGGGCTGTAGCTCAGTTTTAGAGGCTCCGTTACCAGTACGGTGGGCTCTATGTGGTCGATGTCGCCGCTTAACTCGATCTTGTTGATGCCAGCGAACAAGTTGTCGTCCAATTCCTCTTTGTTCTGGGTGATGGAAATGGTTCGCGGCTTGCCAGACTCAATGGGCGAAAAGGGAGCTTGTAGCGTGGCAGGAAATTCAGTCTCTTCCTGGGGGATTGGTTCTAGAGGAGCACTCAAAGCCTGCTCTGCTCGTAGCCATATTTCCACAATAGTCTCCGCGCCCATCGTGTGCATGCCACACATGGTCTTGTCCAACACAACGTTGTGGACTAGCTGCACTGGCTTCTGATGCAGGTGATTTTGAAAAAACAATTGAATCCGCATTGGAAACTCGCCCCACCCGCGACGAGATATCTGAAACGGAGGATCGCGCACGTCCACGATGTTGTTGGGACGGTAGGAATGATGCAATTGGAAGCGCACCTAAAAATAATAAAACCATTTGTTATTATCTCCTTACAGCCCGCTATTGTATACGTACCTTCTTAATGTATGCTTCCAGGGGCTGGGGAAGGTCTCTACCTTGCACATATACCAACCATTTATAAACTAGCGCCTGGCTATCTGTTGAATCACCTCGCATGTCGTCGCCAATGTATTTGGAGGTGTTGCCCACAACGAAATTGAACTTGTTCTTGTTGTTCAACCGAGAGGCATTTAGTTCTAGCTGACGCTCCAAAGCTTGCCGGCTGGTACAGGGAGCCTCGTCCTCCAGTTTCACTGAGACTGCTGGTAGCTCCTGCACCTGCTGCTCTTCTTTGGAGTGGTCCGTCACGATGCCTTCTTCCCGAATTCTTTGTTGTCGTCGTCTCTCTGCTCTTCTGTGTGCAGGGTTTCTTAATCTGATGCTTTCCTTAGCTATGGTGGCCGCCGTTCGCTCCGGTAGATTGGTTGGTATAGAAATCGGACGCTTTCCAACAATCTTTTTGATGGCAGGGTGAAGAGGCATCTGAGCGGCGGCTCCCTCTTCCCCGAAGAGGCTCTCCGTTGGCTGTCGCACTTTCGCCACATCAGAAGCGCTGAGTGTCACCTGTTGCTGACGGTAATACTCGCTGACCACTTGGTATCGCAGCCTATCGAGCAACTGGCGGGCCTGCAGCAGCCTCCTATCGATTTCTCCCAGCTGCTCCTCTTTCTGCCTGATTTCGCGCTGGAACTCCGCACGCACGATCTCTCGGACGCGCTGAAATTTCTCAGTGGCAGGCAGTGGATCTCTTTCCTCATCTGTCTGGGGCTCGGGTTTGACCCGCTTCTGCTCCTGCAAATCATCCTCATCGTGCCCAGGAGGCTCCGTCTGGTGGTAGTCAGGATCATGGTATTCGCTATGCTTGCGCTTCTTCGGTGGCGTCGCCTGTTGCTGCTCCATGTGCGTGGTAGCGGGCTCACGCACGGTGATTTTTATCACGTAAGTTCAAAGGAGAACAGCCTCGATATATGCCTGAACAGCTCCGTGCACATTTATGCCGGGATCTATTGCAGTTATTTACAAAAATGTGTAAACAATTAACGCGAAAGACAAGGAGGCGCATATGGATTTGTCTGGTAGCTCCATCAGCAGTGTTGCCAGACTGGCTTTAAAACATGAAACGTTTTGAAAAGTTTTTTCTTTTTGTATTATTTTTATTGAAAACTAATTTTTTTTAAATAAATTTTTTAATTTTTTTGGGTTATTAAAACTTATTAAAAATGATGTACTCGCGGACAACCAGTTCAAGTTAGGCAAACCCAAATGATTTTTCGTCGTTGTCCAACACCGTCACCATTTCCATCACTTCGAAGACCCCGACCAGCTGAGTTATTTACGCGGGAAGCGCCTCCGGAAATAACTTGCGATTTCCAGATAAGCTTAAGAACATGGTTGAGCGTATTGAGGATTTGAACCTGCCGAATGCAGTGATTGCACGGCTTATAAAGGAGTCGCTGCCGGATGGAGCCAACGTGAGCAAGGAAGCGCGAGCTGCGATCGCCCGGGCTGCTTCCGTTTTCGCCATTTTTGTGACTTCTTCCTCCACGGCGCTGGCCCACAAACAAAACCACAAGACTATTACTGCAAAGGACATACTGCAAACCCTCACCGAGTTGGACTTTGAAAGTTTCGTACCATCGCTGACACAGGACCTGGAGGTCTATCGCAAGATGGTAAAGGAAAAAAAGGAGAGCAAGGCCAACAAAAAGGATGCGAGCAGCACAGAAAAGCCCAATAGCAGTGCAGCCACCGAGGAGGCGGCCGAGTGACGGCTTGGAACTTTCCATACTACAATAGTTCAATAGTTTAAGTATCTAGATTTAAGAGCTCAAACTAAGCCCGAAACATTCTCATTTCGTACGAAACCATTGTGTTATCATTGCCCGGTTTGTTATCATGGAATCCAACCATTATGAATCTTCATTTTTATAAAACTTTCATTAAATAAAAGAGCATACATATATCGAAACGAAAGAAATGTCTTTTATAGTCTGATATTTTTGTAAAATAATACGTTTACTTATAGGCTTTAAAATTACTTTCAATTACACAGCAAAAACATTTCTTTCAGTGTAGCAATATGCGTGCTGAGAACGTTTTCTAGCACTGGCTTTGCCTGCGCCGGCTGGAGTACCCGCGTTGTTTATTGTTAAATTCTTATCGCATGTTTCTAATTCAAAATAAATGATTATTATTTTAAGCCATGGGTGTAACGGGCCTATGGAAATTAATCGAGCCTTGCGGGAAGCCTGTGCCCGTTGAGACATTAGAAGGAAAAATTCTTGCAGTTGGTAAGATACGATTTCGCCAGCAGTTGCAATGCTTTTGAACGCCAGCTATTCATATTTCCGTTTTTAGATATATCTATATGGCTGCATCAGGTTGTAAAGGGGTTCCAGGATAGCAAAGGATCAGCCCTTAACAATGCGCATTTATTGGGTTTGTTCCATCGTCTGTGCAAACTGCTCTATTACCGAGTACGACCAGTGTTCATTTTTGATGGATGTGTTCCCCAACTCAAACGGGACACTATTGTGAGTTACTCTTAAAAATTGGGTATTTTATTTATAAGTCTATTATTAAGCTTAAATATTTTCATAGGCTCGCCGTCAGCAGCAGCGAAACAAGCTTAGCAATGAGGCCGATCGCATTCAGGCCTTGCTCCTCCAGTCCTTGGCCAAAGAGAAGGTAGTGCAACAGGCGCTGGGGAAGAACGCCGAACTGCTTCTCAAGTCACCATCTAAGCGGCCACCTCCGGGCAAGAATAAGGATAATGAGGACGATATGTTTAAGCTGCCAGAGCTTCCAGCACCGGCCGCCGGGACTGAAAACCCGGACGAAAGCGACCAAGATATGGACTGCACCAGCGCCAGTGCCACCTCTGATAGCTCCTTTGACGAGTCAAACGCTCGACATGCCTACCAATCCAGTCTTCAGGCTATCGATGTAAAGAGTCAACATTTCCGGAATCTGCCTGCCGATGTGCGTCACGAAATTCTAACAGACATCAAAGAGACTCGCAAACAGTCATCGTGGGGACGCTTACACGAACTTCCAGCCCGCAGCGACGATTTTGCCTCCTTTCAAATGAAACGCCTCCTAAAACGCCGTGCGGTTCAGGAGAGTTTGGAACAGGCGGAGAAGGAAATGGGTGGTCGCACGCTTACTTATTCAGAGCTGTGCGACTTCTTCAGTGAGGAGGGCATCGTTACCCCCTCGGCCATTGAGCAGAGCACGCGCCAAATCAGTTCGGACGAGCACACACGGTTCCTGTTGGTCAGAGATCTTAAAAAAAAGGCTCTGGAGAGTGTCAAGGAGGAAGTCAAGATAGAAAAGGTTGAGGTGGAGGAAGAGGAAAAGCCAAGCACATCTGCCGCAGTAAAGTCCGAAGAACATATCGATCTTGGCACTGAGTATGACGAGGACTTGGCGAAAGCATTGGCCATGTCCATGGAGGAGACGAAAGTGTATGATGAGAAAGATTATGAATACGATTCGGACCAGGAATTGCGTCTAAACCGTGCCCAAAGCAAGCAACTAAAGTACGCGGCGAAAGGACCGGCCCGGGCTTATATGATCGAATATGGAGGAATGAACGACGAGGAAGTCGGCAACATTATGGAAGCCACACAGCTGAACGACACCCAAAGCTTGGAGAAGTTATTCGAGACGTCAACAGTCCCAGCTGATACTGCAAACGATTCGATGGACGAAGCTAAGCTAATCTCGCGGGCCATTGAAGAAAGTAAGCAGATCTCGCAAGCCATTAAGGAGAGCCTGGGTGAGGACAAAGTAGAGATTATAGACACAGACGCAGACTCCGACTTGGAAGAAGTTGGCAAGGCTAAAGAGACCAAACAAAATAAGGGTCCTTTGGAAATTCATATTGATGTTACCAAAGATTTGCAACCTTCCAATGATATATTCGCGGATATATTTGAAAAAGAAGAGTCTGTGGTTGAGAATAAAAATAGTAGTGATGAGGATGATGATGACTTCATAGAGGTTAGCGAAAGTGAGGACAACGAGAAACTATCACAAAAAGTTAAAGATGACTTGATAGAGGTCAAGAATAACGAGAAAGGTAAATTGGATTCAGGAAGTACAATTCACAAGGATGAGATGAAAATACAAGCGAGCTCAGATGAAATCGTTGAGGTCAAGGATAGTCAGGAAATTGAACTACTGCCCGATTCTAAAGCAAACAATGAAAATGAAATTGTGGAGATCAAAGACAGTCAAGAGCTTGAGCCATTTGAAGTAGAAAAAGAAAACCCAACACCACTGAAAACTAATCCAGACTTGGATTCTATACTCAATCAAGTTAAGAAAGAAACTGCTGCCGTCAAGAATATAACTCTAAACCTAAATGAAGAAGTCCTTCCCAAGCCAAAAGTGGCTCTCGGCTCAATCTTAGATGATCTAAAAGCGGAAATGGCCGAAGTTAAAAATATAAAACTGGAACAAGTTAAACTGAATAATAGTACCACCATCGAACTGTCCTCCGACGATGAAGTAGCCTCCTCAAAAATCAAATCTATACAAAATGAAGAAGTAATTGAATTGTGCGACAGCGATGATAACAAAAAGAATCGAATTTCACCCAACAAAACGCCGAGTAAGAATAAGTCCATTAAGGACTTTTTCGAAACTAGTTACGTGGTGAAGCGAACGCCTGACAAGTCACCCACGGCGGATGCCACACCTCCGGGAACCCCAAAGGTACCTCAGCCCTTCTACAGAAAACGAACACCCAAATCTGGACGTAAAAGAGCTGCTGATGAACAAGATGATAGTGATGAGGAGGTTTCACCCACGAAAAGATCCAGCAAGGCTTCAAAGTCACTATTTGAGTCAAAGGCGCCTGAGACAGAAAAGACTGTAGACCCACAGGTGAGTGCCATGAATTAATTCAAGATTTCTGTGCCTAACTCTATTATTTCTAGGAACTAATCAACGATGCAGCTGAGGCCCTAAAGTCTCAAAAGACTTCAGAGGAGCTACACGAAATGGCCACAAATCTAGCCCAAGAGCGCAAGGAACTTGAAATCGAGCGCAATCGGCAGGATCGCATGGGCATGTCGATTAGCCAGCGGATGAGCATTGATTGCCAGGAGCTGTTGCGGCTATTTGGGATACCTTACATTGTAGCGCCCATGGAAGCGGAGGCGCAGTGCGCCTTCCTTAACGCCACAGATCTGACCCATGGTACCATCACGGACGATAGTGATATCTGGCTATTTGGTGGTCGAACTGTCTATAAGAATTTTTTTGCTCAGAACAAGCATGTGTTGGAGTTTCGATCCGAGCAAATCGAACAGACGTTCAACTGCAACCGTGGAAAGTTGATCCAGCTGGCCTGTTTGGTGGGTAGCGACTATACCACCGGGATTCACGGGATTGGAGCCGTGACGGCTCTTGAAATCCTAGCTTCTTTCTCTGGTCACGATCCAAATGCCCAAGGAGTCTCCAACCAGTCTGTTCTACAAACCCTTATTAAATTCAGAGACTGGTGGCAGGCCCACAAAAACAGCAACCTTCCTCCTGGGAGCTCCGCCCGTCTTGCGCTTCGCAAGAAACTGAAAAATATTGAACTACATGAAGGTTTCCCCAATGGAGCAGTGGTGGAGGCGTATTTGGCGCCCACCGTCGATGACAACAAAGAAGCCTTCAGTTGGGGCTCTCCCGATGTTGAATTAATAAGAGAGTTCACCCGAAAATCGTTTGGATGGACTGCCTCCAAGACAGATGATATCCTGATGCCGGTTATCAAGAAAATAAATGAGAAGAAAGTCCAGGGATCAATTCGAAACTACTTTACGGCCAAAAGTGCTTTACGTGTTCAGCAACCGCTGGTCAGTAAGCGTGTCCAACTGGCGATTGATAAGATGTCTGGAAAGATTGATGAAGAAACTCCAGAGAAGCCCAAGAAAGTGACCCGTCCTAGGCGAGCCAAGGCTGCTCCTCCTCCAAAAGGCGATGGAGACGATGCATCAACGGATGCTCAACCTACCACCTCAAAGCGTGGAAAAAGAAAGGCTCCTGCAGCAACTGTAAATAGAGAACTAAACTCGGAAGAACCTTCCACATCCCAGTCGGCTCCTAAGCCAGAAAAGTGTCCTCGAATTCCCAACACGAAAGAAGTCATACCTCAGAGGGAAAAAGACCTGGAGCAGATGCGCTTAAATAAGGCAAAGGCGGCGGAAATTTTAAAAAAGTCAGCCAAAAAGAAATAAGCATGATACCTTATTGTTAAATTTCACCTCATTTTAGTAAAAATTGTTCATTATATTCTTACAAGTCAGTAAGAAATGTATTTATCTTTATAATTCATAGGACTCTTTGAGAATAGAGTCTTTTATAGTTTGATTCTAAGTTTGAGCCTGAAATTTTTCGTTATTGCTTGGAAAGGTAATAAAATATGAGTCAAAATGATCAGAGTGGTCAACCGGTTGGTTTTCGTATGTACGGAGGACCCAACGGCAAGAATGGGGTCATGAGGCTCCTTCAAAGGATGCAAAATTCGTCACAAAATCAAACCAATCTCTTGTACAAGGTCGAGGGGCTGGGAATGATCCAAAGGACTTCGCTTAACCAAAGCCAGGCTCTTCTTTCTGATTCCATTAGCTTGATGCGGCTGCAAATTCAACAACTTCAACGAATGCACAAAAAGGACGAAGAAACAAACATAAAATTAAAGGAACTTTCTGAAGAACTGGAACGCCAGGAAACAGACAACTCTTATTTGAAAGAATACTTTAACGATTTAAATAGAGGAATCCAAAGATATGAGTATGAAAAACGTTCTAGTGAAATAAGTCTCAAGTTGGTGCCAGAAATTGTGCTGAACAGAAGTATAGCCGAGGTTAACCTTGTTAATGCGAAAAAATGTCTGAAACATTTAGAAAAAATGCTAAAAGTTAGACAAATTCGGTACATGAATACCCCGGCTGTCCCACCTACTACTCTTAGAAAAAAAGCTAAAAAAAGACCCAAGAAAAAATATCCAAGGAAATATAGTTTGGATATAGAGTTCATAAAAGCCTTCAAACCCAATACGAAACGCAATATAAATGATTTCTGTGGCAACAGAAATTTTAGACCTAATGGACCTTACAGGGTACCTTCGTGGCCATATAACAAAAAGTCACGTTGCTTTTTAGCGATACCAAAAAAATCAGATGACAAAAATGTAAAACCACTTGCCGGTGATGCCATTACTACTTCAGAATTGAAAAAAATTGACAGTGACCAAAAAGAAATACAGTTTACGAAAGTTCCCATGGAAAGGCAACAGCAGAACCAACCAGACATTTTTCTGGTATCATTTAGTAAAATAAAGGATAAAATCGAAACTTCTCCAAGAGTTTGGAAGCCAGAGGCTAGGGAAACCCCAAATGAAACATCTCAGAGAATAGAGGTGAAAAATCCTTCTAAATACGAGGCACAGCCACAAGAAAATGTGGAAATTAATCTTCCACAAGAACAAAAAGCACTGAATATAGAAGAGACTATTGAATCTAAGAACTTGCAGGATTATGAGATAAGTGGAGCAAATAAAAAAGACAAGAAATCCATCAAAAAAAAATTTCTAAAAAAGGCGAAACGAACAAAAAGAACTCATACTAAAAATAGGAAGGAAAACTCACAACAAAATATTGAAACAGGTAATTTAATGACCACAAAATATGGAAGTATCGGTCAGGACCTTCTAGATAATACAGAGAGAAAAAATCGTAATAAAAGGCAGACTAAATCACGTTTGAAAAAATATTTGAGAAGATCTTTGGCGTCTAAACGAAAAATACCTTTGCAAAACAATTTCTATAAGACAAAGAAGTATGAGCTAAGTCCGAAGTCAGTTGAGAGGCTTGTTCCGGCTATCTCGGCAGAAAATAATTTTAAAGCAAAGTCTACAGTTGACTTTCATGAAAACCTTAATGATAAAACTAAAGTTGACTCTATGGAGCAGTTCATAAATGAGCCCAAATTCAAAACATCATTTTCGGATACCACAAGACCCTCCTCCAGTACAGAAGTGTCCAAAAAACAGACCATTGAATCAACAGCCACTGAAATTATAAATCTTTTGTTCGAGGATAAAGCGGCCTCCATGCCCCCAACAAGTGGCAATTTGCGGAAATTCAGCAGACTTAATGCATCAAATATGTCCATAAATAGTACCTTCCTTGGTACCAATCCCGCTACACATGCAGAAGAAGTGTGGACCGACCTGGTAGCCAAATACTCGCAGTGGACAGGAAAGTTTCAAAACCCTAATGATGCTGATATAGTCAGGACTATGCTGAAAGAGCGGTACATTCACAATGTGCAGAAGATTTTGCACAGTAGAGTCAAGGAAATCAAGTTCGAAATTAATCCGATAAGGGCTAAATCCTTCAAGACAAGCACATCAGATGCCAAGGACAATAGCAAAAGGCTGCTATCCAGACCTTCGTCCCATAACTCTATGAAGGCAGCAACAAAATCAAATCGAAAAGAAACTGGACTTTCAAGCAGGAAGCACTCGACCCTTGGACCTGAATTTTTGCATTATCTGCTCCTGAGCCGACAAACGCAGATGCTACGCTCAAGTATTTTGGACGAAGATCTTAAGGACATGAGGGAGATGCTCATTAGCAGACAGGTGCCCGAAAGTGGGTCGGACATCCAGCTTTTTAAGAAGTACGATTCGGATCCGAGCCACTATAATATCCTCCTTATGGCCCTTCACATGGACACAGATGAAACGGACAAGAATTTTGGGGAAAATATTCGGCTCCTGGAGCATAACTACGAGTTCATTAAACGTAATATGGAGGCAGCTGCCAGGCGAAAAATGATCACGGACATGGCCATCAGGAGCCAGGAATTGCGAAAGGTTGAGAGGGATGAATCGAAAATATCATTCCGAAAAGTGGAACCCGGTAGTATAGTATTCGATAATGATTATATGACACAGATGCGGGAGCAATGGACAGCTTATTTTGCCCAGCAGGCGAAGACTCCCATGGAGATTCAGCTGGCGATGGTCAGAAGACAAAAGAGGAGGGAGGAGGCCAAAGTACGGGCCGAAGCACGCCGACATGAAAAAATGCAGGAGAAGGCGACTCGAGCGTATAAGAGATCTCCTAGTGCCCTCTTCAGGACGCCAAGGCAAACGAACCGTTTGCGAAAAGCCCTCAAGGACATCTGTGAAGAGCAGGCCGATCAAGAGAGTCCTTGCAAGACGAACTCATCATGCAATGCCGAATGTTTCCAATAGGGTAGTCCCAGATTTGTTAATAGCATCCAATTGTTTGTTAATGTAGGAAGGAATGGTTTTAAAATGTCCTTTGTTGAAATTAAGTTTAGAAGTATTGCTTCAATCTCATGGTGATTTCATCTTGTGGCATTTCAAAATGATTTTGCCTTTGAGGTTCCAGCAGTATTTACAAAACAATAAAAATTATAAATATTTTAAAACTTCTATAAACGTTTTATTTAAAAACCTTCTTAGAGGTAGCTTTTGGCTTAAAGGATCGATTTAAATTTTAAAAGCAACATTTTTTGCAATGTTGAATGGTGTTATTTTAAAAGGTAATTTCCATCTTTATAAAAACATTATTTTGCATAAAATTTATTTAAATTTTTTAAAGAAAAAACACGAAAGGAAAGCTAGCTTCCCTATGAGGTTTCTGGGGACGGGGTTTCTCTTGAAAATGGATTTTCCTATAGGGTCCACAATGATGGCTATATCTTCCCCAATTCTCATCCGATTCTCAAGCGGAGTACCTTAAACAATTTCTATATCGATTCTCCACCATTCTTCATCAAAAGCCTGAGACAAAATATTTTTTTAGATTTTTTGTCCATTTTTCGTGACGGGATCCCTTGAAAATGAGGTTTTCCCCTATAGGGTCCACAGTGATGGCTATATCTTCCCCAATTCTCATCCGATTCTCAAGCGGAGTACCTTAAACGATTTCTTGATCGATTCTCCACCATTCTGCATCAAAAGATATGGGATCATCAGATATGGGATATCAAAAGATTCTTGTTTAGATATGGGATCGATATGGGATTCCTTGAAAATGGGGTTATATCAAGAATATACACACATATATAATTTATAGGGTCAGATATTTTTTTTTTACTGCGTTGCATACTTTTACCAAAATGATAATACCCTCTGCAAGGGTATAAAAATTTATTTATTGCCATTGTATAAAGAAAAACTTAACAAATTAGTATTGTATACATCATTTTATATTAAATTCTTATAAATTCCTTCATAGCCGTACATTACTAGACTCTGATGACATTTAAGGCTTCAGATACCCAGACAATACAAGTAGTTATCTCGGCAGCCCACGTAAATTTTCCGGAGGTTCTCAATAAAGCACGCGCTAGAGAAAACTTCTCCGGGAAGCTTACCCTGCCACTGGGTTTCCCCATTTCTGAAATTCATCAAACGTAGTGTTCCGTTGGTGGCACTGCACCATACAAACAGGCCATTGGGCTGGACAGTCAACAGCGTGGGAGTTGCATAAATTGGTGCACCGACATTGACTTTCCAGTGAAGCTGAAATTCCACTGATACCCTGCCCGATCCTGTAGTGCAACGCAGGCAGTAAACATGTTGGTCAATGCAGCCGAAAACCACAAAAGAATGTCCCATAAACGTTGGTGGGGTCTTCACTACAAGGGAGGAAAAGATGTTTCCCTCTGTACTAAAGGTAGCCAGCTGTAAATTAGAACCATTTATATAAAATATTGGTATGTAACGCAAGATATTTCATTCTTACTATTTTTCCATTTCCCACATGGCAAGCATGCACGCGTCCAGCGACCTCGGCACTGAGAAAGATACTGGCCTTGGAATCTAACAGAACAGGCGTTGCAAAGATTGGTTCTCGAAGTTTTTGAGTCCACTCCACGGACCCCTCGGTAAGGGTAACCCTTGCATAGCTACCGTCCAGTGTACAAATGATCAGGGATTGTTCCCTGGGCAACTCTATTGGTGTGGCGAAGATGGGTTTCTCTCCTATTTTGAGGCACCACAGCACTTCTTGATGCTCCGCGGATAAACAGTACACATTATAATCATCTGCATAGCTACAGACCACAATTCTGCTCCCATCGGCCGAGAGAAGCGGTTGCGACTTGATCATGCCACCGATTTCCACATTCCAAAGAATGTCACCAGTTAGGGGATTAAAGCCGTAGAGACTGCCATCGTAGCATCCGACCATTGCCAGTTGTTCACTCAGAAAAGTCGTCTTACACTCAATACGATCGGGTAACTTTACACTGCTGTGTTCGGTTCCAGTCTGAGGATCTAGGACACGTAGGATTTTGGAATGAGCGCCCACGCATATGTAACGTCCTTCATACTGGGTAACTGGGGAGTCTACGCACTTGTCGAAATTCACCTTCCAGTGCAGCTGAACATTGAGGACCGGCTGTTCGATGCGTTTAATGACCAGCCCACAAGAACTGGCACAAGTGGTTACCTTATTAGACTGCTGTTCCACAGGCTTTAGTTTGGTATTGTTGGCAACCAACTTGGCCGTATCCAGAAAGCGCAGAACAGTACGCAAAGGAATGTTTTCATCCAACAGCATTTCAAACAAGTGACGCTGCTCATCATCGATGCACATTTGCAGACCGATCTCCCGGCATATTGTGATGGCATGGAAAGAAGTCCCACCAGCTTGACGAAAACTCAAGTCATAACCGCAAGGCGCACAGTCCTCCAATCGCTGACGCTTTACTGCAGCCTTCTCTTCGTCCACATCCATACATTCCAATCTATCTAGCAGGAAGCTCTTCAATATTTCTTGCGCTGGTTGCGCCAAGGGAATGCATTCTTTAAGAAGTAGTTCCTTGTCCAGTTTACCGTGCACATTACAAGGTAAATGTTGCAGATAAACAAACCTATCCGGTTGCTCGGCGTTAGATAGCTTCGACAGGATATCGAATGTCTGGGCCCGCTGTTGAACTTTTGTTTTTGGCTCCAGACTGCGAATGCAGCAGATCAGTTTTTGCAGATCCCCCAACCATAGGCAAGTAGCTAGCTCGCCGTTGGGTAAACATTTCTCCACTTTGCGGGTAATTAGGCCTGTGTTTATGATTACAGTTTCAAATTAAATGTTTGGGAAAAGAATTAGCTATAAAATACACACCTAGGCTGATGCGATTGCCAGCTCGTTTTACCACATCATTGGCCCGCTCTCCATAGCATATTGTCCCGTTTTTGAGTCGATGAACCATGTCTCCAGTAGCTCGGAAGCAAACACTGGCACCGTCTTCCAATTCGTCCGATTTGTCATCGATCTCTGGAATATAACAGCGCCGCGTGGCACTCCCGAGAAAGAGCTCTCCATATTCCAGATCCCCATCACTTTCGCATTGAATTCGCAGAACCGTCTCCTCGTCGATAGGTGTACCCAGGGGCATTTGGGTTTGCAGCGATTGAACAATGTGAAGAAGGGCCCAGCAGGATATCTCCGTTATGCCATAGATATTGCAAATGTGCTTATGAAGTAAAACGCGAGGGTCCATCCAAGAAACCAGCTCCGCATTGGAGGGAAACACTTCGCCGCCAAGAAGTAGAACTCTTAAAACATTGAAAGTAAATAAAGTTTAAGCTAAGTTATAAGATGTCTTAATAAAATACCTCAATGAACTGGAGCTGTTTAATATTCGTTCTCTTATTGCAGTAGCACCAAACTGTCTAAAAAGCGAAGGAGTCATCTGCAGAATGGTAATTCCCGCTTTGGCCAAGTTACTGGGAAACAGCGCATTCAGCACACGGCTGGGAGACTCCTTCATCGACTGATGGCTAATAAGCACGGCGGATCCGTTTTGCAAAGCCAGAAAGAGTTCAACTACAAAAGGATCAAAGGTGCACGGAGTGCCCAGATAAATGATATCCGCCATAGAGACGTTTAGCTTCTGGCTTGGGGAGCATAATGATAAGATAAGCATGGGCAAGCAGTGTGTAAACATACCTAAGTGACAGTATATTGGGCGCAATGCATTCATAAGGCACATGGACGAGCTTAGGGCTTCCAGTTGTTCCTGTGGTGGTGATGGTATAGCACATATTAGGGGGTAGCGGCTTCTTTGCTTGGACGGGTGGATCATTGGAACCGTGTTTTATTCTAAAAAGCTTACACTCCTCCCCAAAAACCAGCATGCTATCCAAACGCTCAAAGAACAAAGCTCCGACGCCAAGGTGTTCGCTTACTAGAAGGTAATCCACGCCGGCGGCGCACATCTGGGCATGAAGTGCCTGGGAGAGTAACATCTTGTCCGTCGCAAAAAAATGGCACTTGTGATTGAGTACTCTATAAATTAAAGAAACGTTTTAAAGAAGACCAACATCGAAATCGTAAGAACCTACGCTAGAATCAACAGGCAGGAGGCTTTTGTGTGCTGAGTGATGCGCAGAGCGATTCCCGCTCCTTGTGGGATATGTTGTCGCCGTATAAACTCTAATAGTTCTTCTAGAATTCCCACAGCTGCAGAGTAGTTTACAATAGAGTCCTGTGGTTCCATGCGCTTTATCAGAAATGGAACTTCCCCAAACTGCCGGATTCTTTGGATGTCGTAAAGCTTTGTGGGGGAAGTCTCCTCCGAGATGGGGTTGGATAAAGGATCTCCATCCTGGGCTGTTGGGTTGGTTTCATCTGTGCCTTCCTCCTTCAGCTCTGACTTAATCTCAGCGGCTTCCATTGTTATCAGCAATCTTTGTTTACCATTTCATCCAGTCTGACCAGATTAAAAAAATTATACCGCCTAAAATAAATGTGTGACCGTCTTTAGCAATTCAAATGCCACAAAAATAATCGAAATTTAACGGAAATTTATACAATCAAATTAAAAATTCTTGAAAATAAGGAATATATTTATAATAAAAATTTTGTATTTAAAAATGCTAACATATTTCCATATGTACGTTATAATTTCAAGCCTTATGGCGTATCACCCATCTATGATCAAAAATATACACAATTAAAAGTCGAAAGTTTAGTGCAAAATATTTTATAGATCTCATTTCATTATATACATACACATCAATATTTTGTATAATTCCAATAAAGCTAAACATCGAACAAATGCGTTTTATTCGTTTTGTAAAAATGTCTTTAGTTGCTTGTTACTTGTTTTTCTTTTTGTCAAAAAAGCTCTAGGCATACACATTCATGTATTGGAGGTAAAACAGTTAATATTAATCAAAAATACACTTGAAGATTGATATAGTGTAGCTTAATACTAGGCAAATGATTCCAAGTCCCCGTCCCATCCATTGCTTTTGATTCCTCTCTCATAGACAAATCTTGTAGATCGAATATAATATTAAATCCTTAAGCCGGAACTTTGGTGGTGTACTTTCGTGTAACCTGAGTTGTATTGTAACCTATCCAGTTCTATGCTTGTTTCTTGGAGCTCAAGGCCAGGCTTTCTTTGCTCAGCTTAGTGTACTCCGTCTGCATGACGGTCTGGCACTCTTCGATCAGCTTCTCCATGTCGTCCTTCTCATACTTCTCGGTGGTAACTTCGGGCAAGATGTGAATGAGTGCATGTCCTGGGCGGAAGGTTTTTTTCTCGTCGTCCATGAACGAGTACTTCGATATGACCACAGGCTGGATGGGGCTCTTGCTTTGCAGCGCAATGTGGAAGGATCCTTTCTTGAATGGCAGCAGCGTTTCTTTGGTATTGCGTGTACCCTCCGGGAAGAGCAGAAGTTTGCATTGGCGATCCTGTATCGCCTTTGCCTGCTTCTGCAGTGAGTTAATGGAATCGGCCTTCCGGGACCGATTAATGAAAAGAGTGCCCCAAAGCCAGGCTCCGATGCCGAAGAACGGGATGTAGAGGACCTCCTTCTTGGAGACGACTGTGGCACGGCCGATAACTGGCCATAGGTAGGCCAGAACACATAGATCCACGGCACTCTGGTGATTCATAATCACCACAGAGCCATGATCCTTACGTACATTTTCCAAGCCACGCACCTCCATCGTAATTCCCATTAGACGGCACAGTTGCCGGAAAGCCCAAGCGGGAACGCTACAAAGAAAACCAGTTCGCTTAATGAAATATTCTAAAACAAACCATAAAGTTTTAAAAACTTACAGAGCATTCCTGTAATCTCTTGGCCGCAAAATCATAAAGGGAACACACAGCAAGACTATGACTCCCGCTCCAAAGAAGATGAAAATCATACGCATTTGGTAAGGAGCTTTGGCCGAAACGCTGAGGATAAGGGCCACCACACAGGCCAGGCCGATCACTTCGCACGTGCAAGCCATTTTACTTTTCTGTTTAGGTTCCAATTGTGTAATTTACTGTAAAAAATAAAAATAATTTTTAGTTATTTAGCTCAAAGACATCTTGATTGATTTTGATTGACTTTGAAAAAAAAATGATTTCCCACATTCGAGTACCTTACGTCTCTGATAAAAACTGACTACGATTTATTAAGATATTGGATAAGAAGAACCATGCAATTATTTTTAATAATACTTTACAGTTCTAATTTCTGTATCAAAACCAAAAATAGCGGTATTAATGTTATGAGCATTTGCACCCCTGGTAACAACATGTGGAAGTGGTTTATGGTTAATTGTACTTTGGTAGCCAAGATTACGTAGGATCTAAGAACCGGCATCCCCCTGGTAGCAAACCTCTTAACACATCAAAAAACACGTCCGATACGGCTGATCGGTAGTATAAAACTAAAAAAAACCCATGACAGAAAATGTGTTTAAACGTAAAATGGCAAAAAGCTTATCTACAAATGGTTCTTGTTTGGATTGAGGCACTGAACTTTGGTATCTCGCTGATATATTTTATTATTTAAAAGGACTGTGACGAACATAAAAGATTGTGGAGATCAGAAAATTAATCAACTAACCTTGATAGACTCAAGTACAAGGAAATCATACTTCACTTACTTTATTTTTAAAAATTTACTATACTTTCTTAAGATTTCCATAGATTTAAAGTTTAAGTATATTTGATAGCCACAAACAACCAATTGTACTCAATTGACAGTTTATTTATGCCTTATTTATGAAAAGGCCTAATCGAATTTCTTTTCAGATTATGGGAAATAATAAAATGCTTATGTTTAAGCCATAAACTCATAAAAACCATAAATTGAACTTTGCTATCAAATAAGAACGTGTGGCCATAAAGAAACCCTTTAAAAGAAACAAATAAAGTGTTATTTGTTTATTTGTAATTACCGAGCTACAATAAAAATATAAACAAAATATTGGCTGCAAGAACAAATCACCTTTTTAATTAATTTTTTACAACAGGCAGGCAGGTACTTTTCTCCAATTATATAGTGAAGGTAAAAACTATTTATAGTATTCACCCTTTATTTAGGTTATCTTTTTGATATATAAGTTGAGCATAATTAAAAAATATATTCAGCCTTTATGATAAAGATAAACCACATAATACAAAAGGTGAAGCTCAAAAACAGTCATAGCAACTTGGAGTTAATCAATTTTATTTTTAATAGGTTAAAAAAAATGGCAAAAACTAATTTAAACTCACAACTATACAACAGTTGTCACAAAGTCTCCTAATGCTTTAGTTGTCAGCCATTAACCTTTTCCACAATCTAACGAGTCATTGGGGTCAACCCTTCTAACTAATCTACAATTAGGAGATTAGTTAAATTTTAGTTCAACATTTTATCTGTAAGCCCCATCTAGTCAATATGCAATTCCACCTTCGGTTCTAGTCCAGTTTACTAAGTACGTCAAAAGTAACTATATGACCTGACCAGTACATCAGTACAACTTGTGATGTTAGCAATTCCAATTATGGCAATTATCGTTATAGACATAACTTTCGGCTGTTGGAGCCTGGATTTGATGACAAACTGTTGATATTGACCTTTGGCGGCGTAATTGCGCGTTGAATGCGTACTTAGCTCCAATCAGCCATTGAGATCAAATGGTAGTAGCATTAAGTTGCCTTGGTTTTCATTGATTTTTTTTTTGGTAAGCTAAAGTGCAAATGTATTTTCTTTCTTCTGACCATAACCGGGCTCAAGTTATTTTTATTATGTTTGCAATGTGATAAGAGTCTCGATAGTGTCGTGGATGTAATGGGTGAGAAATGGACTGTTATTATTTCTGCGGAAAACAAATGGCTCGAGTTACCCTTTTCTGGGAATTTATTGTTATTCATACTTTAACAGAAACATTTATGTTTGGGGTGTTACTTTTTTTTCTTTGGCGGAATATTTTTAAAAGGTTCTAAATTATTTAAGTATATGTTTCCTTTTAAAATAAAAGTAAAAAATATAATAAATACCTTTAACTTAAAGCCTGTTTGTTAGTGACTGATGTAATAAAGTAAAAACACGAATTCTAATAGCTTGATCAGTGCATTTGATAGTTAATTAGATGTTAAAGGAAAAAATTGTAATAGAGTTTGTACTTTGTATGCAAAATACGTTTTTCTAATTTCAATTCAATTTTCAAGAATATTTTAGATCGGCTTAGATCTTGCATAATATAGCGAATTTCATTAGCAAATCATTCTGTCAAATGCATTCGACTCATTGTTTACATTTTCCAGTTGCCCTTGAATGGATCCACATGGAAAAGGGGTAGCCAAGCGAGTGACCCATTTATCTTTTTTGGAACCCACGCCGCGGCTCTCTGCGACCGACAGTGAGTAAAAATGTATATAGCCAGCATAGAGCTTCGGTTGCTGATAAGATTATGGCATGATTTCAGGCTGGTAAATTGTATAGATAGTATTGTATTACAGCATGGAACCGGCCATTGACGATCACACGCATGTGACAGGCATGAAGTAGTGATTCCGGGGCTCCCTGCAGCCTCAATTTGCCAGCCAATTTAACGTCAGGCATCTCGAGTCAAGTTCAAAGTCAACGAGTGCATAGACTTGGGCCCGCGAGTGGGAGGGAGATGAGTCTACGAGCGGGACAGAACGTGGAACTATAATAAGCTTGAGTCATTGCACCGATCTGACGATCGGACATAGTCTAATCGAATGATTAAAGATCATTGTCTCACCGGTAATGGGGCGAGTGGAATGTTTTGAACCAAAATTGGCGGTATACTAGACAAAGTAATGCCATTAATCGACTCATTTTAGAAAATTTAAAACCATTATTAGCATAGTAATTATTAATTATTTGTCATCAAAGCTATTAGGGAATTGGAAATTAATATAATTTTAAAATCGATGTGCCCTCCATGTCAAATTCTTTCGATTTACGCATTAAAAAGGACTCCGAACCCTTAAGTTCGAGTCTCCCCTTTAAAGATTTGAATTATTAAAGTCTGAAACTCATAACTTTACTGGGGCAATGGTGGAAGTTTAAGGAATCCCAATAACCCAAAAATCAACAGGGAACAGGGGGAACAGGTAGCCAAAAAACCCAAAACTCTGGGGGATAACTTGAGGAGCGTGACGATGAAGGAGAGCGATGGGGGAAAGCTCAGGCCAAAAGAAAACGACAAAAAGGAAGGCAAGGAACTGTGGCGGAGTAGGGGAGTAAGCTCCAGAGAGGTAATAAATGTACACGGGGTAGAAATAGTTGTTGCTTTGTTGTGTTCCCCTTGGAACACAGAACACACACCGCAGAGCTCACACACCCATCCAGCAGCGTAATGAAGACAAAATATGTGTTAAAGCACAACAACTTAAATAGTACAAACTCACGGAACTGTTACTTCCACTCGCACTCCCTTCGGAAGGTGAAAAAGTTGTTGCTTCTGGGGCACTTGTGGTTGCTGTTGTTGTTGTTGGTTGTTTCTGCGTGGGCGTTACAATTGATGTGCCGCTGTGTGTGTAATTCGCGCGGGCGGTGCTGCTGCTCCAGCATCTGTAATGCAATGAATTCCACAAACCGACTCGTGGCTAATTGCAATCAAGCCACTGCACTTTCAATTAATCAACACTCAACTTTGAGTGTCGAGTCCTTTTCGGCTAAAGGAATCTACGTATTCACACAGATTTGCGAGATATTTATATTTTCCGCCGCCAGAGTGCCGGCACTCAGCAGAGACAACAAAATTTTTCCGTCCGTTTCAATCAAAAGTCCGTAGGTAATTGAAAAAGCTTTCCCTTTCGCATGTTAGTCGAGCTTCCGTGAGAACGGTATTCGAACGGTGCGTTTCGAAAACTTAGTTCTAAAAACAATTGTTCTTAAAGTTATGATAATTGAAGATGATAGTTAGTCATGACTAATAAGTGGAAATATATTTATTTTAAAATATTTTATTAGTACTAAATTATTTAATGTATCTTGTATGTATCTTTGAGAAATACAATTTTTAGAAAAGCATTCTGCGAGATTCAAGATACTTCTAACTTCTAAAGAACTTCTAACTTCAAGAACTTCATACTTCTAATGGGATTCAAGCACATTTTAAAACCTAACAAATTTTTTTATAGAAACCAAAAACGCTAGTTTTCCTTAAAATTTTTTTTTAAGAAATTTTATAAAACATCCAAAATCTAACAGTTTGGTTTTAAGCATTTATTTATATATGTAAACAAAAGTTAATTGTAAAAAGATTTAATTTTTACTAGCATGTCTTATTATACATAAATACCAAAAATTTAACAAACAAATTTTTTACTTTTTGACCATAAAGCGATTATTTTGCTCCACAGTGCCGCGAGTAATCGATTGGCCGCATGGTCCGAAATACCGCAAACGCGTTAGGACATTATTCTTCAGAGTGTTTTCTAGTGGTTTCTTCTTCTTCTGCAAGGCCGGCTTTAGTTCCATGTGTAAATAATTTTGAACTATATTAAATATTAGGGATATCAAGCCCACAGGATAGTTGCAAAATGTTTATTCCGGAGCCCGAAGACTTCCTGCCGCCGACCTCGAGCTCGTGTCGTCTGTGCCACCGCGAAGCAAGCGTTGAATCGCCAAACATATTCGACAGCTCTCCGGAGTTCTGCAAGGACCTCAGCATTGCCGACGTTTGCCAGCGCCTTTGGGATGTCCAGGTGAGTGATTAAAACATTAAATGAATTGCCCTTTTTAACTTGTTTACTTGCAGTATGAACGGCACGAGTTTTTGTCGGAGCACATTTGTCCAAATTGTGTTGAAATACTGGAGGATGCTCACGAGCAGCGTCGCGGGATGCAGGAGCGAGAACAGGCCCTACAGCAGCAACTAATTGGTCTCCTTAAAAAAGACGCCATGTATCGTCCAGGCTTGAATGGAAATCCAGGCGTCTTCGAAGCTGAAGAAGACCGAACTATTGTTGATGTGGATCCTGAAAAGCTGTCAGAGACCAGCGAAGACGAGTTCCTCGGCTCCGACGCCGATTATGATGAGGATGATGAAGAGGATGAGGACGAGGACTTTGACGAGGATGATGAGGAGGACGGGCAACATGGCGACGATGCGGACATGCCATTGGGTATGGATGCGGCACAAATGGCTTTGTTAGAGGCCGAAATGAAGACAGCTGGAGCCAATGACGACGCCAACCCAGGTGCGCCACGACCTAAGCGGGCTTTTCTGTGCCAGTATTGCGATGTGGGATTCACTCTCCCGTCAGAATGCCAGCAACACGAACTCACCGCCCACGACCCCAATGCACCATATTCTTGCGCCTTCTGCAACCTGTGTCTGGTCACGCGGCCCGCTCTGATCTCGCACATCAAGACGTTGCACGATCCTGATCGACCTTATGTGTGTGCTCAATGCCGCAAAGGATTTGTCCGGCGCTCCGATCTAAAGAAGCACACGATTGTACATACAGGCGTGCGCCCTTACACCTGCAACGTGTGTTCCAAGAGTTTTTCGCGAAATACTAACTTGACTAAGCACGTCCGCATCCATAGTGGGGTGAAGCCGTTCGTCTGCCAGCAGTGTCCGCGTTCCTTCCAAACGGCAGTCGAAATGATGAAGCACTCCCGCTCGCACTCCGAAGTGAAACCTTTCCAATGTGGCCGTTGTTCGTACTCGTTCTCCCGGAAGGATAAGTTGCTGGCTCACCAACAAGTCCACACACGACGGGATGTGGAACAGCAGCAGGCGCAAATGGGAGGGCTTCCACCGATGGAGGGCGATTTGGCTCAGTACCAATTCCATCAGCAACAGGTCCAAGTCAAGCCAAAACCATCATTGCAGCCCAAATCTTCTCGAAATTTCCGATGCGACGTCTGTGACCGGGTGTTCCAGCGGGAGCGGGACTTGCAACGGCATAGGGCCCTCCATATGGACTCACTGTTTGCCTGCAAGATCTGCAATATGGGATTCAATCGTCGAGAGCAGCTGCAGCGTCACGAATTGGAAGCCCATGGGCCCAGCTACACGTGTAGTATTTGCTGCATCAGTTTCCTACATCAGGTGGAATTGGAGAATCACTTAAAGGTGCATCAGCTGCAGCACAAAATGGCCCAGAGTGCCCAACAAGCCATTAATGCCGCCTCTGTCATACCGCACAAAGTAATGGATCAAGCTCCAGTGCCAATAATGGCCCCTGTAGTGCAGGAGCCGATGCCAATGCGACCCTCGGCAGCCGAACTCTCCTTCTATAGCAACATGATACCCACTATGAATTTGGGATTTTATAGCGAAACGAGACCCGAAGAATAATATAAAACTTTTATTTTTTAGTTAGTAGGATTGTAAAGTTTATAAAATCAAGGCTATTGGCGGCTGTTAAAATTGGTTTTCTAAGATGTATTCTTTTGCGATTCCTGCTTAAGGATTTTCTCTCTTAGATCTGCTAAGGCTTCCAAAATGTAGCCTAATGGTTTCCTAATTGATTGTCAATAAATGGTATTTAAATTATGTTTTCTAATTAATGTTATTTCAACTTAAAGAGCTTATCCCCCACACAAACATGTTGCATGCAACAAGTTGCAAGCAGACTGATCTTAAGGGGGTATTCCAGTAAAAAGCATATATTTTAGTTTATTTTTGCATGCAGCATTGTTGAACTAAGGTTTATTTGAATTATTTTCCCCTGATTTTTAATGAAAAATTTTGGATCTTCGTAGTTTCCAGGATAACCCCATAAAGTAAAGCTGAAGTTTCCAGGTAGATCCATAAAGTAAAGCTGAAGAGATCAGTTACCGCCTTGGGAGAGAAGCACTTTAAAGTAAAAACGGGTTTAAAGTTTCAAGTAAGTAAGATACCCCCTTTCGATAGCCTTCTTCAAGTTGAAGCTTCCAAGCTGCAGATTGTCTTTCGAGGTTGAACCGTACGGTCCTCCTTTGATTTGCGTTCGGAGCTCCACCGGCTGGAGACCTCGTCATCTTCTCGGCGGCGTGCGCGCAGTGAATTGTGCTGGTGCTGACAGTGTAACGCTTGATAGAATAATAAATAATAAAAATACGAGGGGGAGACCAAAGGCATAGTCATGGGGCCGAGCTGCCATAAATAAAGTGCGGATATCAAACGAGACGATAAATCTATTCCAGAAACGGGCACGCAATCCAGGGAATTGGAATCCACCGGGCCAGGTTATCACCTTGCGGTTCGTTTCGGTTGGACATTGCTTCGGATAGTTCCACTGTGAGCGGTAAGTACCCAATTACCTTGGCACGGGGAAGGGTCAATCCGCGATTTATGTGCCGGACCTGGCTTGGGGTCTTTGGTGTTTAGGTGTTGGCATTGCCCGCTGAGCGCCCCCGTCGCTGAGCCTCTTGTTTCCACCTCCGCGCCATGACAAATGAACATGTTGCTGGTTCGGACAGCTTTCGTTTGATTGAATTGAAATATCCAGAGAGCCGCAACGCGGATGGAGGGTCCTCGGGAGCATGTTGCATGTTTTGAGTAGCAACTTTTGTCATACCCAAAAAGATAAGGGGCACGAGACGTACTGGTACATAAAAGGCAGTTTCCAACTGCCAGACATTGCTGCCTTCGTGTCGTCGCCGTATGTCCATTTAAAAAGCGAGAAATGCGAGGAGTCTTCTCATATGTACAAGGTACATATGGCTTTGTCGGTAGAAAGTCTCTGTGATATATGACATGGAATTTAGCTAAGAAATTGTTATCTCAGGTGGGCTATTTTTGCAATTTCAGACCAGTTTCTGAAAGCCTTCCAAGGCTTCTTAAATATTTAATTTTTCTAGCCTCGGTACTTATCCGTAAGTGAAATTTATAGGATACAATAAATAAATTTCCTGGCATGAAATTGAAAAACCTTTAATTGGAATATACGCCTAATCTTTTTACCCGATTCATTGGCATCTCAATAAAAAAGCTACTGCATTCAAATTATCTGGTTGGGTTTCTTTAGGGGATTGCGTGTCCGGGATGCCACGAGAATCCGAGGCACCACCTGTGGTGCGAAAGTACGGACTCAGTGGCTTCGCACACAGTTGCGAAAACAATTTAATTTCTGTGAATATGAAGGGTTAACTTTTACTCATTCCAATAAGCTGCAGGGCATAAATTTCCCCCTTCTGAAAAGATTAATGAGCCCTATTTGAGGGAAAAGTTTTTCCAGCACGCACTTTAAACCTGAGGATTTATGTGCTCTGAGGTACAGGAATTGTGCCACAAAAGCCTCTGGCAGTGAATTGACTTGTTACCTAGTCGTACATAAATTTATACACCCACGCAAAACTTAATTACAGCTATTAACACGCACTGGGTGTACTATCTCGCGGATAGAGGGACGTTACAATTACTCTAGTCTAATTTTAAGATATCTGACATGGAATGACATTTACCTTAGGTTCAATGTGAATGCAAAGTTGCAATATAATCAGATACTAAAGCTAGATGGGCCACCTCCTCTCCAATACATCATTCCTTGCCTGTCAAGCCCACACCCATGGAAGATGGCATCCCTAAGATTGCAATGGGACAACCGTAAACGCATTACACCCGTTCCCAACATTGTTAATCGTGTATTGCAAATCGTCGTCTGTCGATGTACTGCTGGGAATACGAATACATCAATGTCACCCAGACAGACGACACTTTTACATCCGTCACTGGGGCGGAGTGCCTGTCCTCCCAATCGGCCTCCACCAGCTCCTCCTCCACCAAGACAAAAGCTAATCTCTCATAAGTATTTTGTGCAGTTTCTCCTAAAACTTTTTTGCCCCAAACGCTAGAGAGAGGCTCTCGTTTCCGTTTCACATCCGTTTCGCTTTATTTCGATCAGATGCAAGTCAATTTACAATTCACTTTCTTCGCAGACAATGCCAGAAATGCGATCCAACAAATAATGCATGTTGGCAAGATACACATATCGTTCCACTTGGCTGACAGGCCATCATCCTCATCCAGGTCGCCGTCGTCATCCGTTTACTGTATCATAAATATTTACATAAATGGACATTTTTTCTAGTTATTGTGTGCCTCTATAAAAGGTATAATAATTATTATAATAGAGCATAATATAATATGATGGAAGCTACAAGTCTAAGCTATGTTTAAGATAGACTTTGTTTTAATTTTGTTTTTTAGTTTAAAAAAAATGTCTAAAAAATAATTTAAACCAAAAAATATGGAATGAAATATAGGTCTATATAAATAAACCTAAAAAAATATATTTTTAAGGAACTTTTGCTTAATATGTGTAATATTTTTAGTTATTTGTTTTTCTCTAAGGTGTCCCCACTTCGTTGCTACTCGTTTGGGGACCCCTTTCTCGCTGTTTGGCTGGACTTCGCGAATCCGCCAAAAACCAGTTCCCTCGCTCCCTGTCCCCACGATCCCCAAAGATCTCTTGAGGTATTTGTTTGGCACGACATTTGCTCCTTGGCTGGCCCTGACGCTGTGTTGTTCGGCTGTCTGAATGGCAGCCGCCTGCCCCCGACTCGACGGTGGCGATGCTGGTGATGACGATGTGGCGTCTTTGTCGTCCCATCCCGTCCAGAGTCCGCTTCATGTCGTCACGCAAACTTTAATTCGTTCATTAATTCAGCCGGCAAACGGTTAGCCGGCTCAGTGGGCGTGGAAGTAGCTGGAAGTGTTAATTAGTTGTTAGTGTCTCCTTCTGGCCCCAACAAGTAAATACGTATACGTACGTACCGATACTTAATGAGCGACTTGGGAACTCCAATGTCAATCGTGAGTGCTTCTGCTTAGTGCAGTTGCTTATTAATCTCTTCAGATAAGAGAAACATATTTCTTTTGGAGTAGCAAATGGATTTGGAATTAGAAGATTTGTCAACTGGAAACGGAAAGTTATTGCCATTCTGTAACATTTTTTTTCATATATATCTAGATTCTAGAACAATATAGAACCGATAGGCCTCTTGTCAGGTGATTTCCATGATTATGTAAATTGCTTGTGTCGAATTTCCATTCCCACCCTTGTGAAATTCCTTTGTCTCTGGCAGCGAGGACATGCCACAAATTAGCGAGTGGCCCAGAACCTTTTGCAAATAAATTCCAACAAGCAATTTTGACCAAGTCCCCCGGTCCGGCTGCAAAATAAGGCGCACTCAGAGATGGGCAGGTGATGTGAGGTGAGGTCCAATCTTGGGATACAGCCCGAAGGTGCAATCTCCCCTCGAACGGCTGCTCCTCCGTTGCCGCAATGTTGCACTGGGCAGTTGTGGGTGTGCAGCTGTGCGCTGTCAACTCTTCGCTGATCCATACAGCCCATGCGGAAATAGTAGTGGCCAAGGGTGTGCAATTGCTTTAGCCGATGGAATGGACATAGCTCTCTGGCCACGGCAATTGCGATTGCATTTTCTTTATCGCATCCTGCACAAATTACAAAAATATTTCACGTTCCGCAGGCTGTGGCCGGACGGGGCCAGTTTGCATGGGATGTGAGGCTGTGAGGTGCTTTGGCGGGTCACTTGCCCATCGAACGTGTCCACATTTGTTTGGCCACGAGGCCCCATTGAAGATCTCCCCAGCTCCTAGACTCCATATTCGCTCTTTGACTTGCCGCGTGGGAGAGCCGAGTCGGACATGCAGATAAATGTTTGGGATCCAATGGTTAGGAACTCCAACAACAGGTTATTTTGCCTTTTTCAGGAAGTCTACAATAATTCTTGTTGTTTATTTTTTTCTTCATAATGCAATTCCATGTACCATATCTATGGTTCTCACTTAGAAGTTCTGACTTTGCTATCGTCCATAAATCTGTTCATTTTAGCCAACTTATTGATTCTGTAAAACTGGAGTAGGCTGAGCCTTGTAAACAACAAGGCAGTTAGCCAACGTAATTGCCGGCAAACAGGTTCAAGAAAATTGGGTCGGACTTAGTTAACCTACGGAGATACTGGGGATGCGGGGTGGGTCTTAAGGCAGTTTGCTGGCTTGTTCATGCTAATGAACATATGCTCAGGTGATCGCCGATAATGTCCCAATTATCTCGAGAGAAAACAATATGTTTTGCACTTGAACTTACCCCTAAGACCTATAAGTTGTGATCCCATATCTCTCTAAAAACTTTCATTAAATCATAAAAAGAAAATCATTTGCGAAAATTCTGTGTTTATCCATGGCATTAGAACCGCTAAGATCGAAGTTCACAGAGCAGCCAGAGGTCAGCTTTCAGACTTCTGCAGGCAATCGATCTCCGGCTCCCTCAGCACGCTGGCTGACTGACTGATGATGGCTTATGCAATGTCGATTTCGCAATTCATAAATATTAAATATTATCATCCAAGACGAAGAACTATCGGCAGGTATGAACAAAAAAAAGAAGTTGTGCAACCCAGACACGGCAGTCGTCTAATTGTTTGCTGCCTTTTATTGGACAGTCATCCAATGCCAATGCCAAACGTGCAGCGCCGCAATGGCGAGGACTAGTTTTTGTGGGCCGTTCGAGATCATGATATGATCTTGGCCAGGCCTTAGCGGGCTGCACGTGCTGGC